CAATCGAACTGCATTATGTGGACCAGTGCACGGAAAGCGAATCAGCCAGGCTCAAGATCCAACCAACCAGTACTTGCTGAAGACGAGAGCCCTGTAGAGTACGTTACAGTAAACTTATGATCCATTAATTCTCCGTTTCCGAACTTCGTGTGACTGATACTGTGTCTTTTGGCATTTCATAATTCAGGTATCAGTTCCCCCTACTGCAAAACACGCTGCTCGAATATCTAACAAGGCAAGCTCGATTACTTCTTGCACCATCCAGGAGGAATGAACTATGCGTCATCACACGCCAATCTAGCTTAAATATTGGCCAATATTCGTCCCAAGGGGCTTGCACTCATGCTCGCTCCTTTCATACGCCGTCTCTGAATGTTTCCCTAACATGCACAGAAATTTGCTGTCTATTCTTCCGATAGCATTTTTACCTCTCCCATCAATTCATGGACCTTACGATAGCTCCCAACACAGAGCCCTTTAACAATTGTGGAACATTCCGCTCCCTGGACGTCCTTCAATCTCCCAGAGTACGATCACTACTTGGAGCACACTCGCCAGCACTTCCCAAAACTCGACATCTTTCACACATGCCCTATTGCCGACGCTATTGTCAAACTTGTTGAGGACGTCTTGGCCGCATCCATGCAATCGATTTCCAAGTCCCATTTTGTGCCAGAGGCGCTCTCTGCCACCCAGCTCCAAACCTACATGGAGAGATTCGCCCTCCCTGCCTCGAAGTCGCTATCACGTCCACAACCTGACATTAGTAGATTTTCGACTTCTACACTATCAATGGTGCTAGTGCCTGCATGTCTGTTCCTGGGTGTGTCGGTCTTGCTGTTTGGAGCTACACTGACTAGCTGTTTTGCTGGCTATTTTTGGTGTGCGATGCTCCCCATGGACTCCATCACAATATTGAATATTGACTGCACAGATGCGGCGGGTCTCAGCTAGAGAATGGACTCGGGTATGTCTGGTTTTCGCTCATCATGTCACGACCTTCACGGTACAATTTTACACGGTACACGTAGCGCTACAGTTAAAATCCTACACCTATACATATTCGTATCTCTCCGATGAACAAAAAATAAAGAACAAGCATCACGTCCACAACCGACATCGCGCAGTAGACGTTCGACTCCCACACTTTCGCTGGTGCTGGTACTTGCATGTCCCGTTCCTAAGCGTGTCGGTATCATCGACTGGAAACACTGACAAGCCGTTTTATGTTTGGTTTTGGATACTGAGATATCACTACCCTCAATTCCTTCAAAATCCGACTGGTACCTCGAAGGCGGTGGGTCTGGTTAAAGAAAGGACTCGTGAAGATCTTTGTTCGGTCCTTGATGTCCAAGCTTACTTGCGGCTTTCATAGCACAATATTTGCTAAATAGGGTACATGTATCCCCAATAACGCTTAATGATACTAAAGATGTTCGTATTTCCGCCTCGTCGAACAAAGTATAAGACAAGTTCCTCCACATCCGGGAACATTCGTGGGGTCGCTCTTCGCATCCTCAAATGCTCATGCACGACGGCCCCTTTCCCCATTGGCAGATACTATTGCAAATTACAACTACCTCTTCTGTGCACAAGGATCTGGTCAAGAAACGCGAATCAGGGCTTCCGAATGAATATCAGTAGCGTCTCCGCTTCGTGGACTCAACCTGGGTACTTGAGTCTGAGAGTGTAAATGCGAAAGATATGATTAAGGGTCTAGGGTTGGCCTAGGGCGACTGATGACATCGATGAAAACTGAGGCGAGTTTGCAAAGTGCACTGCACTAAATCCATCATGCATCCAGCAACCGGCGTATCAATGTTTTGAATGTGTGGCGGGGGAGTTGTGTAGCCTGCGAGGTGCTTGCCTACATCATAATCTCTTGAACGGGTACGATTTAGAGTCGATGTCTTGATCTATAATAAATGTCGTGGTTAGGGTAGGGATGGGATGTGGATGGGAACGCAAATAAATGAACAAGTCGCATAACTTGCCTCTCTCGAGTCCAGACTCCGGACTGTGCTCCATCAGGTGCCCAGCCTTGCGCAATTTCTCATCACTAGGCTCTGTCGCGAAATCCTTGGCGACCAGCTCGAGAGCGAGATGCCAGCGGTCGTTACAGACCTCTCAACAACCGGAGGAAATAGTGAGCAAGGGAGAACAGAGCAGCATTCAAACTCACTTGGTGTGACACGAAAACTGTCAACGGGCTGATATCAGCAAAGAAGTCTACATGTCGTTCCATACGCAGCGAGGGACTGGAATGCTTCGAGGTCGTTGGCATCTAGGCAGATATCGATGATAAACAGGAAGCCGGGTGAAACATGAGCGGGACGAGATAGTGTGTACTCAATCGTCGTCTACTTTGGAGGCAGTTCAGTGGGTAGATTTGCATTAGACGTGAGTCTAGTAGAACAGACAAATACATAGTTTGCCTCCGATATCGATCTGCGTGTCTGAAATTTACCGTCACTGCGTACGTTCTGATTCCATGTCTGACAACTGAATGAGGAGTTTCTGGCAGGCAGTCCTCGAAAGCATGATGTACCAGTCCAGCTAGCACATATCCCATGCCATGACAGGCGATAAGGATCGCAACGAACGAATCACGGCTGCCTGGGTGTAACATAAATGGGTTTATAAATTCGTAGTTTGTAGCTTTCACCACTATCTAGAAGACCATCATCGCCAAATGTACAAAACAAAAGGCATAGCGCTGCTAGCGAAAGCGAAGCTGAAATCCTTCTGCGCCGAAGAATAATGTCCCTTCCTCATGAGTTGAAGTGGAAGAGTGATAAGGAATCGGCGAAGTTGGGAGAATAAAAAACTGCAGTTCGACGCAAATTTATGTGGCTCGGTAAAGTCCGGACTATTCGGTAACTGCCACCCATGCTTGCTGACTCAGCGCCAAACGGGAAAGTCATTGATGTGCGGATGTGACTTTCGCATGAAGGCCTAGTATAGACGAAAGAATCGAGTAAGGTCCGACTAATAACAGAGTACCAGAAACCGTTCCAATATTGCTGTAGTTGTATCTTTGGGATAGTGCCAGTCTGACTCGCTAGGGCACCTTAGGCGTGAGATGAAAACTTAAAGAGATGTGGGTATGCACTTTCAAACTTACATTGATAAAATTAATGCACCGAACTCCACATGATTGCGAGACACTAAGTAATCAATGAAGCGCCTATAAACAGGGCAGACATCATTGAAGATAGTTGATGCACCGGATCTCCATTGCTTTTTAGATTTCTGACATTGCCTCCTGCTGCCTCATCATATTTGTCCAAGATCTGTGCGAATACCTCGGACGCGCCGCTCATATGTAATATTCGGGAGATGCCTGCGTGTAGTGCGATCAAATGAGGGTTAGGTAATGGCAAGTTTCGTGTAGGGGCATCGTGATTCCGGAATGTGATAGTTTTACCGAGGAGGTCACGAGGGTGTATCCACGCCCTGCCCCCAACCTCCCTGACTACATACTCGTTTTCTCGCTGGAGCGCTGATCAATGCGTTGCGAGGATGCAAGACTGCGGGCTCACCTCCGTCTGCTCCAGGTATATTTTCAACTTGTCAAACATATTGTAGAGGTCATGTCCAAGCATTATGCCATTGGAAGGGTCGTCTACAAGCCTTTCCATGTTTTGAATAGTTTCTTCGGACATTCCTGAGTAATGCCGAATGATATTCCACGTTGCAGCCGCGGTATGTGCCTACATAATCCAACTTAAGTGTCAGAATTAATGATAACCCAGTAGAGAAATCCTTACCCGGTCCATGGTGAAAACCCCGACAGCCCGTTTCAGGATGTGCGCTCCTATCAAGGTTACAAAACCCTGATTAACACTGGCAGGCACGTGTGGTCCATCCCAGAGACCTGAAACAACGCATCTATAACCGTCCCGTCGATTAACCTGTTGGAAGTTAACACCAAAGCCGCTGTTTAACTGGTAGGACGTACATCTGTCCTGAATCTGCTGCGCCGTTCTGAACTGGCGCTTACAAGGCTGCCATAGGTGTCCTCAATAGTCGGCGTGGCTTGATCGGAAATCAAGTCCGATAGTTGGCGGGTTCCGGCTATGACTACCAGTGAAAAATCGTGTTAGTGTCCGCGGCAGATATTTCAAAGTTCCAACTTACATGGCCATAGCAGATACATGAACCAAGTCCTCGCGAGGTTGACTTGGTCATGGATCTCAGGGCATGCGCAAATAGCACAGGCAGTATAACGCTCGGAGGTTTCGCCGCCGGTCCCGTGAGCGTTCCTCAGCATTGCGTCTAGAACCCTGGATGCGTCCACGTCGTCCACGCTTGGTGGAGTTTTGATCCATCTACATTGATTCGTCGCTAGTTGCTCTATTGTTTGTCGAGCCTGTCCCACGTAAGTCGTAGTGGACACGGCAGCGTTTTGCATGTTGAAATACACGTTCTCGTTGAAGCTGATGACGGATTCAGGTTCGCTGATGGTCTCACTCAAGTCGCTGATGTCACTCGCGTTTCGTGAACGAGGCATGTTAGAGAAGTTAGAACAATATTGGTAGTAAGATCATGTCAGGATGGGTAGTTGCTGGCTCTGGCTCATGTGTCGACAAACATATCACGTGAAAAGTGTGAGGCAAAGAAAAAATCACGCTACGAGGAAATCTTTGCCAAGACCTCTGTGTCTGCGTGAAATCCACTTCGCAACACAAAATAAATAAATACCATGAGAAAGACAGTACCACCATGACTGGCATGATGTTCTGAGGAAGATGTCAGTGATTATTATGAATATCCGAGCGTTCACCAAATTGCCGGTCTCACGCCGAGTCGTTGCACAGGGTTAGGGTTAAATTTCACTCGCATGTGGCGCAACGTTGTGCTTGGTTGTCAATGCCAATCGTACGTCCTCATCTATTTACCTCAAGAGGTACCCGCTCGGGAAATGCCGAACATGAGGGGGGGAGGGGGTGGTCCCCCAGAGGTCCTTATCGACTTAACCTTGGGTGTGACTTTGGATGGGGGGGTGGTGGGTATGCGTGGATCGGTCGGGGAAAAAAAACGTAGGTATTGAGGTTATTGGCGTTCGAGCCGGCGGCCACCAAGGCTGTGTTACTGAGTGTTTGATTTTCAGATTGCTCAAGGACAGTGGAATTTGCCCAGGAATACATCAACTCAGTAATGGATCATGTGATGTGGTGATTGTGGCCTTGTGTGGCCGGTGGCCCTTGTTTACGCTCCGACCGGTCCACAATTCATGAGGCAAGTATTAAAGGCAGGGTTCCTTCAAACCAGCTTCGCATCTTACTCGCATGTCATGAAGCCTATTACCACATTTCCATTTAGTTACCTCCCAGTTGAGCTTGTCCTCGTCATCCTCAGATATTACGTCCAACCCACCTTTGATCAGACTGCTCCATATTACTCTAAAAGTCCATATTCTAATGCACGCGCCCTCTGTCATTTCTCCAGAGCTGTCAGGCGGGCGGTACTTCCAGAACTCCTCCATACAATACTGCTTAAAGACGATGACACAGTGAGAGTGTTCGTGCATGCTCTACATATGCAAAAAATGTACGCGGAGAAAGCAAACCACCTCCGTTTCGACTACATTCCCCATGTGCACAAGATCTGGATGGGACCCCATGGTGGCCGCGATCTCTCACCAGCTTGCTTGCGCCACATCGCATGGGCCTATACACAGATTGAGCATCCGCTTTCCATCAGCCTCCTCTCTCCGGTGCTACTCGCTGCACCATCCATTGCCATTGACTGGACAAGTATGGACCTTCTTGAAGGATGTCTGGAACATGCATGGAAGTCCCGTGCAGCCACACATGCCAACAACGAACATTCTCCACCTCCCTGGAACACCCAAACCCTGATCCTGTCCGAGTCGCATGAGCCCTTCACCAGCGGCGCACGGTGGGGGCGCCTCACGGACACTCCCCAGGGATCTGCATTCCTGGAATCAATCTCTCACCTCTCAACCACCACATCCATCCTCCGGTCGAGCGCATCATCCTACCGCATGCCTCCGTGGATGGAGGTCACTCCATGGGCTTCTTTCAAAAGCCTTCAAATTGTCTCATTGCCGTACTTGATTGCTATCGAACCCCTCGTTGGCATCGGGCTGGTGAACGGCGTGCACGTCGAGCTGTTGACATTGCCTGCATCCCTGCTAAGGGACCACCACGGCTGTATTCCCGATTTCATGGGGAAGATAAAGGTGTTGGATCAGAGAAGTTTCGTAGAGGAGATTATTCGATCAGATGGTGTTCATTTAAAGGTGCTCCCTTCTGGCATTGTGCTCCCTTCTGGCATCCCCTGGCTTACTCGTGATTGGCTGCAGAAATTTTGGGCAAGCATGTTGTAAAGTGGACTTGGGGCGTTATGTAAATAACCCCAGATAGTGATGCACCGCTCTTTTTACTAAATCGTCCTCAACTTCACAGCATGGCTGCAAGCAACAATGAGGAGACAGCGCAGTATGTCCATACTTCCTCCCTCCCCGTGCTACACACCACTGCCAGTCGATATATGTACGCGCTCCTGAAAAGCGATTGAAGTCATGCCGGTCGCCGCGTCAGAGTCGGCCACGAGCTGAGCGTTATATTCTCGAATGCCAAGGATGAGGCGTGGTCCCAGCACAAAGGACTGTATGACTTGCAAAATATCGAGAAATCCAAAAATAATTTGATCTTCCAGGGAAAATAGATCCTATAGAAATGATGAACCGTGGTCGCATGCAGAGTAGTGAAATATTGCCATACAAATAAGATCGCTGGAGACAAAAACAGCACCAGGCTGAAGCAAGACACAGCAACATAACTACCACGTTCAATCATTCAGAGGAAAAGGGAACGATGTTCACAATATGAGCTTACCTCGCGAAGTAAAGGACGTGGGATTTTATCAACACCGTGAAACAGTCCCCCATAATCCCTCCTGTTGAATGTTGTCGCAGCTCACGGAAGTGTTTAACAGCAATCCAGACTGCGAGACATAGTGCGAGGACCTCCCAGACAGTGCCGAGTATCCAAGTAACGGAACTCAGAAGTAGGACATTTCCCGCATAGTGAATCGTGCACTGATAGGTGCCGGAGAGAATGAGTTCCTCTGGTATTCATCAATCAGCCCCATGCACGTTTTTCATTTACAATCAAGTGTACCCCCTGAAATATCACCCGTTGTCGTTACGCCGACCACCACGTCGAAAATATTGACAGCCAAGCATGCGACGATGAGAAGTATCAGGATCACTTTGGATCGTTGATACATGGCATGTAACCGAGCGATCATGATGACTGCAATGTGTTTCAGTCAAGTCAATATCATAGGTCTTGCAACTACACAGCTCACCACACAGCATTGCAGATGCCACAACATTCGTCCAATTCCATATGGTGTACAGCGCCCGGCCTGAGGAATGCAGTTAGTGATGGGCCTCGGGTAGATCACACACTCCAGACAGACTCACATCTGTGGCAGTCAGTGCCACGAACGAAGAAGCTTGTCAAGAATGACACTCACCCCTACAGGGTGTCACGGTTGATTACAGAGGAATAGCAGGCATCGGTGCAGAAGACTCACTGCATCTGTCAACAAGAGCGCAGGAACATTCACTGTATGCCACAGGTAAGAAGAAAAAAACAAGGTGAATGCGAGAAGACATACTCAGTATGTCTAGGCTGAGTGTGAGATTCATTAGCACAACACCGGTTGTTTGGCCTTCTGAACATACATGACATATAATACTCCAAGATAGCGCACCTAGGATATTTTCAAGTCAGCACAACTTCACACAACGGGCAAGCTACATACACTCAGGTACAAAATGGTCATAAGAGACCAACGTTGCCTCTGTCGCAAATCAATGTTGTTCTTCTGACATGGAACTCTGCTCACCCAGACCAGTTCGACCTAGAAAACTATTCTTAGCAAGATGGCTGCTCCGGTCATAGCATCAACATACCTCTTGTCCGAAGGTAAGGGCTGGAAACACTTGTAGGCAAACGAGCAATTCTCTAATGTTATCAAACTCACCCCAATCATACACGACTCCAACGCCAGCGGCAACTGCGAAACCACAGTCAAGGTTAGATCGAGAGATCAGCATCAACATTTGACTGCTCTTCACACCTATAAAATAGCTGGAAATACGCCAAGAGTTGATGACCGGCCAATCACTAGGGTCGTCTGAAACTTGGGTCATACTGTTAGAGGATGGATGTGAGGGAGCAGGGAATTTGGTGGACGTATGACCGTGATGACATTCGTGCTAGATATACCACCATCCAGTGTTTGGATCGCCGAAGTGAAATCGAGGGATGGTGTCCGTTTGGAAGTTCCTGCCATAGTTGAAGCAAAGTAAGTGTTGTCACATCATGATGAAGTGATTCTGGACCTTGAAGATAATTGCGAAAGTGATCGGATCGGCGATGCCGCCGATCAGCGCACCCACCCCGCACCAAGGCGTCTCCACGAGACGACGGCACTTCACACTCCCGCCTGGATAAGCAGCCTCATGTTGAGTACCATGGATATGAATTCTCGCATGATTGGTTTATCCATATGTACTGTGTACATGGATAAGTCCATCATGACAATGCGATCCAGTACTGAGTACTTCATCTGTCCCACACATGTTGGTCGTGGTGTGCGCAGCATTTTCGATATGTATCGTGGAGTTGGTGCGGTCACTGCGGTGGTGACAGGTAATTCTAGCTCAAGATATCGATATGGGGGAAAGAAGTCAGAAGCACCGTCAATGACCGCATAACTCGGAAGCCCGACTCGCCGTTCTTCAACCTAGCTGCCAGCGAGCACCCTCAACGCTTGAGATGCGAAATGTACCACACTGAATCTATCATGCAGTCGATGCCAATTGGAGTGACGGAGTCGAGGTCTTCATCCGCTGTTCGTAGGGTAACCTGGGTACGGGATGCCGTCGAGACTCAATATCTTGTGTGAGCCTGAGCCAGTTACTACAACGACGCCCAGAACTACGTAGTACACCGGCACCCCTGCAGGCTGCAGAACTCCGACTAACGATCAACGCATCAGCAGCTGAGAACTCGATCCTGAGTAGCCCAATTAAATCCTTGGTGCCGCTCGCTTGATCTGTGAACACAGTAACAGCGTCCCTTGCCTCGCGTTTGCCGACTACCAACTTGTCGTAAACCTTCGTTCCGCGCTCTTTGTTATGGGGAGATTCGCGGAGGAATGACGGGTTCAGGTCCGATGTGAGGAAGTAATATGTTGCGTAGAAAGGTTTTCCCAGCTGCTGTGTATTGAACTATTAGTCGATGCTCACGGTGGGCGCTGTTGCCAGTTGGGAATTCATTTTGCGCGCCTCGTATCCACCACGTGCTTCCCCAAAAAAAGCAGAGGACTCGATATAGAATTGAGTAAATTGGAGGAGCTGCGAATGCCACCCGATGGCACATCGCACTTAAGATGTTACTGGTCGACCTCATAGGGGCCTTATAAGCCACACAACAAGAATTTATAGAAAACTAGAGGCAAACCGACGAGCCCCGACCAATTGCAAAAGGTTACTAGCATGTTACAGTAGCACAATCAAAAAGACAAGATATCAAACATAACTGCTAACTACATATCACGCATCATCAGATTCATCGTCACTTGCCTCCTCAAGCCACTTCAAAAACGGCTCGCTGGCCTTCCTCACTTTCTTGCTCGTCTCCTTATCGACGTACTTCTTGCTGACATGAGTACCCCACTGAGTCACGACCTCTTCTTCCAAGACGTCGATCTGGTACAGCGCCATAAGAATCTTTGGGACGGAAGGAATGAGCTCGGGGTGAGTGAGCCCAACGAGACACTCGATACCACCCAATAGGGCTTTCTGGTGCTTCTCGGAAGTAATCATCTGCACGTCAAGTTAGTAGAAGACCATGTGATCAGAAAGACAGAAGCGAACCTTTGCAAGCAAGGCCTTGTAAGTGTCAATCTCTTTCGCAACGTCCTCGGTGAACAGCGCTTGAACAAGAACGAGGACAGTCTTGTGTTTCTTCTCAACGCCGAGCTCTTGCGCCTTCTGGTAGATCTGCACCGCACTGACGTCTGCTTCGCCTTTGTTCTCTTCGACCCACCGACCAAACTGAGCATATGGGCTGTTCACGTCGTCATCACTGCCATCGTCATCTCCCAAGCCACCGGCAGGCGTAAGCGATAGTCCGCCAACTTTACTTTCCAACGCCTTCACGCGAGCCTTGACAGCCTCAGGGGACGTATCAGCCGACCAATCTTGAGCCGCAAGCTTGGTTTCAGTAGTGAGCTCAGCGGCCTCGGCTTTGATCTTCTTGGTAAGCTCATCATCACTATCGCCACCGTTGTCGTCTCCAGGGACTGACGGAGCCGATGCGTGGACTCCGCCGCCATTGCCATTGGTCTCGCCCTTCTTGCTCTTCTTCGGGTTCTTCGGCGGGTTCTTTAAGATGAAGGTGACGAGCTTGTGCTTCATGTCAACGTCCGTCCTTTCGCCACAAGCTTTACAATCCCTGACGACGTCCTCATTACGACCGCTCTTGAGAATGATAAGGTCCGTCTCAGGGTTCTTGCACGAACGACAAAGAACAAATTTGTCAATGAAGACGTCAAGCAGCTCGCGGAGGCGAGAGGCGTCATGAGCGCCGTTGACTATGTAGCGTTCATTCTTGTCATCGGAAGAGGTCTGTGCACCGAGCTCACAGCCGAAGAATTTGGTAGGGTACGTGGGAGGGCGAGATAGGGCACGAGCGACATCTGCCATGTTAGGGACGACGGTTTTGATACCATTGCCTTTTCCCTCGATTTTGGTGAGAAGGAGTGGCATGCGGTAGCGGTAGAACTTGTCATCGACATCACGACGAATATTCACAATTCCTGCGGAAGCCATGCTGGGCAGATATATTTAACGCTGGAGTATGGCATAGTCAATTGACAGCATGTCGAAGGATAGAGACAACGTACAGTACTTATGGATTTTCTCCGAAACAAACACGTATTTGCCGATATATTGAGAGGAGGTCGAAGCATGAAATAAAGTCTTCTGTTTTCTCCTCGAGTGGGACAGAAGATAGAAAAAATGTGCGTTTGAGAAGAAATCGTGGGCTAGAGTGAGACCGCGAAATTCCTAGGTTGTGGGCTTTGGGTTGCGTTTTAATGCGGAGGCAAAGGCTTTGTAAGAAGACTTCGTGGTTGGTGGTTGTGGGCAGTTAAGGACAAGGAAGCAAATTTATGGGTGCCTGTTTGTTCCGCCTCCGGAACTTGCCGGATGACTAAGGGCTTCCGCTGCCGCAGTATATGTAATACAAATAAAATAGCTCAACATTCGAACGTTTAACTACCACTCCTGTCACAATGCTTCCACAAGATAACTTGGTCCAAAGATTGTGAAAAATGATATATGTTATAAAGTACAAACAGCCAATATTTAACCCAAAAAAATCACATCAGTTGGTGGTGGCAGTCGTGTATGCGGTTGTGGCAAAACCGACTTGGGAGTTGGTGGTATCGAACACGGAGTAGAAGCGCTCAAGGAAAGTGTAACCGTTGATGAAGTCGAGACCTTGACCACTGGGGGCCCCAATGGAGTTAACAACCAGATAAATATAAGTGCTGGTACCACCAATATAGGTGTTAAGGGCACGAGGCCAGATCTGGCCGTTAGGAGTCAGAGCATAGGTGTTCTGTGCAAAATGGTGAACAAAGAATATTAACGCTTGAGATAGAAATGGCGTACACTGCCAATATTGAAGTTTAGGTTCTGGAGAGCACTGTACTGGGTGGAGGTAATACGGAGAAGACCAGTCCTCCGATCCAGAGTAGCACCGGTTGCAGACTGGTATGTGCTAAATGCGTCTATCAAACACTGATCAGATTAAGACCACTCGCTGTACTCGAGACACGCACTGCTGGCAATGAGGATGAGGGTAGTGCCAGTGTCAACGATACCTGCCGTCGCAGACAAGATCGTCTTGGTGCCATAGGTGATGCTCTCGTTGATACCCCAGTAGTAAGATGCAGGATAGGTGGTGGTGAGAGGACTGCAACAAAATGATTACTGTGAGTACGGATTGATCTCCGGGCTAGAGCAACATACGTATATGTGATGGCGCCGGTGTACTTGGTGGCATCGGTCCCTCCGAAGGTGAGCTCCCCATTGGTGACTGTCTGCGAAGTGGTGGGCTCGAACGAGACACCGACAACCACCTGAGAAATGATGCCCTGGGTATACAGGTTCTGAGTGACAGTCGGGATCGTCGTCGTCGGTGAATTTGTCAGGGTGCCTTCTGTCAAGTCGAGAGGCCCGATGCCGAGGATACCGTCAACACCGGTGAAGCCCGTCGACCTAGAAGCAACACCAATCGATTGCTGGGTGATGGTGAGCCCACTACCGAGAGTGACAGTGTCGGTGTACTCAGTTCCTATAGATAATCGTAAATATTTTTAACTTATGATATCTTTGTTTGTCGTACCAGAGAAAGAGCCAGAACCATAGCTGACTGCCACAGGCTGGCCAGTGTTGACGCTGGTGCTGGTCATCGCGTACGGAGTGGTGGCTCCAACCCAAGTGTTTGAGCTACCAGTGTCGACAATCAAGTTGTCTTTAACAATCTATTAACAGCTGCATATTTTCTCAGTTATTAAACTTACAGGTTGTGGCAGGGCTGCCAACGCCAACTGCTGCAATGTAGGTCACAGCATCGTTAGTCACAGCAATGCTACCAGCACGGCGGCCGATATTGCTTGCGGCAGCATTCTTGAGGGCGGCCGCGCGAGATTGGTCGTGCTGCAAGAGGTTGATAGTACCACCAGAGGTATTTAGCCTCCTGGCGATGGGTAGGGTGATGGGGGAGTTGCGAACTTCAACAGGCGATGCCGCTATGGACAAGGCCAGGAGGAGAGTCGTCAACAAGGATGCAGCTGGGAACATGGTTGGCTGGTACTGGAAGGTAATAATCATACCACATTATGAAACCCATTATATACGTCCTAGTGAACGTGAATACGCTGTGCTGAAAGGTGAGCACATGGTTAATCTCATCTTGAAGGCGGAACCGTATGGAACGCGCCCCCTCACGTGAAGAAACCGAAAACAGGAACAACTGAGCAATCGACTCGTTGTGCGCGTCTTTTATCAAAAGCAACACAGCGGAACAAGTAGCTGTTTTTGGCCGTGAGTAATGGGAACTGCATCCATGAGGACATGCGGTTCTACCTGTTTATTCATGGACTGAGGGGTTAGGGAATGCCAACCTCGTATGGTGAAGCTCATATGACAAGTCCACATGCGTGGCACATCCACATCAACTGCCAGGTGCTTCACTTTAGAGACTCCAACCTACTGGAGGTTAAGCATTGAGGAGGGGAATGGTACATGGGCCTGATGATATTACATTGAAAGAGTTGTTACACTGAAGAGATTACAAGAATACCTGCGGATCGACACAAAAAATCAAGCGTGGAGTGTTGCTGTCAAGAAGAGATAAGATGAAGAATCATGGTCCCTGGGGCCTGGAGCATATGCACCGCAACTGATTTCCGAGGCATTAATCGCGCGAGAACCGGGACCATTGTCTGAAGAACGAGGAAATTTGAAGGCATAGCAAGTAACGAACGAGACAGTGATGTAAAAACCGATCGTGCATGCCGGTACCGATATGCCTTGATCACCACCGTACAGAAATGGAGAAGTTAGGGGACCCCACATGACTTTGCATGTATCTTATGCCACTAGCCAACAGTGTTACTATCATGGCAAATCAAGAGGTGTGCGATACAAAGGAACAGGACAAAAGGGAGGAAAAGCCAAATGTAGGCGTAACTTTACATAAGCTTTTAAACCTTAATTCCCCGCCACTTTCTTCCAACTATCATGAGTCGTGATTGGCACATGATCATCGAGTCTGACTGGGCATCATCAAATACACGGAGACACTTATGATAATATCATCTGACATAGAGTATGAGATTTTCAGTGTCTCTCTGCTTCCGTCCACCGGACGCAAAGCCCTCCCCTTGACGCTAGACCCTCACAGGGCGTCAGACATGCACAGACGAATATGTCTAGTTGGAATAGAATGGTTCGTAAGTTCAGTCCTTCATCGAACGGAAGAATTGGATCGTCAAGTTCCTATGCTGAGCCTAACTACTATGTACACAGAGACCAAAGACCAAGATTCGCTACTCTTACTGTAACATACAATTTGTATACCGTATCACAATCAAATGAAAGACACGCCATCAATACCTGATAGGACGATGAAGGAACAACTTGTCTTCCTCTTCTATGTGGTCTAACTAGGGGGATCTGTGGCAGGCCGGCGGAGAACTTCCCCGCGGACAGTAACCTCCCTAACAGCTGAGAACAAAGGTTCAACTTCATTCACATCGACTTCGCTCAGCGGTATTTCCGTCTGAAAGTCTAGCACCCGCAGGTGGCAAGACGCGGCTGTCAGCACCGCCATGATACACTTCACTTCCGGCCCCTTTGGCTTTGCCGCCACAGTCAACTTCTGCAACTTGGGAAGATTAAGTCCATTGAATATGTCGATAAATCCGCGGCGATATAAAGGATTCGCGTAGAGGGGGAGAGTCATTGTTTCAAGGTAATGATGCGTGATAGAATCACGTGGAGTGCCGATATCCGATGAACCTATATCCGCCACGATGGTCTCCAGATGATGAAAAATGATCAAAGAGGTGTGTATGACCTGACCAGATGCAACCTGGAGGTGGAGATGACGCATATGTTTGTATGTATCTGTATCTGTGAATAGGATGGCAGTTGAAAGATGATGTTGATGAGAGATGTGTAGGTGACAGAGGTTTGGTGCGTTGAGTTTGCTGAGATCTGTCCAATAACACTCCAAGGTTCTTAACCGAGGTGCGTCGATGTCCTTGCGGGCGAATGTTAAGGTTGTTGGCATAACAGAAGCCATCTCCCAACGCCCAGCCTCCGAAATGAGGATTTCGAGCACTTGCGCATTTGCTGCCGAGGCTGCAAAAGTGCAGCGGGACTTAGTGCGGGGCGGGGGAGGTACGATGCGAAGGGTAAGAGGCAGGCTGCCAGAACGGGCGAGCCAAAATCGGAGCAGAGATGAAAGAAACTGCTGCAATTTTTCAACTCCCCCAGGAAGCGCCACTTGGATGCGGGACCAAACCCCTGCCGTTGAAAGTGCAACGACTCGCCAAAGGCGGCACACCCGGGTGAAGACCAGAGGTGGCTCGGCAAAATTGGCCGAGATGGTCATATTTCCAAAGGAGAAAATGCTAGGATAAATGTCGTTAACACTGAGCAGGAATATGTGCCGTAGAAGTTCCACTGGCAGCCGGTGAATGTGGTGTCTTGAGCAGTTGTCATTGACAGGAGAGTCGCGTGAACCAGTGAAGGACAATGCACCGATCCCATACACGAGCGCTGACATGTTCTCATCCCAGGCTTCCATCATCAATTGGGGTTGAGGCCTGAGGTGGTGAAACCTTGTCAAGTTGTCCGGGAAAACGACAAGGAACACTAAGCGGATCAGGCAAAAATAACAGGACGAAACTGTGGACTCTTTGAGCGTTGAACTGATTCGGATATGTGATGGTAGGTACGAGACCCGTCGGAGTCTAATCTGAATGGTAAAAAAGTGACGGAATATAAGGGGATGAGTCACACGACATATGATAAGGTGAGTGTGTAGTAAGCGATCAGCTTACAGGTGGGTATAGGAGACTATGCAGAGGAATAGGAGCCCATCTGATGTGATTTTCAAATTACACGTACCCCTAGCGAGATACCGCGATGACGGCTACTAGCTGCTCGCGCTTACAGCAAAAAATTGTCCTACACTTTGTGACGGTAGTTGTATACTTGCTGTCAGAGGCAACCTCAAGGCAAGGACGAGAATGTCATGATGAAAACCGAATAATATCAATCGCGAGCTGCAGAGGTCCAGATCATTCGGGAAAGACAAATTCTATATTGACATACCGTAACAAATACTTTGAGATCAGTGACACTCCCTTTGATTTACTGATGGAGTCCAAGAGATTTGAGCTCAGATATATTGCACGTTAAGATGAACTTCAAACATATTGCCCGCCTCCCTGTAGTTATGCTGTCCGTTTTCCGCAGTCAACGGGGCGTATTTCCAATGAAGACCCGAATTCTATCAAAGCAGGAATGGGCAAGAATGCCAGGATGACATCACAATGTGTCTAGGCCTGCGTTCCAGCTACTGCTGTTGGTATGGAAATGTTAGTCTCCCCGAGTCAAGATATAACAAACAAAACTCCCAGCCTGAGAGAATTTGTGTGGAGACCTAAGTCCGCCCTCCTGCTGGCCTTTGAACTTGTGAAGGAACCTTTATCGGGATATGCAGTGTGGGCATAGCCTTAATCCGAGTCTATGCCCTGCTTCTTTGCTTCGGTGCGGGATAAAGCTGCGCATCAAATCTCGAAGACACCAGGAAATGACCTTGATTATTGGAGCACTAGCCCCGTCCAGGATATTTTGAATGAAAAAAGCTTTTTTTTAGTAATCAATTACAAAATAGGTCTCTTACAAAAAAAACATGGTCCAAACGTCTCAACAATACTATGATCCAAATCCCTATGGAGCATTCAAAGACATCACTCAGCAAGAAGCTTCTCCACTGTAGCATCAATTGCCTGAGGGGTAGTTGTCGATGCCCAACGGTTCACAACTTTTCCATTCTTATCGATTAAGAACTTCTCGAAGTTCCACTGCGAGTGGCAGGTTGCGTCAGCTGTAGGCACATCGACGATCCGACCCCACATAACGAACCTTAATTCTGGTGAGGCCCATAAGTCCCGGCTTCTCGTTCTTGAGCCATTGGTAAACGGAGTTCGTGTTGTCGCCATTCACGTCAGACTTCTTCATAAGCGGAAAGTTCACTCCGTGGTTGAGCTCGCAGAAAGAAGAAATGGCGGCATCATCACCAGGTTCTTGACCTCCAAACTGTCGGTTATTATTGAGCACCCTATCACAGTGAAACAACTGAAGCGGTGCAGACTCACTTGGTTGCATGGAAAACCGAGAACGATGAAGTCACGTTCCTTGTACTTGTCGTACAAAGCCTGAAGGCCTAGGTGTCCGTTGTGAGTTGTGCATCAACTTCAAGAACTGTAAAGTGCACCTTTGTATTGGGGAGTGAAACCACTGGAGATTTCGAAGAGTGAATAGTTCGTAGGTCCTCCATAGTTACGGACTTACCACTTCGATGCAACATTGACAATCAAAACAACCTTCCCCTTGAGCTGTTCAAAGTCATACGTTTGCCCGCTAGGCAGCTCCGTCTTCAGATCATAAAAAGTGTTTCCGGATGAAGAAGACATCGTTCGTCGTAAAAGTGAAGGTAGTCGGAGACGTGACAGTGGAGGTACAGTGACAAACGGTTGACACCGGAATGGTTGAAACGACCGGCAAGTCCCACCAATTTCACAGAGTGGGTTATAGTTATATCTTAGAGATCTGATGCTGGAGTGGGTAACCAAGCGCGATTGGATCAGCGAAGGAGTGATACTTGGGAACGGTATAGCTTTCATCAATGCGCACAACTTGAACTTGTGTTCGGTACCCTGGTATGGTCTTGGCACGTGTTTATCTTATCTTTCTATGCCGTATTTCATATGCCGGAGGGTGGAAACAATATTGTCGGCTCGCTGCAAAACACCATGGTATGTATGTACGATAAAAATGTTCAACGGCAAAATTTGACATAGTCAAATTTGTAAATTTCCGACCATGCTAGCAGGAGGATGAAGATCACACTACATCCTGTCCCTGGCGTTAGTGATGCAGAAAGCAGCCCATGGGTCCCCATTCCGACCAGGGAATCTTGACATGTATCTCTGACTTCAGGGCCCTTTCCGAGAAGATGACCAAGTCAACAACTAGAATAACAGACAACACGCCATAGAGGACCTCCAAAAACCAGAATAACAGACAACACGCCATAGAGGACCTCCAAAACCATGATTTGTGGCTCCCAAGAGGGCACATGGTCGGGTAAGGTCTGTGCGAGCCGCTGCGCCTCGGAACGATGGTTTGGGATGTACAACAGTGATTGACGGGGATGAACGGTGACTTTTCGGAAGGAGATACGTGATTCAGGGCTGAGGCGATCGCATCAGGTTCTTGCAATGCGTAAACGGTTATAAGGCTCGAGCCTATCGCAATAATCGTCAGCTGGTCAACAACGTGGACTTGTGACAGATGATCATCTTAAGGTCGATCTAGTAAACGAAGTTGATTTAATGCTAAGCAGCAGAGTTGTTCTCAAGAATGGAGGGACTCACTCTTCGCATGTCCCTTCCTCTTTGAATCACTTGTATGAATATGGTGGATGAAACTAGGTCGCCCGATTCGTCTATGTCATAGTAAATAACCACACGATCATCGCAGATTTCAGGATGGCACACAACATAAACAAAATAATCGTCGGGTGCATAAATAGTGTGTTTGCACTCCGAGGAAGCGCATTCGACAGAGCTTGGATGGGGATTCCACCGAAATGAAGCCGACTGAGACTCCACAAAAAAAGATTTTGTTCCGCATCGGTCGCAAAAGCAACTATCAGGTAAGGAAAGACAAGATTAAGATTGACGGCAAGATCCTGCAGAGGGTCGAAAGTAAGATGGCTTGGCAGCGGCCGGTGCTGAGTGTTCAGGGTGACCATGGGCGATGGCAGTATCGCTTCTTCGAAAACAGTATCCACATCAAAGTCGGACTGCCACAGGGATGGCCATTTTTGATCGAAAGCATCTTCCCGGAAACACTGATCAAGCCTAGGGTAGATGTCTCGTTGGAGCCCTAAGCGTAAAAGCTCAAGCTTGTACTGAATATGGACAGAATGTTTGACTACATCCCGGATGGGTTTTGCAGGTCTTAGCATAAACTCAGAAGTTAGCGAGGAACATGAAAACACGTGATGGAATAACAAACTATTGCGCATTGATTGCGCAACGACAAAGATCCCTCGGGGTAAGTACTAGGGCCTCCAGAGTAATATGATCAGCCGTGACGAGAACCCAACGTAGTAAATTTGCTATCCGTGATGGTTGAACTAAAACATTCAAAACTCGGAGATTTCCATCCTAATCACCGTATCCCACGGTCTGGTACGCGTGCCTCGGGCAGGGATGCACTCGTGCCAAGTTTGTTCCTTACCACAATGGGTACCGGCGCCTACGCGCCCAATCCCCGACTCCTCCCGAATTACAAGCACACTATCGCAATTAAGCTAGATATGAATATGGGGTTACACGGATATGACGCTCAAAGTAGATTCTCAACTGTGCGCGACGATCTCGACGAGGTAAGGTAAATGATCAGTCGTTTGGCGAGGGTAGACGGCAGTAGCTGGGGCAAATCAAGCAATACGTAGGGTATAGTTATGTACTTACTGTTTGACAGGTAGATACGAAATGGGAAACATCATGCCGCCTTGCTATGCCCCGCACCTCTCTTTGTTGGGGAACCCTGGCCTGCGGGTCCGTCTGCCTTTCGCTTGCCCTTGCCCTCTGCTGCTTTGGTGGGAGCACTTGTGAACAGGCCCTTGGCTGCCCCCGTGAGGGGGAGCAGCTTCATGGACCTCAACCCCGTCTGGTATACTCGAGATCCGGCGGTCCGCCTTTCGTCGACGCCGAAGGTCCAGCTAAGAGTGATAAGATGAGCCGTACGCCTTTGCACAAGTCCGCACTTACAGTCGCAAGTTAACATCCACGACAACAGGCATAGCCGTCGTGAACTTGTTGCTGTACTCTGAAGGGTGGATGAGCACCCCAGCGGCGTCCCGAATGTTGGGAACGACGACCGGGACGTCTTCAATGCCGTAGAGTTCGATGGCCGAGCGATAGTGTCCCTGCGGGTCCGGCATGTCTTTCAGAGTCCAATCCGACGCGCCTATAACATGTGAGAAGCAGCCGCGGCTTAAAATTCATCACTCACCTCGGCTCGCGCTGTTTGCGTTATCCTTCTTCTTGGGGGAGAAGCGCTCTTTGATCACTTCTGCTGTGAATCGGACGTCGGTGTCTGAAGATTCGTGTCATCAGTCGGCAGAGCTTCCGCGAGAGGCGTCACTTACTCTCAAAATCTTCGAGTGAGAATTCAGGCACGGCTTCTTGAGTGATCTCTGCGGCATCCGGAAAGAGATGGTCGGTAGACACAATGAATTGACGCTCGGCCCCGGGAGTGGGACCTGCGCTTCTCATAAATTGAACGACCTCCCTCCCATCTGGGTAGCGGGTGGTCAGAATGTGTTGCATCTCGTGCGCCGTTCAACACTCACCAGATTTTCTCTTTTTTTCGCATTCACTCCCGAGGTACATCAATGTGTTCTGGGCCTTCATGCTGCATCTGACCGCTTCTATTGGGTAGGAGTCGTCTAGCACTTTCAGCTGGAACTGCGCCTTGGCAGTGCGTATCTCCTTGATCAAGGGCTGTAGCGCAGGTCAGCACAAAGCAGCAGACATAGTTTGAGAATAAACTAACCTGCTTGAGCGTGGGGAGGGAGAAGTACGGGTCCATTCGCGTGTGCTTGCCTAAAGGTTCGAGAATAGCGGGAAACGTCATGGTAAAAGGTCGACCGCTCTTGTCGCACCACTGCTCGCTACGTTTCTTGCCGTCCCAGAATCGTGGATTGTTGGTGGTTGCCAACGTGCTCAGGTGCTCAGTGCTGGCTGCATCGGGCGCAGCTGCACAGGCGAGTAAAGCTTCGACAAGGGCTGGTGCCAATGTCGTTTCAGAAGACAAGTCGTCAGCGTCGAAAACGTCAGGAGCAGACATGATGTCGACTCGCCATGCGTGTCTCAGGTGCGTTTATATGCCCCTCAAGTAATCCGTACCTGATCCACTTCTGACGTGCGGGTGAGACATGTGATCGAGCAGGAGACGTAGATCTCACTCGCAAACCCCTTTGATCGACTGCCAGCAAACGCAGGTGTCGGACGCTTCCCGATTTATCTGCGTGCTCGAATCACAACACTCGTTTGGAAAAATCATATGGCTTTATTGATGTTCTGCGTCCTAATCCTAGGCTTCTGTGCTCCATCTTGCCATCTTTCAGGTCCCTGCTCCTGCCGCATTGCTCATGATGACATTCATCAGCTGGCCCCTGCGTGAGTGGTACGGTGCATTCCCGAGTTTGTTTGCCTCTGCAACGAGGTGGTGCGCGAGATCCTCGGTGTAGGTGTATATAATCGCCACACTAACATCATTGGCCAAGCTCCGTACCATGTCTAGTGAAGTTCAGCGTGTGCTTTGTCGTGAGGTTGTGAACTTCGACGTACTTGTGAGCATCTCGGGCATGTCGAACAGAAGATCCGGAGCTATCAGCGCACTCGCGGTTGACATTGTTGGAAAGTGATGATTTGCCTCTCTGATGCTGCTGGCGTTTTCCACGTGGAACGTGGGTTTATCGCTTCCATGGCGTTCAACTAGACTCAATCAGCTCAGCAGCACGACGCGTAACTGTCGCCTTACCAAAAATGAATGCTCCCTCTGCGTCGAAAAGGTCTATGAGCTCTGCTACGGAGGGTGCGATCATGTTTTCTTACGCTGTGGAGTGGCGGACTTTGGTAGGCAGGGGTGAGCAAGATGTGGTTCTTCTGTGGTGTCATTCTGCCGTTGCCACGATGAGCCATGTGATTGAGCACGACATGTAGACCTCACGTACCACTCCCGTTGATCGACAGTCTCTGATCAGTGGCCCTGATAGGGTCGATAAAAGAATACCCGCGAAACCAGCCGACGACTCAGGACCCCAAGAAAACGTTTTTGTTAGTGAGCATTGTGTGGTCCATGTCCCATGCTTCTCAGTCCAGAGCCCTCTCGCTGGTGTAATAGCGATGTTCCTTCACGATGAGATGTCCTTGCTCTTCGACTTGCCGGCCATCGATCCACCGGACAAATCCATCCAATCGGGGTGACGCACTCGACAGTTTGTAAGCTTCTGATTGTGCATTCACAAACACGATCGATCAACACGTGCCGATCGGTGGCTATGAACCGCAATTTATTTCCAGGCTTGTCCCATCGGAGCTGTCAAATCCGACGCTGAAAATCAATTTACTACAGTACTGGCGGATATTGTGTTCTTGGCCACTACTCTGTGTGGGATCATTGCCTCAGTAATGTTGAACACATCGATAGCCTTCTGCACGCCGCCGTCAGAGTTCGTTGCGAGTAATCAATTGTTTCTGACGAACCCTCCAAGTGGCCATGTCAAATTCCATGATGAGCTGGTGACGCACCACTCCTGAAGCTAGGCGGTGTGATGGTGTGGAACTACAACTCTCTACAAACATTGAGTGCTGTTCAGATGTTCAATGAATGGATGAACAACGTACGGATGACGGGCTCCCCTCTGCTATCCACCCACAAGGCGCACAACCCGTCCCTAAACAAGAACGAAAGGCAGAAAAGGTTTTCGACAGATTGTGCGAAGTCTTTTGGGTTTATGACAAAGCGGAAGAGGTTGACAGAACCTGTTCGTTGGAGGATCTGTTGTATCTGAGAATCTATAAGTGCAAAGGGAAGGGCGCAAACAACGCTTGCTTGCCTGGGCAACATTTTTCGAGGTGCACTCGTGTCCTCCTGGGAATTCGTGATCCATATCCCCAAATTTACGGAGTTCGTTGTAGACCAAAGTGGAGGGCAAGCAAGGATGGTCATTGGGGATGACTATTTGTCCTTTGACCAACACGATCTCCCGACAGACGCTGTTCAGTGGCCCTGATAAGGTCCATAAAAGAATACCCGTGAAACCAGCCGTAGCCTCAGACCCAAAAGGAACGTGTCTTTGTTTGGTGTTGTTGAAAAGACAAGCCGTTCATCCACGTTTGATTGGCGACAGGGCATCGTTCATGGTGACAGGTTCACATTTGGTCAGGTACGCTACAACAACTATTTGCAAATCAGGATGTGATCCGCTCGTGCCTCTGGTGATATATCAACTGGTGCTTTTATGCCAGGTACGAGCACCAATCGTCCGTCGCTCAGAGGAGATACAATGTATGCAGAGTCGAGAAGTGTCTGCATGTCACCACTGTCAGGAACATACCATCAGCACAACACACCTGTGTCAGACATGCACTTACGCATATTGATCTTGCGTGATCTCGAAATTCTCAGAAACATGGGCTTGTACCTCGGCTGGCCAAGCACCATATGGTGTGGCGTGCTGCAGCCGTGCAACAGCGCATAATATGGCAAGGTGTCCAGCAGTCAACACCTCGTTGATCTGCATTGCACCCTCAGTTATCATCGAGCTCGTTGACAATACGATGCTCACCTGCTTCTCGTGGCAAGCACACAGACAGCTGTTTTCCACCATCTCTGCTGTCGGCAAAGGTGTCATGCTTCTGTTTACCACTGGAACCACTTGAACCGCGTCGAGATCGTCGCGCGCAGTTGAGACACTGAAGTGTTCCAGTCTGAGCTGCAGCTCAGCAAGATCTACACTGTCGTCGCGCAAACATGCCATTGCAGCATTCATGGTGTCACGTCCAAAGGTAGGTGGCACGATTCAGGTGTTGTGTTCCTGTCGGCCACGTATTTTTGATGTAGAAGTTGACAACGGAGTCTTTGGCAGCTATAACTTCCGTCTTGATATAGCTAGTGTGTGCGCAGTCGAGCGCGATAGTGTTGCAGTCAATAACTGTCCCTGGGATGAGGCTGCAGTCCTAGGCAGCAGGTACGTGTAACGGACACCATCCGCGAGATTGAAAACGAGGGTCTGCAGGGAATAAGTGCAAAGACTTTGAATGGAGTGAAGCACTCACGTTCCGTGAGTAATATAGTGCTCGCGAACACCTCTGGCCTACCATTTATATCACATGTAAAGCTGCACTGTAAACGTGGCTGTTGGCGTGGCCGATGTCAAGGGTTTCGCTCAGTAGCAGAGCAATGGCAAGTTGGAGCAGGATGATGGGTCGGTCGACACGACCAGTGGGATGCAAATCAAGGGCGTCTTGTAAAAGAATGATAGGTATGTCGTCGACAGAGCATCTAAAGCCAAGCTGACTTGGGTGGAGTATGTTGACGTCTAGCATGCTGGTTTGAGCGGGAACCCACGTTCACGGGCAACACATCTCGGGAAAGTGCGAACTTCCCAGACTTCTCCGATCAGGCACCTACAACGATCGAATACTTCATATCCATGTAACCCCCATATGCATATCTTTGCCTTGGAGGGTAAGAGGCCCCACCAAACCCAACGGTCTCAAAGTTCTCGTAAGGCGTATACAAGGAGGTGGGCTTCATTGGGTCCGTGAGTGTTCAACAGTGAAGAGGAGGTGAAGATGTTGTTTGCCACACAGTGTGAAGCAGGGAGGTCCGCAGCAGGCAAACCACCGTTGATGCGTCCATCATATTGCCACACGCCATCCCTTCCGTCAACCAAACGGGCAGTGAAGTGATAGTTGCCCAAGTATATGATGCCTCGAAGGACATACTCGACATCGGCTGTCTTCGATGGTATGAAGAGCTTTGGGGAAGGAAACAGCGCAGGAAGTGACATTGGTACGACTTCCAACGTCAGTAGCTGCGGCGGGTGCTGGTAAAAGACGCGTGGTTGCATTATCGCAATGCAAGCTGGGCAAGAGGGTACGCTCTCGTGAGTCTGAGCAATTCTGTTGTGTTCTGCTCGCAGGAACATTCTCACCCAGGTCTGGCTAGACACTGAAGAAGCCTCCAAAGACCCGGAGTGCGCACCTGCAACCAGTTTCGCCCAAGTGTTATGGTCGCACACAGTGGGGAGTGCGTGGCTTGATTGCCCAATCCATGGTGACATGACTGCTTGAGGGCATGCGTTTTCGCACTGGATGTCATATTGGGGGTCATAGGCGTCCTCCGCGTGCATCACATGTAGGATGTGGGACGCGGATGCCCCACACATCCCATGTCGTGGAAAGGCTTGACAGTCCAGGGCGGTGAGTGAGTCCCTGAAATGATCTCGACGCTCGTCAAATGCGGCTGCTGATTGCATGAGCTCGCTGGAGGTGCCTAGCATGTCGAATGAAGTAGCCAGACCACTCGCAATGACATTTGAGGTGCGCCATTTTTGCCTCCACGCCTCTCCTGCCGATCGGTATATGTACCATAGGATCATGAAGGTGGAGTCGTACGCGCACGACCAGTCTGAAGGAGACCACCTGCACCCAGCAGTTGCTGCATCCGGGGCAAGTTGTCTAGGGACTGCGGTGGAGGCTGTACGTGGGCCCGCCTGGTATTTGATGCGCTTCTGAGGAACCTTAGAGGATCCTCCCGGTGCATCAAGTGCACGGCGCTTCCGCTCAGCCTGAACGGGAGCACCTACGTCAAACGAGGCCCTCAAAGTTGCTCGCCCGAATTCCCGTTCAGATTCAGGGTCAGGGACGCATACCAGATCGCCCTCCAAAAGGCCATGACGCACGTAGGTGTTGTGCTCCAGTGCATCGAAGCGTCTCACCTCTAACAGTAAATCATATGGCACAGGCTTGTTTAACTGGTCAAGAGTGACCGGCTCTGTGAGACACAAACCTTCACGTGTACGTGCGCGGGAAGCTGCTACGTATGAACCGAATCCTCCCTCGTGCAGATTTACAATGACCTTCGGAAGAGTTTTGCCTTGGGCAGAGTGGCCCGTCACAGCGAACGCGGGCTGGATAGGCAATTGTTCGCGTACAACACGCAGCTTGGACTTGTCATCTTTCGACCCTGGAGCGAGGGTAGTAAACGTCCACGAAATGGGGGTGATGGGGAATGTTCCCACTGGCAAACCTGGGATTCGCACTCGACTGCCCGCAAAGTCGACAAGAGCACAGGTGCAATATGTGAGTCCTTCTGCGCACTGTGCTGTATAAATTTTACGAACTATACCCTGAGATCCATTAGTGATGCCGAGTTCTGTGGACAGATTCCTGGACCGAAGTATCACTGGCATTCCGACATACAGAGAAACAAAACCTGGAAGCGCACCAGCAGAACTGAATGCAGCCACGTCGAGGCCGAGGAGGTGCAGTCGTATCTCGCGCGTTAAAGTACTCGAAGTTTGTTTAACTCTGTCGTTCGCAGCACAGATGACCAGATTCAGGGCATGCGTAGCACAGGTTGCTGCCGCCTTAATGTTGTTTAGATGCTCACGCGAAGCATTCGTGCTCACGATAGCTGCTCCGGTTAGGTTGTCGTTCGTGCCAAGGTCGATGCCTTGGGTGTTGCTTGAGGAACGAACAACACGGGTGTTAAAGAGGTCCACATCTTCATACGTACATTGCCTTACTCGCAGGCGTTGCACAGCAGCGCCAAACTCGGGGTCTGTCTTCATCCGCTGTTGTTCTGTCAGGGTGACAACCGTGTTGACTGATTTCCATGCCAGTCTGCCCAAACGTTTGAGGATCTCGCGCTCCGTCTGACTGGCAAGCGACGAAACGGGCGTGAACAAAGGTGACCCCCCTACAGGAGGATATTGGAAAAAATCTCCAGCGTATATAATGGCAACACCGCCGAAGTACTCGTCTGGTCTTTCTTTCGCGTAACGCAATGCATGGTCCATCTCACATAGCAACTGCAAACTCAACATGGACGACTCATCAATGAAAACGATCTCAACGAAACGCCATTCATCCCGCAGTTGTGTTCTGCTCTGCACGCTGATGAGGACAGTATAGTCTTCGGAACTCTCACCAAGCTGTCGATTCGATTTGCCGTTCCGGTTGACCTTGATCTTGATTCCCAATCCTTTGTGAATCGTCATTCCGTCGATCAGTGATGCTGCTGAACCAGTGGGTGCGAGGTATCGAATCTGGTGCGCGCATCCGTAGTGGGACATTACAGCTTTGACTGCATTGATGACGTATGTCTTGCCAGTTCCCCCTGGGCCGGTCATGACCATTGACAATGGGGGCAGGTCCTCCTTTTTCAGTACGTGTTTGTTGATGAACCATTCGCAGATTATCCTGAAACAGGTTTTCTGCTTGCCGTTCAAACCATAAAGATCCTCAAAGTGCAGCATGATATCCTCTGGAGTGGACACATTAGTGAGCGCTGTTTCGCCACCTTCTCTCGAAGTGGAAGGAGGGCACACCGACGAGTTCTTGGGCGCACCACTGAGGAGGTTAGTAAGTGCACCCGCATCATAAACTGCTTCACGCGACACTGCTCCCTGCTGCCCGGGATCAAGCGCATTTCGACGGCTCTGGGATACTAATTTCTCTTGCAGTTGTATTTCCTTCCTCCACTCTTTCAGAAGGGCTGCAGTAAGCTCACCAGGCGGGTAATTATCACCGTCGGATGAGAGCGATGACACAGCAGGTACTCTCTTAATCAGTTCTTCCTCGACACAGCCGGACGGAGCATTGAGCCAACCTGCAGCGCGAAGGATGAATTCAGCTCGCTGTACCTGTATGTCTCGCGCGCTCCCCTTCACCGTTAAACCCGGGACCTCGACGTCATCATCATCGTCTCCGCCAGCGAAGCTCTGCATCAAAGACTTTGTGGCTGCAGCGCTCTTGGCTGCCAGCGCGGAACGCTTCCGCAATCTGTCGGCATCTCGCTCATCTTCGCACTCGTGCATCGCCTCCCAGTTCCTCATGACTCGTTGCGAAAACTCACTGAATGTATAGCTAGCAAAGACAGCAGTAAGTTGCTGACCCTCATCAAACAATGGAACAGACTCGCTGAAAGCCTTGAAGTGTGCTAGGGTAAACAGGGCCCAAGCTTCGCCGCTAATTCTCCTAGGAACCACCATGCCAATCACCCGAGGTACAAGTACTCGCGCCCCCTCTCCACGGTCTACATTGGTATGTTCGACGAGCACGTGTGTCTCACACAGTTCGTGACCGTCTTTCAGCGCATGTCGTCGAAGGACCCCCAAGCGTGTGTCTGCAGTGTGTATGTTTCTCTCGCTCTTATCTTTCAATTCTAAACGAACGAAACGACTAAAATCGTAGAAATTCAGGTGTTGCAGCCCGTCCCCTCGATACCAATAGTGATGAACCTGATTCATCGTGATCAACCGTCCAGCTTTGTCAGTCTGCACTGTGAGTGACGAATGCTCCACATCTTCTGCATCATCATCGTTGTCATTGCTGATCAATACATACTGCTCCTTAATGAATGCCAACAGCAAACCGGACAACATGGGAACTGTGCTGTGTGAAGGTATGTTGTCACTGAAGCCTCGTAGATAGCGGGCGGCCTGCTGCGCATGTATCTGCTGCTGTTTAACGTACTGTGACAGGCACCTATGAAGAAGTTGTTTAGCTCCTTCAACCTCTGACTGTTGTGGACGGGAGGACATCTGCACTACGACACGCGACAACAACGACAGCATCTCATGAGTCTTGAGTTCTGATTTAGTGATGTAGTCAGTAATGTATAACATGGCCGCTTTCGCTGCTCTTCCAGACAGTATACATTTTAAATCATGATTGTGTCTACAGAACACGAGTATGTAAGGATTGAAAAAGTTGACTGTACCATCGCGACACTTCAACACGACTGACTTGCTGTCTGCATCATAGTAAGACTTCTCGACAACCTCATGCGGAAAAAGAAATCTACACTGGTCATTATTTCCGTACTTGTGACATACACGTTTACAACTATGTCGTTGTAGCACTTCACCGCAACGCTTGATTTCGCTAGCCATGAGAGACTCCCACTCGGTGAGCGCAGTAGAAGGAGTGTCGAACGAAAGATCGGGTGGGAGAGGCGGTCGCTGCGTTCGCGGTTCAAAGCCGGATTCAATCTCAACGTCGACGTCAGGCAAATGGTGATGTATCACATCCTCGAAAAAGGCGAAAAATTGTCGCTGATATTCGGGAGATTCCAAACGCTGGTGAAGCTCAGTGGGATTGAGGCCTCCCAACAGCCAGATGACGAAGTGACCGTGCAAGCTGCCACGCTCAGTGAACTCACTCGTTCCATAGAAAGCCTCTAAGTGACCTAGGATACCTCCGCGCTCCGTTGATGCCTGCGTGTCGAAATCCCAACCGAACAAATGAGTAAATATGCACTTAAAGGAAAAATGAAAAAAATCTGCCGCTGCCACTGGGTCTCGAGCCAAGCGAATCGCACGCTCGCGGGCAGGAACCAGGCATGGATAATGTTGCGTCAAGTCTACTGTCGTGTCACCAAACATAAGTTGAAAAGTAGGGCTATGAGACGCACTCAGGTTGCAAGTAAAGAACAAGTGAGGCATGCCGAAGAAACCGAAGTAACTACGAATTTCGCTGCGCACGAACATCTTAGATGACTGCGACCCGGGAATCCGCGCAGCTACAGTGTTAACTTGATTGAGCAGATTGAGCGCGTTCCGGTCGTCGGGGCCCAGGTTCGAGTACTTGTGCTCCTTTTGCAACTGGTCAGCCAAGCGAGTCAATGTGTGTGGTGAGACAGAGGTGAGGCGCCTCGCGAGAGTCTCAAAATGAGAGCGTCGAACGGTGAAATGGGTGTGAAGATGAGCTGTGCGACGCTGGAATATATTGAGTATGACGAACATATATGAACGGTGGTAGCGAAAGGACCTATCTGCGAGATCAAAATTGTAATTGGCTTGATTTTGAAAACCGAGAGAGGTTACACGAGAGTTGTCGTCAAAGCCACCTATTCCAAAGGGATACAGGGTCGGGAACATACCTGGAACCAGGTCAGGATTGTGATATTCATCCACAGGTTTTGAGCTTCGAGGAATCACCAGGTCAGGCTCCCCAGTTGAAGAATCGGCAGGCAGAAGGTTGCGCAGTGCAGAGGCTGTAAACGCACGTCCGGGCAAACGCGTGCATTCGGGATCAGAGACGCCCATACTTTCAATGAGGATGTCGGGCTCGGTCGCTTCTGAAGGGTTAGCACGAACACCTGATACAAACAACTCAGCAGGATGCTCGCTAAAACCTGCAGTCTCCTCAGAAAATACGGTCTGCACGTTTGACTCGTTGTCGTATATTACGCGATCTGCAACCCCTGGAACTGAGCCGTCCTCTGGATAAAGGTCCATGATACCCTCATCCAAAACGACGTGTTCGTACAAACGGTTATGATGGGTTAGCCAGCGCAGAAACGACCATACCAATTGCTTCCGAATGCGAAACAACGTCTTGAGGGAATGCGGGGTCAGCTTCCCAGGCCCTACAAACACAACGGTCAGCATCCCATTTATATCCGCCGGTGTACGAGGGAGGATCTTGGCTGTGGACACTAAGTTAGTTTCATGCGCACAAGTGTTGCCGTGAAATACAAACGGTTGGGCAGGGTCGCTGGACTGATAGAGGCGCGTGACGTGTGCCGTGCTCCTATAAACAGCGCATACCATTTCCTCAACCCAAGTGAGATCACGGAATTGCGGTGGTAAACGGCCTCGATAGAGCTTGTTGGCCAATGCGAAGCGGGGCACTTTGGCACGGGACAACGACTTGAAGCAAGCGTCGCAAATGCTCAGGGTACAGCTGAGAGGGGTAGACACAGTAATACCTGTCTTGTCTAGCATTAGTCCATCAAGAACAGAGCACTCGTAAGTGAATTCAGTCGACAGAGACTGAACGACACACTTCGTTGTGATGAAGGCGTCATTTAACTGCAACAAATCCAAGCTCAGCGGGAGATCAGCGTGAGCCTCAACATTCAACTCATTCACACTATGCACCTGACGTGAGCACACAGCACATACAGTACCAGGCTGCCAGCATGATCCGTCCACGTACTCGCGCAAACAATCCGCGACGACTTCACGTGGAACGACTCTCGGCCATTGCGAGACAATGTCTGCATTGGATTGTCTGGCCTCCGCAGCCAATCGAACCTTCGTGTCCTTTCGATCCTGCTTGCGTCTATCTGACAAAGCAACGATGGGCTGCTCCAAACGATTGATGAGCAACGTGGAGTACTCCAGGTGCAATACGAGGGACAGGAGCGCCTCACGAGTATCCGGGACGGCGAAAGGCAACACGCTCATGACATTGACGAGGAACATGTAATCAGTGAGGGATTGCAAACGCGAGATACGGCGTTGAACATGCTTAACGAGGGCTTCACAACACTTCCTGCGTGATTTGTGGGTATACGCTGGTCGTTGGGCGCGCGGCAGGTTAGCTATACACTTGACAATAACTGTGCGATCAAGCTTCTCCAAACGCTTCACAAGCTCTTTCGCAGGCAGAAAAGCCCACCACTCTGGTTCATGGTTCAGTGGGTCTGGTTCGTGGTTCGGTGTAAGGTCTGGTTCGTGGTTCGGTGTAAGGTCAGGTTCGTGGTTCAGGAAAAGATCTGGTTCGGGGTTCGGTATAGGGTCTGGGTCAGCCAGTAAGACATTATACGAACGGCGCAAAGCGGCCGCAACAATCTCCCCATACAACATCTCGATGTAAGCCGAGATGACACTCAAACGGGAGACAGAGGGCAAAGAACGTGTGATAATAGGAAGGCAACGAGCGAACAAAGCCTCGTTAGGTGCAGCACCCAACTCGGTACGTAAACGAGAGAAGTGCGACAGAATCGAATTGATGGATTGGACACGGGTACGCTTCTTCGGGACAAATGCTGCAGGAAGTTGGCGAGCTGCCTCCACGACTACAGACGCGGGTAGGTCAGAGAGGGATATGGCATAATGATCATCAGGAAAGAAAAACCACGCAGGGTCATCGCTGACCACGTTTGCATACAGTGCACTAAGATCCCCCATATGAATGGACGAGGGACAAGTCAACTGTGAAAAATTCGTCGATATCCCCGGGCCGCGGGAAAACCAGGAAAGCGGAAATCGGGCCCATTATTCGGATCAAAACGGGTGCAGAGAAATGTATAGAGAGGCTGATATTTGTGTTCTACAAAGCCCTCCCTTTACTTACGTAAAGAGTCGGGGACATTGTACTGCAAGTTGGAGGGAGTGCGTACAACATCTACGTCATGGTCGCTTGACAGACAGTGCCCAACTGGAAAAAAGTGCGGTTCTTCGGATTTTCCATTCATAATTATCACAGCTGACTCCCAGGCATCAACACTGGTTTCACGCTCATCAGCAATCAGCGAGACAGATACAGGATACAGGCAGCCTGCAGACCTATTGCTCGGTCCCAACCTAGCACCCTCGCATGGCAGAGGGCTTCATAATCGTCTTCGGACGGTATTATATCAATATTCACTCGTCACAACTGTCTAGCCGTACCACTAGATTGTCAGCTAACTACTTTCCACCACCCAAAGTCACCGTGTCAAGAAACTAAACATAGGTTCTGTACCCGCTGGGACCTCCTCGCCAATTCCACAACGGATTCATCCCCTGAATCTAGCGCCGCACTCGAGGCGTTCCATCATATCCGAGACAAAGAACGGAGCGTCCGGTGTACACACCGGTGCCCTAATTGTTATTTCTGGCAGGCGTGAGTAGCAGCTCTCATTTCCGTCCTGCCTCTGCGGAATGAAATCAACAAGGTCCGCAGGAGATGCTGTTGAGAGTGCCTCATTCTGTGACACACAGATGCTGAAGCCTCGGCACCGAAAATATTGTTCAGGCTCACAGTGATGTATACAGTGCCTGTTGTCGGGACATCTGTCGTACGCAAGTCATCGGCTGTCACGGGGTGATCACTGCTTCATGGAACATTGCTTTCACCCCAGAGTAAACCCAATATGACTCGCAATAGTCATCAACCGGGCCTGAGTCATACACTACCTACAGTGCGTGTCCAGCAGCAATGCCATGCGTATAAAGGGTATGAGCATTCCAAGCATTCCGACATTCATAATCACTGTATCCCAACATCGTCTATATAAACAAGACACTTTAGCCCCGAGATCACTAGTAATATGTTGACCTCTTTGGCCCGCTTCACCGTTTCTCTTGCTCTTGCATCGTCTGTCCTAGGTGCTGCTATACCCACAGCGACAGTGACCACGATGACCACTGCGGCCGCGACTTCCACCACTTCTGCAGAGCTCCATTACAAGGGGCTTATCGGTGCTCTATGGAAGAACAATGTTCACGATAAGGTTTATTCCTCTGAAACACCCGCGGCAACACCAACTACAGAAGGTGAACTCTCACATACACCGAGTTGCAAGCTTTTACTAACATACTGTCATACTAGGATTTGCCTCATTTCGGCGGTCCGGGGAACTTTGGAAGGGGAGAGAGCACGAAGAAGTAGACCCAGCAGTTAGCTCCTCTCGGCGATCTGACGAACTCTGGAGGGGGATCGATCACGAAGAGGTAGCCCCTGTAACGGGCCCCTCTCGGCGATCTGGTGAACTCTGGAGGGGGCTCGAGCACGAAGAGGTAGCCCCAGCTGCTCGGGCACCTTCTCGCCGATCCGGCGAGCTCTGGCGAGGATTGGAACACGAGGAGATTTCTACCTCCCCTTCATGATTAAGGTTAGTTCCTGTACGAACTCCACTGAAGCTCAACCTGACACCCCACGTACAGCTATTCCGAGTCACCCTGAATCCGGTATTGATTATTTATGGGCGAGGGGCTCCATGCCCTTGCTGTGTAGGTGGATACACAGCAAGTTGGCTGTTTTAAGCCTCTGGCATTCATTACCGACCTTCGCATAATTCTTTTTTTGGCCAAGTGCCGCCTTATAAGTTATAAATACCCATCCTACAGCAGGAGCTCTGGAAAGCGTACCTCACTTTATACCAGTCTACTTCATTCCGGTAGACATTCTATTACTTTTATTTTGTTAAGTTACTTGTGGCTCCTTTGTATTTGTACATACTACAAGTCAAGTGAAATGTATGTATTCGCCAGTTCGTTGAATAACGTGGAATCCCGACCAAGACAGTTACGAGAAAATTGATTCAGTCCAAAAAAAAACGTGTACATAGCCTGACTCACTGAAGACGTGTTGGTCTCATGCGTCATTTGTATACGGTCCGTGTGTAATGTAACCTTGGCTAATATGATATGCCTAGGTGGATCTTCTCGGATATGATGAGGCGGATCGAGCAAGGATTAAATACTGAGGCCCTAATACTCCCGCTCATCATGTTCCGTTGAGAGTTAGTACTCGATTAATAATTTTCCGTACGTGTTCGTGTCTTCATACCACCCTTGGACTAATCGAGGGCGTAGCTTGAGTCGTGCTTGCTCCATTCATTGCGAAATGTTGGGGTCAGTCTAAGGTTGTCTTGCGCCGGGCCGATCACACGTCGAACTCGGAAATCGCATGACGAATGATCCGGAGTCTCAGTTGAGGTTGCTCGTTCAGCTTGGACAGAGCCTTCGGCGCTCTTTTGCTTGCGCAACACCGTAGTGCAGAGAACACCGTCGCCGACGGTGGGTAAGAGAGCAAGGGGCAAGGGAACCCTGCTGGAACAATGTCAACTTCAGAATGCCATCAAATGCCAACAAGAATGATCAAGGTAACGTAGAATCAAGGTGGTGCTCGATTGTAACACAATATCGATAACTAGTAGCTAGTTTGTACGACAGCCAACCAGCAACGGAGAGCGAAGACCTAATATTGGTGGCATCCTAGCCCAAAATCGACGTCCACCACACAGGCTTGTAGCCAGGCATGATAAAATTGGCCTTCTCAAGTTTAACGGCCCAATCATCTGCCTCTCGTTGATAAATTTTGGCAAGTTGAGTATACTGGCGCACTCGGTGTAGCGCCGCGGCATGACTTGCACAAACTGCGTCAATGGTGCACCGAGTGAATATCTCGAATTGCTCTTCATCTGCGTGGATATCGATTTCGTCCAGTGTCATCTTTGACATCTTGGTCAGTACTTGCGCTTTACACCTTGCCAAGTAAAGAGAAATAACTGCATACCAAATATGACTGCATCTCTCGAGGGTCCTTTGGGAAGATGAATGGTTTATCCGCAGCGCCGATAGAAGTTGAATCGGAAGACGCTGGGAGAGGCTGCGATGGTGTTGGTTCTGACATGTTCAAAATTTGAGTATGAACCGTTGAATCGAGTCTATCAATTTATTAGTAGACCTATATACTGGACGTTCAATCGGAGCAATTGGGGTTTTCAAATGTCCCAGAATAGGAAATATCCTTTTTTAGTAAGGGTAGAACAAAACCCGGCAACCACATCCAATCTCCGCGTCACACATTATTTAAACTCAGAAGACAAAATTTCTCGATCGCGTTTTACCATCGCGTTTTTACTTCGCCATGTGTATACTTTGACCTACTGGGCTTTGCGCATCAACGAAGGGCGCACTCCAAGAGCCCTCGTGTACGAGGAGAGGTGAGTTGTCTCTCTGAAGCTATCGATCCTCTGCGGATGATACACAAATCACCAAATCCGAAGCCTTCGTGGCGATGGTGATAACATAACAAAAAAAACTAAGAACAGCCATCTGATCCCCCTTCATGTTTTCATTTGCGCACGCAGCATTGATACTGATTCTTGTTTGTATTCACAGGAGTTTGAAGTATGATGGCATGTCAGTGCAAGATGTCTCGCGCGGTGACTTGACGAAATCTAGTCCAACAATTCGATTGACAAGGGTTTCTTTGCGTGTAGTGTTATGGGCTCTTATGATTTGTCTTGTGCGTGTATTGGTACGTAGTCATGTGTAGGCAGATATAAACGTGAATAGATATTACGAATATGCTAGATTGCAATGGCCATTGTGCGTCAACAGCATATTGATGGTGACCTGCATCATGGTATCATGATGAATATGATAGATGCGAAATACCTCTTCATGTTTTCTTTCCCAACATCTCTGCCATCTTGGCTTGCCTTTCTCTCTAAGAGAGGGTGAATCGCAATACTAGGAAAGAAAGTCGACCTCATACCTCGTCTGTGGCCTTTAAGATTCTTAATTTCTCAATCTCGCGGGCGCATTCCGCCATGCGGTCCTCCATCTCCCTTACATTTTCCCTCTCCGCTTCCAAGCGTTCCTCTTGGGCCTTGACCTCCCCTTTCTTGCCCTCCCACCGCGCACGCTCCTCCTCAGCGCGAGCCCTTGCTTCAAGGAACGTGCTCTCGGCTTTCTGGGCGGCCAAGAGTGACTTGGAGTAGGCTCCCTCTGCTTTCGCTTCGAGTTTGCACGCGGACTTGTGAAGATCTTGTAGGGCCGCGAGAGACTTGAGAGCCCGTTCCAACGCAGCCTGTTCCAACTTAGACTCTGTCTTCAGAAGCTTAGAAAACCGCTTCGACTCTCGCTCTGTCGAAAAGCCTCAGTTACGAAGGTAACTCATAATGACAGAATGAATACTCACGCTCATCCTTGACGATTTTTTCTTTCTGTTTCTTGCTCAGGGACCTCTCAGCGATGACGCCCCGGAGGGCCACGGCTGCATCTACATCTGGCTCGGCGTTTGGGCCGGTGAGGACTGATCCGCTCTGAAACGCCGCCGTCGCCTCTGCCACCGACCTCGTGGTGCGGTTGCTTCTTGTTGTGCGCACTGAAGCTTTTCTTCCCAGCGAAGTGTTGCGTCCGCCGCCCATACTGCCAGCGAGAGGTGCATCCTCGTCTCTGTCCTCCGTCCATATGGGAAGTGATTGGAGGGATGGAGACCTGCGGTCTGAAAGATCTTCACTGTGACGCCCCGTGAACTCGGGATCGCTATCCTCAACGCTAAAATCTAGCTTCGGGGGCGGGGGGACCTTTGAGCCTGAGATGTTACCGTTTGGTGTACGAGTGGTGTTGCCTGAGTTGTCTGGCATCGCGACGCTTTGCCCCTGACTGCTGGATGAAGTGCTCTGGAGTGCGTCGAAGTACTGTGTTTTTTCACTGTGCGTTGATTCAGTTGGAGATAAAATACGCCCCATTGGCAAAATGTGTCTAGAAAAAGTCAATTCCCGAAATCTTCGAATCCTTAGACTGACTTTGGAACACACTACGTCATTCATAAAACGACGTCACCGATCGTGGTGACGTTCTTAATAATGACTCAGCGTGCGTGAGGGTCGTGGTCATGTCATGTCTGCTCACGATAGGCAACGCCGACGCCACACTGGACATAAGGGAGGCAATGATTCAGATACATTGTGATTCAAATGATAGCGGTGGGCCAGTGATGTCAAGGTTGCTGAGTTGTCGGGAAGGAGTTATACGTTGGTCGCTTCGCAATTGACAAGAAGCAAGGGTGCGGATAAGGATTTTCGGACACCTATATCAAACTCACAACACAACACTAACACAAATCTCATCATAAATTCCATAGATCCCTCAGAACGAGGAGCATTCTACGATACCATAAGTCATTGCACCTGGCTACCTTTCAACATTCATTACGTCTCACCACCATCCTCCGCGGCCTGTAGGTTTTCAGTCGGAATCACCAAATGGTGTCGCGAAATCTTGCAGAGGTCTACCAGAGGTCCTCGAGGTCCCGCGTGCTGACGGCAATCAGCTCGTCATCACTGTCAGCGTATAGAGCCTTGACGATCTCCTGCTCTTTCCATCCTCCACCTTTTACAGGCTCCAACGTGTACTCAATTGACAGTGCCGATAGAGCACCACCATAAGCATGCGAAATACCTTCAATATTAACACTGGCATTGAGAACCATCCATAATATCTTGGTGTGACAGGACTTACCCGTGTCAATGATGAGCACCTTTCCGTCACACCTGGCTGCAATGCTGTCAAATTGCGGTGTGTGACCCATCACCATACGGCGAGTGCCCGTCTTTTGGAGAACCTCGTCGACCATCCGGCACACCTTCTTTTCATCTTCATCGGCCCAGCCACGGTACCACAGGGGCCCGTCACCACCGTACAAGCGGGCTTCCTCGCGAGTCGTGCCTACGGGAAGACCGGGGTACGAACTGGGTGGGTGAGGCAGTGGCTGAGGCTTGCGCTCCCTCAGCCTATCTAAAAGCGATGACCCAAGGTTATTAATGGCACTCGGGAATGGCTGGAGATTAGGGTATGTAGGAGCTAAACCACCATGCACGAATGAGAAAGCAGCATGCGAAAGAGGTCCTGCATTGGCACGTGCAAATGCGCTTCCATCTGGTGTTGGGTAATCGGTGTTGGGAGGGCCAAGTAAACCGTGAAGAGGAAGTCGCACAGCAGTAGTATAGTTCTCTGCCCATGCATCCGCGAGCCAGCCAGTTGTAACAGCTTCCAGGCGGCTCTCGCGAGGCTCAAAAGTCTTCTTCTCCGACTCCAGGACGTAACTGTGATCAACCTCAATGACACAGCGTGCTCCGTGGGCGACGTCACTTACCGCCAATCACCTGTTGGAGAAATGGCTCAGTCATGTACTCCACGTTATAAGATTTATTGCATACCTATCGCATTCATGTACTCATGATTTCCGAGGATCGACAACATGATGCCGTTGACAGCCAAGGCTTGCTCTCGGAGGTCTTCCATCCAATTAAACAACTCGATGGTATCGTCACCCCTCCAAAAATATTGAGTAGTGAGTAGAACATCAGTCAAATTCTCTTACCTGTCAATAATGTCACCGGTCTGCACAAAAACATCCACATTGCCGCTCCAATCATTGTTCTCGTCCACGACGCCGGACATCTGTAGAATACGTTCTGCATTCCCAATGTCACCGTGTATATCCCCTACAGCAATGATTTTGCGCGTGAAACGCGGACGAGGCTCGCGTGTGTAGTCCTGTTCATCAGTATCAAATACTGCTTGTGCAGGCTGTTCTACAGTTTTGAACCCGAAAGGCGCCTGCACGGCGGCTTGTGCGTATCCGATGAGACCTGACAGAGCCAGCGAAAGCTGCAGTCCAGTTCCAAGATGAGGTGCAGGTCCAAGAGGCGAGGAGGATGATTGTGCGTAGTACGCGAGTGATAGTGCAAGTAAAGGGAGGGCCAAGAAAGCCAAAGTTGTGCCACGAGGCATTGCTGTAAAATGTCGTGTGCCTGTTCGATACCAGGGAATAATCAGGGAAGAGGCGTACTAAGTAGAGCGCGCTATATAGCTCACTATTGGAACCGCAATAATCTGGAACTTCTTAAGCGAAAACTACTCCCTAGATGAATATTGGAGTGTGTGCTGCTTTGAATCACTCCGAGTAGGGGGAAGGAAGACGTCTCAAGCTGCGTTGCAGGGTTGCGGCGTGGCCTGGTATTTGAAAGATCGAATAAGCGCTCAACACCACAATTGATTCAACCTCAAGGCCGCGGCGAAATGAAGAGAGCAAGGTCACCAACGTGGCTGGCGGCGTGTACTCCTGCTGCAGTCGTTGATGCAAACTAAACTTGCCTAAGCAGTGCGGCATGTGAACATTGTGAACTGCCCAAATCGGGCATCATGTGTCGTAAAAACGGAAGCAGACGACAGCACTTGGCTAGGGAAGATCGGAAATAATGAACACGGAACGAACAGTTCAGAGTTGGTACGTACGGTACTGACCTTGCCTGGCGCGACGGGACATCAATGGGCAGGCTAACTTATTATTAGTACGGAATCATATTATGATATTACATTGCGGCACGGCATGTTTGGTATTTCAAAAATCCAATGCAGCAACACCTTCAAGACCCTCCTTCACCACCTTTTTAAACCGGTGCTTCAGCTTTTTGTTGCAAGACAAAGACAACCCAAATAGGAGCGACTTTAGCAGAGTCGAAGTACCGTAAACCTTAGGCTTCTTCGACAACACGGTGTAAAACGCATGCGTCCCTAACCTGAGGATGTTGACAATGTGAACAAACAGCGCACAAGATCGAGGTAAATGCTCACCATAACACAGAACTTTTCTGCAGATCACAAATTCCTCCGCTGTCGCGCGCGACCTTGTTGTATGACTTGTGGTGTATCGCGGTATAGGTATATTTGATAACCTGTCTGATAACATCTATGTTCGGTAAGAAACATGGACCTCATAAGGTTGAGGTAATCAGATTCGACGTACTGTTAAGGAATTTGGCATTCTTCTCAACACTTGTACCCCAGCTCATGATATAATGATGCATCTTCATTGCGGCGATGAGGAAACTTTGATAGACATTGACATGCGCAGTATGCAGCCCATTCAAGTGGGTATCCGTGTAGATCATATGACTTCTAGCTTTGGCTATCCTGGGGACGATTAGTTGATGGTCGACGAAAGACATATCACCATACTCACAGTAGCATCTTACGGGTGAACGTCACACCAGGACGGCGTCCCTTGTCGACTGTGAGCGAATACTCGAGGTCTAAAACGTCGAGTATTAGAGGTCCATCATCACGCGCAGAGAGGAATCGCTCACCGTGTCCACTATACCTCGAGTAATCAGCCATGACCGAGAGGTTATACTTATCGATCAGGAGGCCACACCAAGGAAAATCTATTGGGTCTTCAAGCAACAACGGAATGGGGGAGAACGATTGAACATACGTTTTTGGTCGTGTTCGGTAATGTTTTCTGCCTGGATGGATTCATGCTCGAAATTAGTCAATGTCTTTTGCTTGGACACGATGCAGCCATATTCAGGATGCCCTGTACGATTCAGACTATGAAGTCTAGTAAAGCACGAAAACAGGCGAGTTCACCTTCGTACATGACATCTAGAAACCGCCTTGCCTTTGCCAAACTGGTTGTCACATATAGATAGTCGTCGATCCATCGAAGCATCAACTATGCGTTAACATGAATATGCTCTCATAAAAACGAGGAGCGCAACACGCACACTTTGGGGGTCATCGAAGATATTCAAACGAGTTTTCTCTAAATCCCCGTAGAAAAACGAGCATAATAGAGCCGATAGCACAGATCCCTGAGGAATGCCAACAACTTGTCGATAATAGCGCTCGCCGATCTGACAAAAAATATCTGGGACATGTCACAGCCATTCAGGAGAGAGGACAGACCTTCACAAGGTTTTCCCTTATATGCTCTTCGAGGAGCTTGAGAGTGGCTATCTTGGACTGAGATTCATACTGAACCTATACGACGATGAATGACTGGTATAAATCATGCACTCAGCGACCAACCTGGTCTACAAAGATTGTTTGCCGGAGGAAAGCGGCCATTTCACGAGCATACGCCACGAAGTCAGGGTATTCTTCTTCAGGATCCCATCAGCATGTTACCAGCGGCTTAATGCACAGTGTCTCACCATCTGAATCCGCCTTCTTGATATACGCGCGCTTGATTTTTCCGAAATCAGCTGCGACCTGTCCATGCTTCCGTATCATATAATTATCCTGCATAGTGATGATGTGAATTTTGAAACGGAAAGCAGACGTGACTGTTTACCTCGGATATTATATTGTGAAGTATCTTCAGCAACATTGTTTGATCTATCGTGTCGAAGCATGCTTGTACGTCGACTTTGACGAAATATAGTTTCGGACTGTGAATTACACGGGTCAGTGACGAGGTCCCAATTGAATGAATAGGTCGCACAGTTTCCCTGAAGGTGCGTCCTTCAATAACTCTGTTTTGAACCTCTTCAACTTTTGGTATATCTCATTGGAGCTGAACACGGACGCTCCAAGGAGGTCTGGTTGTTGTTGCTAGCCATGACATCAATGTGAATTATTTCGACGTAGAGCACAATACAACACCTTCTCATGCGTTAGAATTGCAAAAGTCGTCTTCAGAGTCTGGTTGATTGACAGCGATGGCCTTGCTGACTGACCCTGTGTGGCAATGAGCAAGAATGTGTCCAATTGCGCTTGTAGGACGTACCTTGGGGTTTGTTCTTCGTCGTAGATTGACAATGGGACGAACACCAGTTTCCTTGGGCAGCAAGCGAATGAAGGAAAAACCGAGTTGTCGTTGGCGCAAGATCTCTTCTGCTTCACGCTGCAGAAGCATAATAACTAAGGTAGACAGACCGGGCAATGTTCAAGACACACCTTCTCGATTTCCTGAAAAGTCTTCTCACTTAATCGGTCTATCAGGGGTTCACAGAGGATTTCCCAGTCGTCTTGCCGAAAGTAAAGAATGTGCTTGCGAAATGCGGAAGATTCCGTGACGTAGAATGTTGTCTGGAAACATCGCGTCAATAAAAGATCTCCATCTTGGTCGAAGAAAACACAAACTCTGAGCAGCGGAAGCAAGAAGGAGTCGAAGTACCAGAAGAGGAATTCTTCGATAAGTTCACGACGTTTAAGAGAATCCGTCACGGTGACTCTATGCTGCTTCCGGGCGCCATCTCCGGGAGGTATCAACCAGTCGCATTCTGAGGTGCTGAAACATTGAAGTACGTGATGTAACGTCGAAGTTTCGTATCTCCTGCAAACAATCATTTCCTTAACATCTGATGAGTTGTCAGCCAACTGTTAGTCTGTGAGATAAATTCGCATACAGCCCTGAACAACCTCAAAATTCCTCGCGCATCCCCAGAAGACTTTCGGAATGACAGCCTTGGTCACCAGTAAAGCATAGCGAAAGACCTAATCAAATGGTTAGTGGGTATTGCTCGCACGAATCTCGACTCGTATACCTCGACGTGACTGCAAGTAAATTCCAGGAATCGCGGTTTGTGTTCCATTTCCTTTTTAAGTGGAACTCTAGATGCTATGATGCTGTTCCCCGCAGAGTCAATCGACATATTGTTTTGAGACGCTTGCGATTTCAGTTGGATTGAGTTCTCGGACACCATTTCCTGCCGAACAAATAGAAAACAAAGCTATGACACTGTTCTACTATGCTCACCAGTATGATGGTGCTGTCCATGGTCTTGTTGTCCGTCGTCGTGATCTATGGGTGAAGATAAGACCAATGCTCGCTATAGCTTAGAGCTTGTTTACCTTGGATGGACAAACTTTGTCTCTAAGTAGCTTATAACCGCATTTGCCATGTCGCCAGATCATCTTCTCCAAAAGCACAAGTACGTCTTTCAGCCGCTTCGGTGTCTTGCATGTTCCAAAGAGCTGTAATGTGCATTCATTCATTCGACGTCTGTGTATCTCGACAGACCTCGCCTCACCTCAATCTCACGCTCTCTGTCAGCAAAATTCGGCTGCTTATAACTTTCTTTAGCAGCAGACTGCTGGCTGAACACGTTGGATAGACCGTATTGCAACGGAAAGATATATTTGCTCAGGTGCCGGGCTTTCTGTGCTTGCTGGCGCGGGTCAGGGTCTTGATATGCGCCAGCTTGTATCTGCGTTTTACGATAGTAAGAAGGATTCAGCCGGTTAAGCACATCTTTACAATGGTCAATGAATGCGAATACAATAAGTGCGGAGGCTTACGGGTATAAGGCAAGCCCACGATGATATTTCGCGACCCATGCTCACGATTTGGTCGCGCATAAAACATACGTGCACGGATGAATGAAATGTCGGCTGCTGTTCGTCTGATGAACTGGTTAGCGAGACGAGGTGAATCTAACGTCCCTTTTCTCACCGTCCAGAAGGCATAGCATTCAACTTGACGCCACTCCTCGAGGGAACCCTACGGAGATTCTTCCATATGATGAGCTTCAAGCGTTTCCGTGGTCCTGAACCCTCCAAAGGGTCTCTTTTCCGCTTTCCAAGGTCATTACAAGATTCGCTCGAAGACAAGTACCAATCGAGTGTCGGAGGCATAGCATAAATCAATGGCATACCCGTCATTTGACACAAACATTCGTTCGGTAGCTTAATGAAAACCGAGGTCTTGGTGAGGAGATGCAGCATGGCATCTGCCCCGATTCTGTAATGAGAGAAAAAATTAGCGGTGGACCCCACGGTGATCGTTGCTTTACTTTGTCAACAGATTTTCCCATTCGGGGGCTTGCAGAGCCGTAATAATTGTATTCACAGAAAAGTTCGTGATGCCAGATGCGGCGGCATTCGCTTTATCATCCTTTATTGAATAAATAAACAGAATACGAATGAGGCATTCACTCCTCACTCTCTTATATCCCGATGTTATGATATTGTCTGGCTTGGACTTTGAAGCCGCAAATAGACGCTCTTGGGCCTTCTGAATAACCTTCATAGCATGTTAGACACTGCTTTTGTTGGATGATTAGAATATATCCTTGCACTTACATCCTTCATAAAATTGTATGGTTGGGAGGCCGAAAATTGCGTACGATCCGTAGTGGTCTCTTTCAACAAACAAACGAACGAGCAAGTAAGTAGTTCTCGATACTGGACTGAGTCAGGTGCTTGCAGGGGAAAGTCAGACTGCCCATCTCCACAAGTCTGTGTATAGGATTCTTCTTTGATAATTTTTTGAAGATAGGCCTGAAGGTTATGAACTTCTGCGTAATAGAATTTGAGAACGTCTAGCGTCAGGTGTTTCTTGGTAGCTGCCATGGGCATCGGTATGCAAACGGCGAGATATCTCACGGACTTAGGGTATGAAGGGTAGAGGTTTGACTAGCGCAACCGGCATGTAGTGGAGTGTTCAGCTCCACGTAGGCTTTGAGGTGCGCAATGACAGTTGAGACAAACACGACATGTCACAACACGTGACCAACTTACACCGTCACATTCACGCTAAATCTCAACTTCCTCCTTCTACTCCCAGCAGATCCCATCCCGATCACGCTGTTCATCATCGTCGGCCTGAGGCTCATCGAGAACATACTCATCAATGTTGTATGAAACGAGCATGTACAATTCGAAGAATGGAAAGTCAGGCCTCTTGCTCAGCACTTAGCCATCATTCAATGGAGCCGTACTGGCGCGATCTGAGTTTTCTTTTCTGCTGTGCCCTCTAGATCTCATGTATGTGCTATTCTTGAGGGGAGTGCTAGAAGCTGGGCTGGTAAGTTCTCTGCTTACTTCGTTGTGACATTCTTCACGTCTGACTTTTCTGGCGCTATGCCGACGTAATGTGACCTTCGAAGGAGCAGCAAGGCGGAGAGAGCGTCCATCGGGAATCATTAAAAATTTTCGAATAGTCGCACCACTTGTAGGCCCGTCTCATGCCTACATGGACTAGTAGAACCTACAGTCTTCAGCGCATAAACAGTAACCCCTGCCCAAGCTCCTACCCGACCTCGTATAACTCATCTCAGCGCCACGTCTCGTGCCATCGCGCAAGTACCCCAACCCCAGACAGCTGCCAGATCAGCTCTCAGTGCTTCGTACTCTCTCTTAGCGGAGGTACAAGCCAGTGGACACATGTTTGCTCAATGAATACGAACATCCTAGACCTATTAAACTAAAGTACTGTCCGCATTAGGCCAGCCTACAACGACGATAATTTTTTTGTAAAAAAAAAGCCTACATGGTAGTTCCATTGCCCTGACGGGAACGCAAGGCGTCGGTGCGGAATACTCACTTCATCAGTCGCTGACTGTATGCCGACCTTCAGAAGAAACAAGCAGAGTCTATGTAAGGAGCCATGTGCAGCATGTTAAGGCTGACTAGGAGAGATGACTGATTGGAACAACGCCAGTTGATAAGCATTCCAAACATACATATCAGATAATATTCGACCTGGCGCACCTTAAATATTGTATATTTTGAAATCAGCACAACTCACCTAAAATATATGAAGGCCAGAAGATATATTACATGTTCTACTTGTCAAATTTTGAGTTCTCAAATGTGTCAGTCGGTGCACCTGAGCGATCAATAATAGGTGATGACGTCTTAGATACCTGGTGGTTGAACTGGATCATTTTGATTATCTGTGGATTGGTTGAGCTTGAATCAAACCAAAAGAGATCTGATACTCTTTACCTGGATGTGGTGCGTCGTCCCTGTAGGATAGAAAAATTTGAATATATGTTTAATTAGTTTCTAGAGGACGGCTAAAATGAGTTCACTCCGTACCTCAAAGCACTCACAAAAGCCATATGGTATATGATTTCCAAAAGTGCGATGCCGGTTCTTCTCTAGGCTATAGGAAACGAAATGGAAAAAGCTGCTTGAGAAGTATGGGTGCCGCTTGGCCGTCAGATTTACATATGGTTAGCATGGAAAAAGACGATGTTGAAAATTTGATTGCTATAATAGACAGAAATATACCTAAGTGCTCAAACAATTACAGTGCTTACGCACGGGAGTGGGGCTTGACGCAGCATGTCCGAGGGTTTTGTGACATACCGTGGCTGTCTGGCTTTCCATAATTGCGTGACGCCGCAGTACTGACGCGGCACAAGGAGCTTGAGGAAGCACTGACGCGGCACAAAGAGCTTGACGTGGCAGGTGCTATGATGAACAGACGCGGCATGCAAGTGAGGCCAAACGCGAGATAGGTAAGCCTGGGGTTCAGTGAAACATTGACTCGGATATATTAGTACTTGGTTATAAGTGACCAAGGCTGGCACCGCCCTCACGTTTGCCTCCATGTGATAAGTTTATCACGTGCTTCGTGCGTGCCTCGTCAACATTAATCAATATTAATTCCCGTGCCAATCATAACTTGAATGATAGCTGGACCATGTATACACGACGACATCTCTACAGCGAAAGCACGAAGCTCCGCCGGTTGGTGCGTTATAAATGTGTCGACTCAACTTCCAATCATTCTTTTGCTCACTCTTTATTTTTGCTCTCCAATATCGGACGGCAAGAATCATTGTAAATCTGATCGCTTCTGAACAGACCATAGAAATGAGAGCTAGTACTCATGCCTACCAGAATGCACATTCAAGACACCGGCTTGCACTGCGAACACTTTGTACGCTGACTGAGATTGGATGAAACGCTTCAATTGCGGCACTCGGGGAATGCATGGCCCGTGTCCTTGGCAGAGGTACCGAAACTGTATTCGTTTGCTAGCTGATGTCCACCCAGTGTAGCTAGGCGGTTATGATAGTATGATCTGGTACTAATCTGATATCACGCCCTCTGCGACGCGAGAGTAGTTGTGGCCGAGGTACAGCTAGCATCTATCTCACCATATGCATGACCGGAATGCAGTCACTTCGGTCAATAAATGTAGGGGCGTATATCCATCCTTCAATCTCGATTCGGCGATGCTGGATGGTGGTATATCTAGCACGAACACCACCCTCATATGTCCACCAAGTTCGGTGCTCCCTCACTCCCATCCTCTAATAATATGACCCTAGTCTCAAATTATCCCAGTTGGTGGCCATTCATCAATTCATATCATATCGCCAGCTATTTTACAGGTTCGTGGAGAGCCAGCCGTATGGTGGTGGCGATGTGCCAATCTAACCTTGGCTGCGGTATCACAGTGACCGCATCTGTTGTGGTGGTATACAATTGGGGTAGGCAAGATAGTAACAAAGAACCACTGACAGAACCACTGATATCATTTCATTATTTTTAGTGCTTACGATCGGAAAAGAGGTAGGTGGATGTCATCAATACCGGAGCAGCTATCTCGCTAAGAACTGTTTTGTAGGTTGAACTTATCTGGGTGAGCGAACTCATGCATCAGAAGAACGATGTGAAAATACAATTAAATTGTGCCAGAGGAAACGCTGCTCGCTAATGACTGTTCTGTATCTCTGTGTATGTTTCTTGTGTTATATGTATTATCGGGAGGTCGTGCTGATCTCAAAATATCCTAGGTGCGCTATGTTGGAATATTATTTGCTATGTGGGTTTGAATGGCAAAGCATGACAACTAGTATCGTGCTAATCAACCATCTCACGATCAGTATCAGCTTACTGAGTATGTCTGCCCTCATACACCGTGTTTGTTCCTTCTGACCGGCGGGCACAGTACATATTCCGACAATTCCGGTGACAACTGCAGTGAGTGTTCTGCACCGATACCTGCCATTCCCGTCTGATACACCACACCCCCACGTAGTGGTGAGTAAGTTAACAACCTGTTTGTCCACTAATGACTGTCGCAGCTGTGAGTTTGTTTGGAATATGTGACCTTTCAGAGGCTGATTACTCATTGGACTTGTCAGGTTGGATTATGTACGTCGCGCCTGACGGAATGAATATGGTCATATATGCAATGTTGGGCGGTGAGTTATGCAGTTTGTGATATTGACTTGGCTGACACACGACCCAAGTCATCATGATCGCTCGGTTACATGCCATGTACCAGCAATCCCGAAAGATGTTGATATTTCTCGTTGTCATCTTCCTTGCTGTTTACATCACCGACGGAGTGATCATCGCAATAACAATGATGCATATTTCAGTGGGTAAGCTTTAACTCTGGATGAAAGACTTGAAATCGCCATGCTTATTGACAAATATCAGAGAAACTCGTTCTCTCTGGCACCTATGAGTGCACTTTTGACGATGAGGGAGATGCCCTACGTCTGAATGTCGTCGCTTGGATACTCGTCACTGCGTGGGAGGTCCTTGCACTGTGCATTGCAGTCTGGATTGCTGTAAAACACTTCTGTGAACTACGGAAATTATCGGCAGGGGGGATTATTGGGGACACTTTCACGGAATTAATAAAAACTCACCTGATTCACTTTGCGAGGTGAGCCCATAATGTACATGCGGTTCTTGTTTTCCGCTGAAGCTCCCCACATGCAAGCTTTCTTGCTGTTTCTTGCTTGAATCTCAGTTATTACTTTTCAACGCTCAGAACAGTATGCTGATCTGTCACTGACATCTAAATCCGAACACGGCTCATCATTTTTACAGGACCCATATTCCCTGGAAACTCAGATTTATATTGGGTTTTCTCAAATCATCCAGCTCGCGCAGACGTTTGTCATGGGACCACGCCTGATCCTTAGCATCCGAGAATTTCACGCTGAGCTCGTGGCCGACTCGAATGCAGGAACAGCTGTGAGTTCGATTTTGTTTCATGTGCCAACTAGCAGTACTGTGTAGCACTCGATGTGATCAACAGTCGGAGGGAGAAATTTTGCTTTTTGTTCCAAGTTTCGTCGTCCATAGTCCTTAGGTATTAAAGTCATGTAATGTAGCGAAGTAGATTTGAAAGACACATAGAACGTCTGGTAACTGCACTCGAAGACAGTCGGTCCGGTGTCAAAACAGTGCCTTGTAACACCTAGAGGGCAATACTGACGACTTCCTTGGGTAGAGAATGGCGTTTGTAACATCAATGTGTTTCGGCTTTCCAACGGGATCGAAAAAAAATGCACCATAAGCATGAGCATGGGAGGAACATCCATCTACCTGTGCAATTTGTCAATAGTGCACCTCGAAAGTTCGATCATTCTTGTCGAGAAATCCTATGTCATACGAGGATTAGCAGGGATTGGGGCATCTAGCTGATATGATGACTGCATGCAAACCTAAAACAAATCGCAGGGGGGGGGGCGCCAACTCAAAGTAAAGCGATTAAACCCACCTTCAAGACCGGCAGTGTCACATCAATATCATCGGCCTTCATCTCCCGCTCCCTAAAGAACCTCGCCTCCTCGGGGTGATCGAAGGTAGAGTCTTCATGATACTCCATGTTGTCATTCCCGCGTGGTGTAGCTTCTTTCTCTGCTATATCGTTTATCATTATCCGAGGAGGAATCTTCTTTAAACGATCGAGGCGTCCCAGTCGCTCGTTCTAGGCGGCTGCCATGCCTAGAGGCTAGCACTAAGCAGGGACAGATCTAGGGAGAAGTTCAGAACAAGAATCGAGATGATGATCTACGATTCTACAGCAAAATATTAGGTCACGTGGCTGAGAATTGACTTTTGCGAAGTTCGAACGCTCTCCGTGACGTTGCTCTTTCGGCGGGTTCGTTTTCTATCAAGTCGAGCTCACCCGACGCCGTTCCACTGAGCGCTCGTCGAAGGATGTGAGCTCACTCTAGCGTTGCTGTGCTTACCCATGCTGCTGGATTCTCCCAGGCACGAGCATGACCGCACTATTTGGACCAGGAGATGGCGCGGAGGACACTTGTACATGCATGGTCTGATAATGCAAGGTCCACGATGAAGGAATAGTGGTGCAGATGCCGCGGTATTCGAATTTGCCATCGTTGCCGTTATGCTTTATTTAACACTTTGATCACGCGCGGGCATGTTTCCTCCTCGCCTCTACTCACAACGGATCTTATCCCAATCATCAAACACGCTGCTCATCGCTATATAACTGCGCTATTGGCTAATCCCACCCAGTTGCCATTAACACCTTAACGCCAACTAGTCACCCTGGTACCCGCCGAACTTCGCCAACCCACTTCCCACGCATACCATTGAAGTAGTATTTATGGATTCGCCCCTCAAGAACGTATAGCGTGGCGGCTGTATTTTGCGAGTTATGCATGGAAGGATCATGAGGAGTTCCAGAGTGTTGGTTTAGTTCGGTGAGTCAGTGTAGTTCTGGTGTGTCACCGCAGCTGGCTCATACGAGATATCGACGCTTCTAATTGTTATATACACATATATTGTGTACATCCTATCCACACCACATCCCTATCCTACAAGAAACACAAGTTTAAAATGATGAACAAAACTGATTGATTGACTGCGGTATGTCACGGTGACCGTAAAAGTATACGGCACGACAGTAATACTACTACATACTGTAATTGCGATACAAGTCTCCGCCACCAATCATACTAGCTGGTAGCAGTATCCAAAACACCAAGGTATCGACCTCATGATGGATTTAGTTCAGTGCGTTTTTCCGATCTGTTTTTATCAAAGTCGCACCGCCCTCACCATAGTGACCATACTTTTTGCACTCTTGTAATACGATAGCCCAATGACCGATGAAAGTGCGAGGAAGTGCGCATGAGGCGACCAATCAGCTGTTGTGTTCCTTTAGCCGGACCAGCGAGCCGGAGAGAGCACCGACACTCGTCAATAATCATCGACTTGACGGTAAGCTTTTCGATGGTCACATCACACCCAGGCCTGCGTTGGACGGATCAATTTCACTGATTTGGAACTTAACTACTTAACCGATGCACATCCAACTTATCTACTTTGATTTAATCGAGGGCCCCTGGATTGATTTACCCTTTCTACTTGACATCATGCGACATCACTTACTTTGATCAATCCAGGCGGGAGCAGATACCCTATGACGCTCATTCAGCCATAAAAGCGCTGGATAGCGGAATATTTAGCACGACTGCCCCCCCACAATACATCCACCAAAGTTCACCGCTCGCTTACGCCCACCCTCGAACAGGATGACCCTAGTCTCTAATGATCCCATTTGGTGGCCGGTCATCAATGCGAATCGTACTGGCAGCTATTTTGTAGGTTCGTGGAGAGTCAGCTGGATGATGATGGCGATGTCACGATCTAACCTTAGTTTCGTAGTTGCCGCCTGTGCTGGAGCAATGTACGATTCGGGTGAGCAGGATAGTCTTCGAGAACCATTGATATTCTTATAGAATTTCCAGTGTTGACATTCGCACAAGAGGTAAGTAGGTTGATGCCAACGGAGCAGCCGTCTCGCTAAGAACGCTTTCATAGGTTGAATTGGTTTGGGTGAGCAGAGTCTCACATTAGAAGAATGATATAATTAATTCGTGGCAGAAACAACGCTGGTCGTTGATGACCGTCCTGTACCTCAGTGTGAGGAGTTTTTGTTATAAGCGTGATCGGCGAGTTTTACTGATTTGATGATATTCTAGCTGCGCTATGTTGGAATAGTATATGCTATGTATGTGTGGAAGATTTAACAATCGACGTTGTGCTAATCAGCCATCTTTCACAATCAGCATCAACATTATCGGTATGTTTCCCCATATACACCGTATTTATTTCTTCTAACCGGCTACATATAGTAAATCTTCCGACACATCCGACGACAGATGCAGTGAGTATTCTGCACCGATGTATGTCATTCGTGTCTCATTAACTGCACTCCCACATAGGGGTGAGTGACATTCTTGACCAGCTTCTTAGTTCAATACGATGACTGCCACAGCTGTGAGTTTCTTTGGAGTGTATGGTCCTCCGAGGCCGATCGCTAACTCAGACTGCATTTTCAGGCTATATTATGTACGTCGCACTGAATTGGATGAATGTGGTCGTACCTGCAATACTTGGTGGTGAGCTACACAGTTGATACCATCGACTTGACTGGACTTGACTGAACCATCACGCAAGTCATCATGATCACGCGGTTGCATGCCATGTATCAGCGATCCAGAAAGGTGCTGATATTTCTGGTCGTCATCTTCCTGGCTATCTACATCTCTGGTGGAGCAATCGTTACAATGATATTGACGCAAATTTCAGTGGGTAAGCTTTAGTTATGAACGAATGACCTACGTACATCAGGCTCATTGACCAATACTCAGAGGAGGCCATTCTCTCCGGCACATACCAGTGCACTGTTGAGTTCGGGGGAGATATTACACGTCTGGGTATGATGTATTCGGTCCTCGCCACTGTATGGGAGGTCCTCGCACTGTGTCTCGCAACACGGATTGCTGTGAAACACTTCCGTGAACTGCGACGACATTCGGCAGGAGGGATTATCGGGGACTGTTTCACAGTATTGATGAAATCTCACTTTTTTTATTTTGCTAGGTGAGTTCATAATGTGGGTGTGGTTCTCTTTTTTTGCTGAATTTTCGCATATGCTAGCTTTACTGCTGTTCTTTCTTTCCAATTCATTTCTTTGTCTCCGACTATCTTCACGGTATGCCGATCTCTCACTGACCTCTGCGTGCGAACATGATTCATTATTTCCAATAGCACCCATATTCCCTGGGAACTCAGATTTATCTGGGTGTTCTTCAGATTTTTATACTCGCACAATTATTTGTGCTGGGACCACGTCTCATCCTCAGTGTCAGAGAATATCACGCTAAACTCGTGACCGACTCCGATGCCGCAACTGGGATGACTTCAATTGCTTTCCAGGAGCGCGTGCATATATCAACCAGCAGTAGTGTGTAGCAAGGGAACCACGTGCCGTATCTTCTACAGTGAGCAAGAGAACATCATGGACTTTGTACGTTTCGTTGTGGTACTTATCTAAGTTATTTGGTGTTTCGAAGTGGCATAGTGGTTTGCGGGATAGTCGCAATATGATAGCACCGTGTTACGATCTACCAATGCCTATGGACTTGCCAATTCCGTCGCAAGAGTCTGCGAGACATCATTCTCATCTCCTCACCACTCTGATCGGGTCTTTGTAATCCTCAAACAATACCCCTCCTCATGCCACCTGCACGAACTTGTCAACGATCATACACAGCAAGACGGTTGGATGCACCCGGGGTTAGCCTACAATAGTTGTAAACAGTACAATGTCAGACTGAAACAGATTTTAAAAAGGACCAGTGCGCCTCCGTATTATTGAATCTGAAGTGCGACGTTTGCTGTGACACTCAAGCTCGTTTACCACGGTGTTTGTCCCACGGGCAATGTAGTTTGGACCTGAGGACATTTTCAACTTTAACCGCTGGTTGCAATGTTATTTTTATCCGGGGGACGAGGGTGATTGAACCTGATTACCAGTAGTTCCAGAACATGAGGGTCAACTCGCTATGTACTAGGAAATTAAACGGTTATAGAACTGATGTAAGCCCTGGAGGAGCCTGTCCCATCCATCTCACCAAACCTTTGCTCAGGAGGATTAATGCTAATTACTAAACGGTATTGATCTTCAAACTGAGATTGGCGCAGTACTGGTCACCAGTTAGCGTTGATCTTCAATCCGAGGTTTGCGCAGTACTAGCCACCAATTAGCGTTGATCTTCAATCCGAGGTTGGTGTAGTACTGATCACCAATTAGCATTGATCTTCAATCCGAGATTGGCGCAGTATCGGTCGTCAATTAGCGTTGATCTTCAATCCGAGATTTGCGCAGTACTGGTCACCATTCAGCGTTGATCTTCAATCTGAGATTTGCACAGTACTAGTTGAGTTGTCTTAAGAGCCTCAGGTGAATATTGTTCCTCGTCGACTAAGCTAGCTTTGGAATTATGGGGGATTTATATTAAAGAAACTAGCTATAGGGTGTTGAAATTTCGAGTCAGAATTCTAATGAACGTGCTGGGCCTATGTACAGGTGTTGGCTCCCTCAAACGAGCCTCAAAATGTCCTCCATACTTCCTAGGGCCTTCTGCTTCAGGGAAGCAGCAGAAGATCCGTGTGCCCTGTAAGCCTCTGGAACAATGACATCAATCATGAACAGATTTTGGACGACTGGCCTCTGGTAGCGGTGGGTATCGAGCTCGATGGTTTGGTTGATGTATCTATCAGAGGCTAGGTCAGCTCGATGCGCAGCCAGACAGTGGGACAAACATACGAAGACCAGCCTGTTGTCCCCCACGAGTCTCCCCACTGCTTCTGTCGTGCCTCAAACCACATTTCGACTTTGGACCAGAAGTCCTCGCCTTTGACAATGCGCCCGCCTTGACCACGCTTGCGCTTCTTCTTGGCTGGTTCTCCGATGGGTGAGTCTTCACCATTGTCCTCTGCACTCGGTGTTGTGGGACTTTCATCTTCTTCCTCTGCCCGGTCAAGCAAATGAGGGTTTTCGTATGCAAAACGGCGCTGAAATTTGAATCAGTGAGAAAATTTGGCAGTCATAAAATAGAGAAAGACTGTACTAAAATGGCCAAACGGGCACGGGTTGCATGTCCAAGGTCTGAATTTCCACCTGCCCGACGGAAACGATTCGAACTATCATAAATAAAGTCTGATAGTGTGCTTGTGTTATCGCCGATGACACTGTCACGTAGCTGCAATAAGGTAATCAGTTCGAGAACGAAAACAAACATCAATCACTGGTGCGCACCAACTCGCGAAACGAATTACGGATACTAGAACACTGACATTTGATATAGATGGTCAGGAAACGTTCCCTAGCTGGGTTTCCATAGATATTTGTGAGTTTAAAGGCCTCGCGATCTTCACGTAGATGATCCTGTGGGATTAGAAAATAAGCATATAGCACTATCTAATGACTCCGGACTTACCGCCACATCAAAGTGCAGTGTCATGAAAGTTATTCTATTAGGATCAAAAATGAGATCACATCCCACAATGCGTATGTTTGTCTATATGCTTCAGACAGCTGATAGATGATGGCGCACACAAAAGACTTACTCGTTGCTCCGGACTAAGCGAAAATGTGGCTTCCAGCCGGATTTGTAAGTCTGCGAGAAGTGTTTGCGTTGACTGGTGAGAGGCAGCAATCATGCGTTGCTCCTTGAGAATGCAGAATATACTGCCGAGGAGATAAGTTCTAGTTGCAAGGTCAGATTTGCTCAATCCATGACCGAGCTGCGCAAAAAATCTCAGTGCGTGGATGAAAAATCAAACCATTGACGTACCTTAGCAAAACCATGTAGGTTTTTCCGTAAGTCCTGTTCTGCGTCGCCAAGGCCAAATTGGTTGGCAAGTGTGTCCACAAAGAGGGCAGACAATTCGTCTGCAAAGAGATTTGGGTCAATTTGTGGTTGACGTGAACTTGAAGGCGGGGATTCAGAAGTGCGTTGGTAGCCAGTAGGGCTCATCAGCAAACTTGAATTCAAAGGAGTTCCTGGCTCGGAACGGTCGGGTGAACCAGATAATTGGAATGATGATAATGCCCGTGGCTGGGAACCAGCAGGTGGGATAGAGAAGTCGAAGGACATATTTGCAGACTGGGACGGTGAAAAGAATGAATGACTTGGACTTTGCGAGTCGCTGGAAACTGCTCTACTAATGAGATGTAATGCTTGTTAACATATTTATACGAAAACCTGACTTACATTAGTGGGTTCTGTGCAGGATCAATGACGGCCTCAAGGCATATCTTCAGTTTCCTATTACTTGTAATAAGGATCATGTTTGGTGGTAGCCGGCACAGGAAGGATGACCTCAAGGTATAATTTCGGTTTCGTGGTTGTAATAAGGACCATGTTTGATGGTGGTGGGCGCTGTTATAATGATGGCCTTGAGGCATAAGAGTTCCAGTTTTGAGTCACTGTTGGATGGTATTAATCTGGTGGGCTGCAGCCAAACGGCAACACCGCATAGCAGCAAGTATTGGTAATCAACTAAGATCAAAACGTCTCGAGGCGGCACAGCAGATGATAATATTATTATCGAGGTGGGATACTATAGCTAGTAGCAGATGATATGTAGAATGAGATATCAATATTAAATATACTAGTAGCAGATGATATGTAGAATGGGATAATATTAAATATAGTAGTAGCAGATGATATGTAGAATGGGATAATATTGCGTTACTGGACTTGTAATACAGACCGGTGTAGGAACAAGTTCCTGGTTAGGCTTACTTTACCCCTATTTACCTTGCTTGTGTTGGCACTTGGATAGCTTACATAATCATGTTGGTCTTTACCTTTACCCTCACCTGGAGTGACTTTGAATGCAGTTTTCCTTACTCTCTCTCCCTCTCTGAGCTCTGAGCCTGGTCCAGAAACCCTGGGTCTTACACTGTCAACACTCTGACATAGCAGCTAGGCAGACAAGACCCAACACCTCAGATTCCCTCAATCTGAATTGTTGTACCCACACCGGTGTTGCTGCAGCGATCTATTAACTTGTAGGCCTCGACCCCGTCCACGTGGTCCATGTGCTGCCGCCGTAGATGTCACGGAAGCTCCACTTGTGGTATTGTTACGTGTCCGAATCTCCCTGGCAGCACCCTCGAGGATTGCAAGGTTCATATCGGGTGGCTGAACAGGTACCCGAAGGCCCTGCATGTGTTTTGCGTCTCGCATCCGTGCGGTGTTGAGAACGAGGTCATCAGGATCCCCGATATGACGTATCACGGCCTTAGCTTTCGACGTCTTCGCTCGTTCTTCATAAACAAACTCAATATCAGAAGGCGAGCTTGTGCAGTTGTGCGCTCGGCACTGATGCTGCAGATTTGCTGCGCATAAAATTTGCTTTCACGGAAACAGAAATTTAGTGATTGACAACATGTACAGATAAACCACGAACCTCAACAGGATAGAGCAAGAAACCGCCGTGTGCCCTGACTGCGGGCATAGAGTAGGACACCGCTGGTTCACCAACACTTCCGCGTTCCAGAAGAATCGCATCTGGACGCAGAAGTTTATCTGCGTCCAAGCCTTGGCGCTGGATGATTTCGCGAATGCATGCCACAATCAGAGACTCCTCTGCTGTGCCCTTAGCTGCAATGACCCAGTCTCCTATCTTGCAAATTTCCCCGTTGAAAAGTACCATGGACTTGCAGGTACGAAAATTATGTCCTCTGAGAATGTCATTTGGAAGGGACCGGAGTGCGTTTGGGAATAATTTCCCTGTCTCGGTAGTGGAGTATGGTTGGAGTGGTAGGTTGCTACGAAGGCATTGACCTAAAGGTACTTAGTATTATATTTCTCAAAGCCGGAACTCGTGTAAAATCAAACTTTACCGTATTTCGTGGTGTCAGCCTGTGTATCAAGTCCGAGGCAGTCCGTGATGATATTCGGCCGTTGAACGAGTGACAATGGACCCTTTCCGACAACTTGAACATTTATAGCATCTGGCGGCTTGTCTGACAAGGGATTAGAGACCTGCAGAGTAAGATCGGGAGAATCAGAGTGGATATTGTTAGTATTATCGTGTATCAGTATTCGTGCGCCCGAGAGAATATGACGAATCCGACTCCCATGGGCAAAAGAATGCGCGATATCTCGAGAAGGAGCACGGTGGTTCGAATGGATGCTTTTTGCGCGGATGACAGCATTGAAGGACTCAAATGCCTCTGTTGCAAATAAAGCGGCTGGCCCGAATCGTTGAATGTGGTCAACAACATGCAATAGAATATGGAATTTAGGTTTATTGAACCATCGAGGAGTCCACCTGGCAGTGCACGCAAGGAAGTTATTGATTGATGTCGTGAGATTGCGCTGAGACGATAATGATCGAATAATATCAATATCAGCAAATCAAACTGAAAAGTACTGTGCTACATACCAAGTGTTCCGTGGAGTTTTCGATTTCAGGCTGCCAGATGAGTGGTATCAGGTTCGATAATGCAACCCAAGTATCATAGCATTCCGTGGGTACCAAGTCGTGAAGCACAAAGGGTGCAACCTGCGCAATGGCACGAAAATCACGACCAACAAGAGACCCTGCATATTGAACGAGGGTGTGACCGGCAAGATGGCTGAGTCCAAGACCCGAGACGTCGACAGATGATAGGCGAGTTTCTAAAAGCTCGCGCTTCAACTTGTCTTTTCCGATCCTTACAGAGACCACATCACGCCAAAGGTATTTGACGAATCCAAGAAGGACCGTGTGGAGGATTTCCACGGGTGTGTCAGCGTGAGGATCGATACCTGGGATATTGTCGAAGTCAATCCCACGCTGTGAAAATAGTTGAGATACCTTTTATTCGCCAAACGGGACTTGTGACGTTTTCGGGCAGCGTCTCTTTGACTCTATCGAGCGCTTCCTGTTTCGCCTTACCACCCCGAATTTTGCAGTGTGATTCAGCTAGGCGATTCAAGAATGAGTCCAGAAAGGTGTCCTTGATGCCCGTGGAAGTCTTCCACTGCTTGATCTGGGTCTGATTCCCAACTGTCGATGCATGACTGAACATTGACTTGAGTTCAGAAATGGTTTCATTCTTGTGACGTGGTTCTCCTATCTGGTACCATGCTTCGTAAACAAAATTATATTCAAGACTGCGCAGATTTGTTACCTTTACAAACCGCTTAACCCGTGTTACCATCTCCTCCATGGTCTCCTTTGCTCGTTTCCGTGTAGATTTCAGAGGAGCATCAGTATGGGCTTCGGGCTCACTTCCACTAACCTCACCAACACTGTGGTCGGTATCATCAGGCTGTGCAGCAGCTGCTCGTGCAGGATTGCTCTCTGCACTTGCATCGTGCCCCTTCACTTTACACATACGGCAAAAGTATTTTCCCATCGACCCAATATGACAGGCCATCTCACTTTGCATGGGGTTGTCCCCAAGCAAAGCTAAGACAGACGGAATGACAAGAATGTACTCCTCGTGGACACAGTCCCAGGCCCAGATGCCTTGCTTCCATGATTCTCTAAATTGTACCAGCATCATTATTTCTACTCGCCTGCTTGTGACAAATCTCACTCACTCGAGTTGGTCTACAATACCATCCAACATTTCAAGCGGAGGGGCAAGATTTGATGTACAAAGAAAATGGACGTTGTACTCGTGGTGGACTTCTGCACGCGGCAATCCTGCAGCGGTAAAAAGAAAAGAGTTGTGTTTGTTCCACTTCTTCGACCAGTTTCCAGATGTGTCGTCACAGTATAACCAGAGAGGCATCGCATAGACACGAGCGCCCGATGCCCGAACACGCCATTTGTTGCCTTCGGAAGGATTGGTTAATGTCCATGGCTGCAATTCGCCGTTTGGTTCACGTTCAACACCTAAACAGATGTTTGTAAGTGTAATTGTCAAAGTGATAAATGATTCTACCATAGATTGAGTGCGCGAGGTAGACCAGATGTTGCTTCGCTCGAATCCCAGTTTTTGAATGATACAAGAAGGTCATCTTCTGATACTTCGAATGAACGAAAATCTTCTACAACCCAACCACAGTCCAGTTCATGGGTGACGGGCCGCAATGACCAAGCTTTAGTGTACATCTTCCCACCACGTGTGAACCAGCGAAATGGAATGCAAGCTCGGCCGCTCAATAACAGTGCAGGCTCGAAAACAAAGAAATCTTGGTTGTGCAGTCTGGCGACAGGCGTAAGCAGCTCCGGGTCGAGTTCCTCAAGCCAACGTTTAGCTTGTCGAGCTTCATTCAGTTCCATGCCAGTATCTTCAGGGTAGAAGTGTAACAGTGGGCGAACTCGAGGATTCATCATTTCCTTCAAACACGACTAAGTGTAAAATATTAATTACAAAACATAACACACCTGCCGAATAATGTCAGGCAGCGAGTTAACATAGTACTTATGTCCAAGAGCACCATCATAAGGGATTGAGCGGATACCACATAACAGTTGAATAGTGTCTTTGATGAGTTTGACAGACTTCACCGAAGGTACATCGTCTACATTGTTGACCCGAAGTAGCCAGAGCAAAATGTCAATCTGTCGTTCTGAAAAAACAGAGAGCGCGGAAGGTGCATGAGAATATCAAGCGTGCACGTCTAATACAAAACCATTGGATCAACAACAGTTGGCAGGTTGATACTAGAAGACCTTACAATTTTATCGGGCCACGGAAACCACTCCTCATTCACGCACAGGTTCGTGTATATTATGCATTACTTGCTCTAATTGTAGAGCATCTGTGATGCATTCATCCTACAGCTGTAGTGCCCCCGCATAGTAGCAATATTGTATACCTGATGCATTACTCCTCCCACTCATCCCTAATGCATCAATTGTCTAAACGCTGATGCATTATCTGAAGCTGATGCACGCTCCCGCCGTTGTTCTGATGCATCCCTCGGTGTTGTTCTCTGATGCATGACTCCCCAGCTGATGCACGCTCCCGGTTGTTTTGATGCATGACTCCTCCCAGCTGATGCACGCTCCCACTGTTGTTTTGATGCATCCCCCGATATTTTCTGATGCATGACTCCTCGTCGCTGATGCTCCCCCGCCGTTCCCGCTGTTTATTTGATGCATCCCTTTGATGCATCCCCCGACGTTCCCGCTGTTTGCTCCCGCTGTGTTTGATGCATCCCCCGCCTCCCGCTGCTTGTTTGATGCACGATATATATTGGTAGATGTACTACTAGCTACTGGCTATAAATACATTCTTCGGACCCATCCTGCACGTTCAGATGAGATAGCGTCTGTGCCCAATTCGCCTCAAACGAGGCTGCCAGTTGCACTGGCAAGTGCGCCTGAACGATGTGCATACGTCTACGCACCCTCCTCATGCTCCGCGTCAGTCTGTACAACCTCGTTGCGCCTTCGTCCCAACGCCTCGCTTCCCACCTCAGGAATGCTCCTATGCGACGCATTTCCTCCCGAAGGAGTGCTACTTCCTCCTCCCATCGCATTGCACGAGCTCTCGCTTTGCACCATTCAATCCTCATGTCTGTAGGTAGCATCATTAGAAAGAGAACTCATTCTCGGATAATGCTTACCTTCCAAAGCTCCATTATCATCTTTTTCGCTTCCAACCAGCGCCCCGCATATTCCAGATCCACGAGAGCTTTCGTCTGCCTTCGGATTCTCCCCAAAGAATGTCGGACATCGAGCGTATGTCTTGGCGGCTTAAGGGACGTAGCGAAGATTGCCAGCCGGACTCGTTCAACAAATTACCTAGAACCACCAGTGCCTTATGCGCACATTCATATCTCCTAGTAGCGGATTCGATCCTGATGTCAATCGCCTTGAGAGTGTTGCGAGCTCTGGTATTCGCCCCTTGGCCTCGAAGGTGTCGGTCTTTGTGCTTGAGAATGGCTGTTTGAGCGCGCAGGCAGGAGCGCAAAGAGCGAAGCGCGTCGTGGCCTTGAGCGTATCGAAGTCGCCATTCTGTCCTCTGCAGGGATTGATCGCAAGGTAGAGACCTCCCGATCTGCGAAGGTAACCATAACTTGAAGCTTTCAGCGGTGGAAGAGATGGAGGAAGGGTTTGCGGCGGTTGCATTGTCCGAGATCCGCATGGCCGCGACGTTGGGCATATAGAGCTCTTGAATCTTGACCCAGGAATCGAGGCGACGCTGTAATGCATTACTACGCTCGACTAATTTACCTTCTTGATTGTCCGTGACGTGTAAACCACGACCATCCTTGTCAGCTCTCAAGCGCCGTCTGGGAGAAAGTATGAGTCACCACGCAAGCGAAAATGTACGAAAAGACGTACTGTTGCTCCTCAAGTTCCAGCGCCGAACTGATCAATATACTAGGGGAGCAATCCTCGTGAAGTGAGATACGGGCACCGCTCTGCATGCTTGTTCCTCTTCTTTGGCCAGCGCTAGCCGAACGGACGCTAGTGTTATTACTGAAATGAAAACCAATGCGTCAGTACTTCGTAATGGTGAATGGGTCACATACCATCTGAGTTTCGCTCGAAGGGATTAAGTTGACTTTGATCATTCTCCCAGGCCTCCACCTGCGATCTCCATTGCTCTAAAACCTCCCCGTACTCCTCTTTAAGGCCTTCTTCAAGGTCGTTAAGGGCTGCTTGATGATCCGCGCATTGAGGCACAGCTTCTTTAAGCTTGCGCTGCATAGTATTACCTAAGAAAACAAATAAGCCCAACCCCCCCAACACAAGAGACATACGAACCAAGACCGACAACTTTTTCCAATTCCAGTCGCCGAAAAAATCATCTAAGGTATCCCGCCGTGCACCAGGTCCCATCTCCTTGGTGCTGGACGCAACGGGGTTGATGTTGGCCCACCCACGTTCCGGCGCTTCGCCATCCGTGCGACCAACGCCTCGTTTGAAGTTGAACGAAAAGGTAGTCTGGCATTTCTCGACATGCGCAGGTAAGTGAAACTTCGGCACGAAGAAAGAGATGGCCTTGGAAGTGTGATCGAACTGCATTGAAGTAGGGAACGCGCTCATACGCTGCCATAGCTTCTTATGCCACTGGCAGGCAATATCGTAGGAGATGTTGAGAGTCTTCAGGGACGAATGGCGAAGGGTCGAAAGAATAAGTAGTCCATATTTATATACCTATTGGCCGTCAGTCAATGCATATCCCGAAGTTCGATAATACTTACTTTTCACCTTTTTGAAGGTCTCCAACTGCGTTTGGCCGTTTCATATTGTGACGGGCGCAGTCGATGGTGCCCAGACCAGTAGCAGCCAGGCCCCGGTTGGTCTTTGTGTCTGCCATGTTGACTGCAGTATGACTGGAACAAGTAGATTTCTAAACACGATTAGCAGGTAACCAGCGCAGTACAGTGGACCAGAGACTTACCTCTTGAACAATGTCGATCTTCTCTGCGAGGAATTCCTTGTACCCTGCCTCCTCTACAAAATAAGTCCAGCCGCGACTTAAACTGGGGTCCGTGAAATTGTTGGAAACAACTTTCCGCTTGAGACGGAAGTTGGCGTCGATGGCGACAAACAATGCATACATCCAACTGACAAAACTGTTAAGTGTCCACCTATATGATAGAGCCTCCGACTCACCGTTTCGCCTGAGGAGCATTCTCCCAATTGTCCGGTAAATTTTTACCGGGGTGCGGACAAGCTGGACACAACACGGCACATTCTCCTTCTACTGTAGCATCCAAGCCTTTGGGGTCGTGCCCTCTGCCGGACCGCTTAAGCATGGTTAAATGTCGCCATTCACGTAACATTCGCATGAAACACTCATATCGAGACTGAGTGATCACATTAGCTTTGTTGCGAGCGTGCTGATCAACACACTTACTAACCTTAACAGGGGCCAGACCGGTGTTGTTGGTTCTCCGCGTAAGAGCATTGTAAAATTCATAAGCCGATACCTTAGACTCAAAAGACAATATATGGAATTCCTCCAGGAGACGGAATGTTGCTGCCGTTTTAGGGTTGGCCGTCGTGGAAGGAAACCAAGAGATTCGAAGAAGTTGTTGTACGTGTGCGACTGCATTTGAACAACCGCAGAAGTCGAGTGATACCTCATGAATAGCATGAGAATCCATGACAACGAAATCATCGTTGAAGGCGCGACGGGGTTTGGGGCACACCTGACCAGGTGCATGGCCCAATTGGATTCGGAGCCCGAGGGCTTTCAGGGTGACACGTTCAAAGAACATTCCATTCCATTTCTGCAGAGCTCGGTCAGAACATCTCATATTATCAAAACGGACAACTGACCTGCAATCTATGGAGTGGATGGAGTTGGTGTGCAGTTTTGATACAGGATGAACATTGGAGATTGACGCCAAAACAGTCTTCACAACGATAGTTGGGGGAAAGATCACCGCACCCAGAACACGGCGCGTTCCTGAGGTTGCCCTTGCCTTCGAGACGCAATATCTCTTCAAGAAACAGAGGGCGATCCTTTAACCACACAAGTAACAGATGATCCTACACACTTTGAGCAATGAGAACACATGATCCGAATCTAAAACTTACTCCTGGTGCGCGACCTATTCTTACATCTTCATCGTCGAACGGCACGGTATCGACATCCCATGATTCAACAGTGTTATCGAATTGATCAGGGATAAGGGCTGATGTTGTCGACTTAGGCTGGGTTGTTGCCTGGGCGTTCTTAGGAGGCTCGAGATATGACCGCGTGTAGCTAATAGATCCATCCCCGCGAACTTGATACTGAGTATGCTGACGATGCTGAATCCCTGACGGCTTGGAAGTGCGCAAGTAGGAATTCAGCTTGGGATTCTTCTTCCGCTTCTTGTTCGGCCGCAAGGCATGTAGAGTTCGTGATAGTTCTTCAGTGCAATGGATCACCTGGGATGATGTTGCCCCCGCAGAGGGCAAAGCAGCACTAGCAGAGACACTCATGCTCGCGAAACGCACCAAGTACCACCCAGCGACAAACTCATCAGCTGTGAAATCATTAGTAAGCGATCTGACATTGATCTTCCACTTACCTAGATTCTTGGATGACAGTGGCAGTACCTTTGCCATTCGTGCGCGTGAAGCGCCGTGAACGGCTGTCAGTTTTGGTAAACAATGCGGCAGGAAATTCCTCTACCATGTATGCATACAGTTGTGAAAGTCGCTTATGTAATAATCCTAAACCGTCATACAGCACTGTACCTGATCATATTCCTTCTTGCTAACGGTCAACGATGCATCCAACTGGCTCGTGCATAAAAGGTCATCTAAGTTGGAGACTCGTGAGTTCATTCGTCTCTTCTTTGTCCTTACTGATTTTCATGGCGAACCACAACCGTCTGGACCGTGAAGGTCAAATTATCCTTGGTACGTTGTTTCGTCGTTGATCATTGATTCTCACTCATTATTGGCAGATGCTGTAATACAGCTTTTATCCTCGTTGACACTCTCCCCGGACGACGCTCACAATCTCATTCGAGTTGTTGTCGACAGTACCGAGTTACAGTCACCTTCCACTTTGGAGACTCCTCAGCCCCCTGCTCCTCACCCCACTACCCAGATTCATCTTGCGACCTCTCCCATTGTAACTCCAGCTTCCACTTCGCAGACTCCAGTTCCCACTGCGCAGACTAAATCTCCCACCCCCCTTGTTGTGCAGACTCTTCAGCCTCCTGTGTCCCTCCCGGTTCCGTCTTCATCCATCCTCCCAACAACCACAACAACCTTCAACGGGGAGGAAAGGCGTCAGCAGCAATACAATGGCTTCACCTTTGATATTCCATCTGCTGACGCAAATGGACCATTCTACCTTGTCAACCGAGGTCGCCGTGTTGGCGTTTTTGATACATGGTGCGGTTTTTTCCTCACTCTAATTCCAGTATCTGATATTGAATCACAGGCCGCGCACTTCCCCCCATGTGATTGGGGTGAAAACATCTTCGTATAGTCGTGCGCGGTCCTTGGATGATGGGATTTCGCGTATCATGGATGCCATAGACCTAGGAGAAGCAGTATGGCTTCCTTGAAGGGAAGATAGGCGACTCTTGATTCACATAGTTCGAATACAATTTTTGTAGTGAGGATCCGTACAATATAATGAGGATCTGTTGACTCCTCGTGGCAATTACTCTGTGAATAAATGTAGATAATGCGCGAGGCGCGGAATACGTCTAAGTCAAGTGGGAAAGTGAAGCGCTAGCATGTCTTGAAGGAGGAATGCGTAATCTACAACGAGACAGATGTATATAGACTCTACAACACAGCAAAATTGGGGGTCTTCTGATAGAGCAGCTCACCTCGCGCATGATGGTAAAAGAGAGAATGTATATCATCCATAGCGTGCATGAGAACATCCTCCAGCGCTTTGTTGACATCATCTACCCTTCCAGCAGTAAGCTCGACCTGACGCAGCTCCTTCCCCACACCAAGGCGTTGCAAAGTTGCGCAATGGCATTCCTGAACCTGTTGTCGGAGTTCCTCTACTTTTACCAGCAAAGTCGTGATAGCCTGGATGCAAGACTCGATGTCTGTGCTCGCTTTGAAATCGTGGACTAAGTTGTCGAAAAGCTCAGTCGAGGAGCCGTTCATGAGGCGGTTGAGTGCAGCATCTACATTTGCTAGAGTCCCACTTGTAAAATAAGTAGTTAGTTCGAGGTAACAAAACGCTCTGGGATAGACTCACCTCCTGCCCGCGCATAATTTAACATGTCGTTTAGGAATGTTCTGAGAGTCCACATTGACGCTGCAATGACATGAAAGTGAATCAGACATTTGTGAAAGAAGATTAAGCTCACTGTTGTTGTGCTCGGAGTCGATACCTTGCTTTGTCCTTCAAACTGATGATAGCGTGATTCCTACACATTATAGTTAGTATTAGAATCTGCGTTGCTGTGTATACAACTCACCGGTCATAATATTTTTTGCGGGATCGTCTTGCTGCCTCCGTTTTCTCTTCAGGAGTCCAGTGCAATCGAGGGCGAGTCATAGTGTGGTTATGAAGTAAGTGTGGGAGGTTAACAAATCGAAGATCGCAATGAGCCGGGAGTTCGTATGGTAGGTAATTTACACGAGAATTATAATATAACATGTCTCCGTAACCTACAGACGACCAATTGTAAAATAAAATATAGCGAGCGTATGTATGGGTACTGTAGGCATCATTTGGTGAATGTGTGACTGCTATATTAAAGTAAGAACATGTCTAGCGAACATATTTTGAGGAATTTACACGAGATTTATAACATAAGATGTCACTGTAGCCTACAGACAATTGAATTGTGAAGTTGAACATGGTGCAGCGTGTGTATGGATACCGTAGGCATCATTGGTGAATATTTGACTATCAAATTAACCTTGAGGGAATGTCTAGCGAACATATTTTTGTCGCAACACCTTGATCTACTACTGCACGCCAATCAATCATTGCTAGTAGCAAGACTCCTATTAAACAAATTCACAAAGTTTTCCTCAACATCCGGAGTGCATATTTGCTTGCCATTATCAAAACCAGCTAGTACATAGTGTATATATCTCTATGTACATATGTATACTTTTGCCGATATAAGAGACGGTGCCAGTAGCATGCAAGACCTAGGTGGAGGTCTAGAATTATGGCGCGGATACTTCCAGTAAGCTCAATCTCTCCCGGTATACAGCTCAATTCTAGGTGGAGGTCTAGAATTATGGTGCGGATACTTCCAGTAAGCTCAATCTCTCCCATATTCATGATGCTTCGACTCGGAGGACATTCTATTCGTAGGGCGCGATGTTTTGAGGGCAATCCAGCACTCCGCCGCGGAGTCCAAAAATAGCATATATCAGTCTCATCTCAGACGATCAGTACGTGCAAACACCCACTAAAATCTGCTGAGGTATGTGATCTATTTTTCTTCTATATAATGACTACGGCTAATGTTTACAGTCTGCGAAACATATTTGCAGGAGAGAGTTTCAATGAACGGCTGCCAAACGTTTCACACTGAGGTACATGACACTGAGGTACGCGAGCGGGTCCAGGCTAAGTATAAATTTCACAGTCAGCGACACCCAAGCCGCCGGTACCAGAATGGTCAAGCGATCAACTGAAGTGGTTAGAGGACCAGATGGCCCTATACTCGTTAGCCTGCCAATACGACGACCTCTTGGAATTCTGGCCATCGTTGTTCGACATTTTTTTTGCTTGTTGGCCAATCATTCCAGAGTCCGAGGTCCTCACCACTGAGCAACAACACTCCCTTTTTCAGGCGGAAGAACAGCGCAAACTCGTAAGTATTTTTATATAAATTATTAAGATACATTGTAGCTCTGACTACTCGACTGCAGCGCATTAAAGCTTGGTTCGAACAAAAGAAGACCAACTCTATGGTACCACTTACCATAACGTCTGTGTCTGCAGATGGCCAGATGGTCTTGCGTTTTGAGGAGCCGTTCGAGGAAGCGTTCAAGCGTACTTTGAACGTTCAACCGTAGTTGGAGGACAGCGAGGCAGATAGCAACAAAGAAGCATAGTATATTTAGAAGTACCAGAGCCGCCAAATTAAACTTTGTTTGATACCTAACTCTATAAACGAAGTCTCTGCGTTTGATTCTCGAGCCTCGAGTGCGCTCAAGGCAACAAATGAAAAAGTTTGACCAGCACACGTGAAATCGCGAGTGTTGTTCTGAGGTACATAAGGCTTTTTTCTTTTATTTTCATACATTACATTCAGCACGCTACGTGATACGTGACCTAATTCAATAATTAACAGTACGACATGCCGACATTTCATCATGCTGCTCTGCGGACTGACATGGTACTTACAGATGCCGGCAGCAAAGTGGACCACCGATGAACAGTACGTCTGGCTTCAAGATCGGTTAGCGACGTATATGGTCCACGCGAAGGAAAAGGATTACTCACGTTTCTGGGCTCCGTGTCGTATAGCCTGGTTCGCGCAGTTCCCAGAACGTGCGGTGGTCTATCCTGACATCCCCAAGGATGTTGAGCTTACCTGCGAGCAGCAAAAGGTCGTTGAGCTCGCAGAGGAGGCGCATGAGGCGGTAAGCTCTTTGGCGTGTTACCTATGCTGCGTTCTCACAATCAGTACCTATCCACAACAGCAACTACACACCTGGTTTCGCTGGCGTGTCAATAAATCTAAGAAGAACCGCAGCCTAAAGAAGAAACTAACAGTCTTTGACGATACTCTGCAGCCGAAGAGACGCGCGAAGTCAGAGGCTGAAATTTATTCAGAGTTGTATTATGACGAGCGTATCAAGCCCTTGGTGATGGCTGAGCAAGATGCCGGAAACGTGGCAACGTCCGGCAAGCGCGTGGCCCTTGGTCGAAAATTCTCGAAGGAGTTACTGGAAGATGAGACTGAAGAGATCAAGGCAGAGATTCGTGAAAAGTATGAGGAACAACTCACTCACAAGAAGCGCGCCAAGCGTGAGAAGAACGTTCTTGACGATGACGCCGACAACGACGACAACGAAGAGTTAGATGCGGAGGCAATCATGCAGTACATGTGATTCAGTTCTATCAGTGTATTCAATACTAATGCCATTCAAATTTTACAGAGGTATAGATGACTTACCTGTCATTTGTCGACGCTTCGCGAAGCTTGTCAAGCAGAAGACTCGCTTCATGGTCTCGTTTATGTTTGCTGGTCCTGATCCTAGAAATGACTGGGACATGACGACATTATCGTAAGTTGCGAGGATTTGTCAGCTTGTACTGCCACTCACGCAGAGAAGGTGTCATCCTTCAGAAACACCTCAAGGCGATTCCTTTGCCGAGCTATACCAGACGGCTGATAGCGACTTCTTGGCAGCCTTCCAGCAGTACACAGAACAAATATTTCGTAAGTCTTCATATCTCGCATTAATAGTGGCAACACTCACTGAAAGTGCGTGCAGCTGGCAACAAGCGGAAGCCCGACAACAAGGCCGAAAGCAGTGAGATTGGAGGCATTGCTGAGGAAGAGTCTGAGGAGCGTGAAGAGGATGGGGAGGAGTGTGAAGAGGATGGGGACAAAGACGAGGAAGGCGAAGAAGACGAGCCCAATGCGCAGTCTACAGACGTCGAGGAAGAATCTCAGCTAAATGTGGATGAGGGCGAGGCGAATCAGTACATGGAGTCTGGTGAGTTGCCCAGTCTTTATATACCTTTAGACGAGCGGCTGATGCATCGGTCTGATGCATCAGCAGTCACTCTTCCCATCCCTGGTGCATCCTTAGGCGATGCATCTGATGCATCAAGTCTTGGGGGATCATCTGTGATGCACGCGTCGATGGAGACGACTGCCAGTTTACCGTCCGTAAGTGCTTCTTTGGTCTCAGCATCAATGCTCGCACCTGACTCTCGATATTTTAGTATGGCACGCCGTTCTATGGCATGTCAATGTATGACACGCAGCCTCAGCCCATGTACGGCGCCCATGCCATGTATGGTGGACAGGATCAAATGTATGGCACGCAAGGACCAACATATGACGCGCAGGGCACCAGCCATGCTTTACTCGCCGGAAACACTGGGTCTGATGCGTCGCTTCACTCTCAAGGAACCGCATTCCCACTACAGACGACTAACCACTTCGATTTCGGCATCCCTCCTTCTAATTCGTTCATGCCAGGCGCCGTCACCCCCGAGTTTTCGTTCGATCAGGGATTCCAGGCTGCAAATTGGAACAACCAGGCCTGGAGCGTGAATAACAACAATCCAGGCTGGAATTTCAGTTCTGCTGAACGAAGCAGCCTGCAGGACTCACTCGACTCACTTCCTGCTCTGCCTCCTCCTGCCAGTGAGCCCAATGAGGACTCGCGACCTGTTCTACCTTCTCCCAACCCGATCCTGAGTACGGACGATACTTCTCTCCCTCCTGTTCTACCTTCTCCCAACCCGATCCTGAGTATGGACGATACTTCTCTCCCTTCCATCGGCAAGGCTCACACGACGACTGGCAGAAGGGTTGCCCAGAAGGCTACCAAAAAGGGAGACAGCCAGAAGCGTCCTAATACTAAGTCGACCAAACCCTCAGCTGAAACAGCAACACAGCCGTCTCCCATTGTGTGTGCCACCAAGAACAAGCAGCCGGCTAAATCCTCTTCCAAGAAGTCGTCTGTCGCTAAGCCATCGCCTGGTCAGGCTATACCCTCCATTGAAACGGTCGCTCAGCCCTCTGCCCCTTCTGCCCAGTGCACGACCAAAAAAAGGCAGCCACCTGCTGCTAAGCCGTTGGCTGATGAGTCTGCCGCTACCACAAGGGAGCCCTCACCCGGTCCTTCACCCAACCCTATTGTCAATGTAACTGGTGGTGCCTCCAGCGCTTCATCATCAGACAGCTTGATGAATGTCGCTTTGGACACTGAAGTGCGCAGAAAGCGCGTGCCAATCAAATCTAGACGCAACGACCTTGCAGATGCTATTGGGACTAATGGTGTTTCGTTCTACGCTGGGAAGGAGAATTTATTGGAGGCCGAAGCACCTCGCTTGTTGAAGCGGCCTGCGCAAAGTGAGGCTTCCAGTGCTCCCAAGTATGTTTGATTTAGTTTTTGCGTACTTTGCCTCACACGCTGACGTATTTTAGGAAAAAGCGGACCAAGGCGTGATTGGCTAGGCACTGCGTATTGATTCGTTGTACAATAACATCTTGATAGCATCCTTTGATAATTTGTATTGACCGCTGTGACTTAATGAGATCATCTTGACATAGACCAAACGACTTAGCGAATTTTGAGTGGAGAGATCACGTGATCTCTGTTGAACGTTCGAACTATGACACGTAGGCACTTAGTGAATGCAGGTAGTAGTAAGTATATATGTCACAGACGGCGCAAGTTTGAAAACAAACGAGTTTCTGTATTATGATGCCATATGTTCAATTATCACACTAATACAGGCTATCTACCGTATAGTAATAAATGGGCGATACATTCATTGGTAGCGGCAGGATTGCTAATGATACTGGTGGTAATATCGCATCGATGGTGCCAGGGGTGCATCAAGGAGCGGGCCATTGGAAGCGGCGGGATGGAAGCGGCGGGATGGAAGCGGTGGGATGGAAATGGCGGGATGTGCGCAGCAGTACCCATTGGAAGTGGTGGGATGTGATATATATAGTACAAGGGCGCATTCATTGGTAGGGCATCAATGGTGGCCGTGGATGCATCAATGGTGGCGGGAATGCATCACAGAGTGGGGTGCTGATAGGGTGGTATATATAGTTCAATGAGGTATCGGGGATGCATCAATATCAATGGTGGGGATGCATCAAGGAGCGGCAAGGGCGCATTTGGTAGGGCATCAATAGTGGCCATGGATGCATCAATGGTGGCGGGAATGCATCACAGAGTGGGGTGCTAATAGGGTGGTATATATAGTACAATGAGGTATTGGGGATGCATCAATATCAATGGCGGGGATGCATCAATATTAATGGCGGGGATGCATCAAGGAGCGGGTTACCTGCAGCGCCTTGATTAGTAAGGCTAAGGTGATGTCATAATCCATCAGGAATGCATATTCACAATGATGCATTAACGATGCATCGATGCATGAAGATGCATTACAGATGCATTACAGATGCATCACAGTGATCCTAGGTGATGCATCTGTAATGCATCATAATGCACCATACATTAGCAGCGCTAGCACTGTAGGATGAATGCATCACTATAACCTTACAGTCTCAATGCTTTGTTGCATCAATATGACAGGGACGCCTGGATGCCGAGCAGCACTTGGATGCACTGATTGCTGCCCTCCATGATGATGCAGATGAAGATAGCGAGTAGTTTTGTTGTATACTAGGCTACTATCTTGCACTACTCTATGTCGCGGCCAAAATGATTTTTTTTTGGGCTTAGATTTGGATGGTCCGGTTCAGGGTTCGGACCCTTGAAGAACTGGAACTGGACCGTTATTGGACTGAACCGATGGTCCGGTCCACGGTTCTGTTTGTGGAGAGAACTGAACCTATGGTTCGGTTCTCGGTTCCCAGAATTTGCCAGAGAACTGGACCAAACCGGACCCGTCCATCACTAGATAAATCAACCGTCTCGAAGCCGGTTTATACCATAGGTCCAGAAATGGCTAAAACTTGACCGGTCGACCCTAGGGTCACATTCCAGCCAAGTATCTACCGTCGAAAATTTTTGATAACACGCAGTGCTTGTCATACAGTCCGAACAAAAAAATCTTACAGTACGCTCCTGCTCCTCTTTATGTATTATCCCTAACTTCAGTCTTGCAGAAGACCATCCCAGGCCAAAAGCCTCGCCCACAACACACTAGAATCCCATCTAGGTTCTTCAATGATGTAAGTTCATATGGTACGGTAGTCTCAATACACATCTCACCATCCTTCTGCAGTTTGATACGCATTCCCCACCTGGATGCAACAACCGCACTACTGCAACCACGCGCCAGGCCGAAGGCTCACGAATGAAAAATATGATGAATCGTCTCTTTTCTCGCTCCTCCGCTCCTCAGGGTGATACTCCCCTCCCCAGCAGGATCCCCACTGTGGATGTCTTCGCAACTCGAGGCAAATACGTAAGTTTTCGGAGCTGTGGCAATCTATGATCCTGTTTTCATGACATCCCCGCAGCGTACTGCCAATGCCATCAGCGGGAAACGACATGTGGTGCAGCGACCACGTCCCCCTCCCCAACCAGCCCACACTTCCAACACTGGTGTAGCGAATGCTGGCGCTTCAAGCAGCAGCGCACCCCCAGTGGGCACATCCAATGTGACCAATGGAACTACCTCAGCAACCTTGCAGACTGGAAGTACCAGTGCTTCTGCTGCAACCAACAGACCCCCTTCTCCGATGGACGTTGAATATGTTCCAGACATTAGCTGCTTTACACGTCTAGCAAGGTGTTTCTCGTGTCTTTCACACACTTAGCAAACGAGTACTGCTGCTTCCCGCACCCGCTAAGCGGTCACCCCTTCAGAACCTCTTCGCTGTAATAGAGACTACTATTGCATGCATTTGAAGATACTTTGCTCCTGATAGACGTCTGTCATCATACATAGCATGCATTGAAATTCAGATCCATGACATTCTCAACGGCTTTGTGAAATGATGGGCCTACACATTACTTCGTCCCCGTGGTCGCTGTGATGGTCAACCTAGTGGATTAACAAGACATTTACAGACTGTCACATAGTACAAGAAACATGGTGCATTGCATATATTGATTTCATGTCCCCAGCATAAGCAAGTCAAACACTGCGTACACGGAAAGCATCACGCATACCACAATGCAGACATTCCATATTGGATCCGAGTCGTTCGATGCAATATACAAGAAGTTGAGCGGGACCTGGATCTTCGAATAACTTGGCGGGGAGGGTGTCTTTTCCAAAGTAAGTCGTACCGACTTGTAGATTCGTGGTTGGATCCCGAACTTCTGCGGACATGTAGTTGAATGTAAGGGGAATAATATTGGCAGCGGTATCAACTTGGATAAACTGCGTGTGCCGGAAGGGAGAAATTTGCTGGGAATCGAGGCATTTTAGTTCCCAGTGGCAGCAACCAGAGGCATGGAGCTGTTGAATGACAGACCAGGTACTCGAGGGATGGTGATTGCGAGTATAGTGCCAATGCTACAGAAGCTTTCAATATAATTTTGCTCGGGAGGTCGAGTGTGACTTACTACATGGCACTGCGCGCACAACCCAAATAGGAAGAAGGCCAGGAACTTTTTGGTGAACACTTTCCGTACAAACCCGTCTCCCCGCGATGCTAGTTTTCACTTCTCCTGCCGCTTCTTGCCCATCATCGCTTAATTTTATGCCGTACCATATCAATAAAGTATGTGCAGAATCTCGCATGTATATGGGCCAATCAACATTTGGAGTTCCGCGTGCGCATGGTAGTCGAACTTGTGCATGAAAATCTGTAGGCGGAATCAACTTGCAGTAGTGATGAGAAGCAATATAACTCAGCATACTGAGAAGGTAGTTTCCGGCCTATGAAAGATCAAATGACGCCAGCAGGAACGAAACGCTGGTTCTCCCTAAGGTGATAGTACCGCAGCCAACCAAAACCGATTTACTTGGTCACCTATTAGTACAAGATCTATGCGACAAAATATCTCTTGTCGACTGATGTGGCCGAGAGGTTGTATCAACCACAACAACTTGAAGCACAGTGAGCGCCTACTAGCAGAAAACGGCAGAAAGAAGTGCTGAACGTGGAACCTGTAAACAGGACACCACGTGTCTACAGCAAGGCCGACATTTGGATTCAGCAATAGTATCCTGTAGAAGATAGCTTGTCGACCACTCACCATAGCGGATGTAAGTGACTGCTCCCTCCTCCATGCTCTTGCTGACCGAGTCGCTGAACAAGATCCAATGGCGGCTACCACTCATGGAGCATCATCGACTCGAAAGGAACTACCTCGTGTCGAAATGACGCTCAAGGGCCATGAAGACGATGTGAACGACGTGGCCTTCATCCCTGGTACACATCTCCTCATCACTTGCTCTTGGGACAAAAGTCTTCGGGTGTGGGATTTGGACACGGGGAAGCAGGTGGGAGAGCCCTTGTTGGGTCACGATGATGAAGTCTTGACGGTTGCCGCATCTTCCGACGGGTGTTGGATTGTGAGTGGAGGATACAACGGAAGCATCCTGGTCTGGGAAGTTGAGACAAACAAGAAAGTGCCAGTCTCGTTCAAGGGGCGTTGCGGTTGTATTGAGGGCGTCGTATTTGCACCGGACACCGAGACATTTGCAAGTGCGTCAGAGGACGAAACAGTATGCGTGTGGAATAGGAAGACGGGCAAAATTGTCCTCGGGCCACTCCAAGTGGGCAGTGAGGCAAACTCGGTGGCATACTCCCCCGATGGAAGCAAACTAGCAGCAGGCACGCACGAACACATCATCGTTTGGAATCCAGAAAATGGAGAAGAACTACTAAAAATAGAACAGCGGGCTTGGCGAGTCGCATTCACTCCAGATGGTCTCCGTCTCGTCAGTGGAAACAGGAAAGACATCCGAATCTCAGATGCTACCACTGGAGACATCATCAAACAGTTTGACGCGCACGTCGAAAATTTTATCTCACTAGCCATTGCTCCCAATGGCACCAAATTCGCCACCACATCCAATGATAAAACGACGCGGTTCTTTGACCTGACCACATTCGAACCCATCGGCGAGCCGCTCGAGCACCCTGATACCGTCCGTTGTGTAGCCTTTTCCGAGGACAGCCAGCTCATCGCCACCGGTTGTTGGGACAAGCTCGTTCGCACATGGACAGTTCCTCAGAGTGAATCAGAGCAGGCGAGCAAATAATCTCATGTCATGCTTCACGCTGACTTATCATATAGTCTGAACAGAAAATTCTTAAAGTACGCTCCCTTTCTCCTCATTGCGTACTACCCCTAACTTCAGCCTTGCAGAAGACCATCCCAGGCCAAAAGCCTCACCCGCAATGCACCAGAATCCCGCCTAGGTTCTTCAATGATGTAAGTCTATATGGCACAGTAGTCTCAATGCACATCTCACCATCCGTTTGTAGTTTGATACGCGTTCCCCACCTGGACGCAACAACCGCACTACTACAACCACGCACCATGTCGAAGGCTCACGAATGAAAAACATTATGACCCGTCTCTTTTCTCGTTCCTCCACTCCTCAGGGTGATACTCCCCTCCCCAGCAGGATCCCCACTGTGGATGTCTTCGCAACTCGAGGCAAATACGTAAGTTTGCCGAGCTGTGGCAATCCATGATCCCGTTTTCATGACATTCCCGCAGCGCACCGCTAATGCCATCAGCGGGAAACGGCATGTGGTGCAGCGACCACGTCCCCCTCCCAAACCAGCCCATACTTCCAACACTGGTGTAGCGAATGCTGGTGCTTCAAGCAGCAGCGCACCCCCAGTGGGCACATCCAATGCGACCGATGGAACTGCCCCAGAAACCTTGCAGACTGGAAGTACCAGTGCTTCTGCTGCAACCAACGGACCCCCTTCCCCGCTAGACATTGAATATGTTCCAGACGTTGGCTGCTTTGCACGTCTAGCAAGGTGTTTCTCGTGTCTTTCACGCACTTAGCAAACAAGTACTGCATTCTCCACCTGCTAAGCGGTCACTCCCTTGAGAACCTTTCGTTGGAATAGAAATTACCATTGCATGTGTTTGACGATTTTTTGCTCCTGATAGACGCCTACCATCATACATAGCATTCACTGAAATTCAGATACCTGACTTTCTCAACAGCTTTGTGAAATGATGAGCCTATACCTTACTTCGTCCCCATGGTGTCACGTCGCTTGGATGGTCAACCTAGTATATTGACAAGCCATCTATAGACTGGACCAAGCTGCTGGCGATCGCCGACAAGAACAACCTGCTTACAACCAAGCACCAGAGGGACCATACATCCTGCTTCAGGGTCAGTCGAGGAACAACCTATCAAGGAATACAAGCGCACCCGCTTCAGTAGCTTGCGTGGCTTTGTCGATCAAAACCATCCTGAACTTGAGCTTGTTGAGGCGAGGATCACCAGCACCCACGCATGTGCAGCAGATAACATCCGCAGCACCCAAAATCTCCTTCTCGCACTGCCTGATCAACACTTTGTACTTCTTCTCATCATCGGAGCTCAATTCTCCCTGTTCGTTTTTCAGCATGGTCAACTTCTGCAACTCCACGTGAGCTGTATTCAATTTGTTGCAATTATGTATTGTACGGATGAAGGATCTCGCTAGAGAATTACATGCCTATCAGTAACACCAAATTCAGCCAAGGGGGTGAAAGCAACGCGTTCTCCGAACGCAGAAGATGGTGCACAAGCGACCTCCGGAGATATGTTGGGCTGTAGGTCGATGCCCATTGCAGCATCGGGCGTTGATATGTCAATGAAGGATTTGCGAAGGTTACATATGTGAGCATCAATTGGAATTTGAGTAGGAGATAGGGCTGGCGGAACGTTGGCGAGATGACGCGATAACGCGATAAAATCCAAAACGAAGCTTGGCTCTGCACCACGAGCGAAATAAGCTGTCATGCAACGTTGAGGGATATGGAGCTGATGGCAGTGATGGCCTATCAGTGTATCAAATAGCATGCAAGCGGGAGTTACCGATTCAATCACGGCCCCTCAAAAGAGCTTGTGTCCGTCAGACCCGCGCTCATTCACCACGTGAACTACTTACAATTCATTTTCGACACTCGGCCAAGACGTTCAACGTTCAGATTACTCCTGTCGCTCATGAGCCTGGGCCCATTCGGAGAATCAGTCATGGATATCCGGATAACATCGTCGTGATCCGTGAGCTTGTGATGTGAGAACTGGGTGTTAACGTGGAACCTATATCGTTAGCTCTATCTCCCGGAAGGCTTCATGGGAGACAATATTGAGTATGTGAGATGCGGAGCAAATCCAGATTTAAATGGGAGGAATCGATGAGAATGCGTGTAATAGTAGTGTCCCGTCAGCGCGCTGATCCTATAACAAAAGCGGTTTCTGTGCAGACTCTCGCTTATAAGTATATGAATCAGTTAATGTGGAGTTGCGTGTCCAAGTGATGGTCAACTTGCACATGAAAACCTACAGGCGGAATCAATTAACGTGTACTACAATCAGGAAAAGCCACGTACCAGTAATCGAGCGTACTGAGGGTAGTTGCCAGACTCTCACAACACGATGCCTGCTGGAACGAAAAACTGGTCCTTCCTGGGACTGAGGTTATGATACTTGTTTCACAGCCAACCAATATGGACCCATTGATTTGTTGCATCCATTCGGTCATCTATTAGTGCAATGCGAGAAGTTCAAGAGATTGATGGGCCGATAAATTGTATCAGCCACGACATGCCGAAGTACAGTCAAAACGGTCGCGGCGCCTACTACAAGCGCCCAAAATATTGTTAACAGTGAACACGCGGACACCACGTGTCTACAGCGAGGCCGACATTTAGATTCAGCAGTAGTATCCTGTAGAAGATACAACATAGCAATCACTCACCATAGCAGATGTAAGTGACTGCTCCCTCCTCGATGCTCTTGCTGACCGAGTCGCTGAACAAGATCCAATGGCGGCTACCACTCATGGAACATCGTCAACTCGAAAGGAACCACCTCATGTCGAAATGACACTCAAGGGTCATGAAGAACGTGTGGGCGGCGTAGCTTTCATCCCTGGTACACGTCTCCTCGTCACTTGCTCTGATGACGAAAGTCTTCGGGTGTGGGATTTGGACACGGGGAAACAGGTGGGGGAGCCCTGGTTGGGTCACGATGATGGAGTCCAGACGGTTGCAGCATCCTCCGATGGGTGTTGGATTGTGAGTGGAGGAGATAACGGGAGCATCCTGGTCTGGGAAGTTGAGACAAAAAAGAGAGTGCCAGTCTCGTTCAAGGGGCATAACAGTGAAGTTTGGGGCGTCGTATTTGCACCGGACAACGAGACATTTGCAAGTGCGTCATTGGACAAAACAGTATGCGTGTGGAACAGGAAGACGGGCAAAATCGTCCTCGGACCACTCCGAGTCGGCAGTGTGGCACGCTCGGTGGCATACTCCCCCGATGGAAGCAAACTAGCAGCAGGCACACAAAAACACATCATCGTTTGGAATTCAGCAAAGGGAGAAGAACTACTAAAAATAGAACAGCGGGCTTGGCGAGTCGCATTCACTCCAGATGGTCTCCGTCTCGTCAGTGGAAATTACAAAGACATCCGAATCTCAGATGCTGCCACTGGAGACATCATCAAACAATTTGACGCGCACACCGAATCCTTTCTCTCACTAGCCATTGCTCCCAATGGCACCAAATTCGCCACCACATCGTACGACAAAACGACGCGGTTCTTTGACCTGACCACATTCGAACCCATCGGCGAGCCGCTCGAGCACCCTGATACCGTCCGTTGTGTAGCCTTTTCCGAGGACAGCCAGCTCATCGCCACTGGCTGTGAGGACAAGCTCGTTCGCACATGGACAGTTCCTCAGAGTGAATCAGAGCAGGCGAGCAAATCATCTCCATATGTCATGCTTCATCCTGACTTGTCATATAGTCTGAACAGAAAATTCTTAAAGTACGCTCCCTTTCTCCTCGTTATGCACTATCCCTAACTTCAATCTTGCAGAAGACCATCCCAGGCCAAAAGCCTCGCCCACAACGCACTAGAATCCCACCTAGGTTCTTCAATGATGTAAGTTCATACGGTACGATAGTCTCAATGCACATCTCACCATCCGCCTGCAGTTTGATCCGCATTCCCCGCCTAGACGCAACAACCGCGCTACTACGACCACACACCATGCCGAAGGCTCACGAATGAAAAACATGATGAATCGTCTCTTTTCTCGCTCCTCCGCTCCTCAGGGTAATACTCCCCTCCCCAGCAGGATCCCCACTGTGGATGTCTTCGCAACTCGAGGCAAATACGTAAGTTTGCCGAGCTGTGGCAATCCATGATCCCGTTTTCATTACATTCCCGCAGCGCACCGCTAACGCCATCAGCGGGAAACGGCATGTGGTGCAGCGACCACGTCCCCCTCCCCAACAAGTTCACACTCCCAACACTGGTGTAGCGAACGCTGGTGCTTCAAGCGGCAGCGCACCCCCGGTGGGCACATCCAATTTGACAGAAGGAACTACCCCAGAAACCTTGCAGACTGGAAGTACCAGTGCTTCTGCTGCAACGAACAGACCCCCTTCCCCGCTAGACATTGAATATGTTCCAGACATTAGCTGCTTTGCACGTCTAGCAAGGCGCTTCCCGTGTCTTTCACGCACTTAGCAAACAAGTACTGCTTTCTCCAGCTGCTAAGCGGTCACTCCCTTCAGAACCTTCTCGTTGGAATAGAGATTACTACTGCATGTATTTGAACATTGTTACTTCCGATAGACGCCTGTTATCCCATGTAGCATTCATTGAATTTCAGACACCAGGCATGCTTATCTCCACGGCCTTGTAAAACGATGAGCCTATACCTTACTTCGTCCTCATGGTGTTACGTCGCTTCGGGTTATCAACCTAGACTTCTGTAAGCGGTCTGACCGCGAGAACGCTAGAACCACCAATGCTTGCAGTGCTTGACAGTCCAGTAGAGTCCAGAATAAGTGGCTTGCGAACGTAGAGACTACATATCAGACGGGATGTACCCGAGAGGCACACGATGTTCAAGCTCTTCCAGACGATCAGGAAATACTGCTTGAACATTCCCGGAAGATGGCAGGGATGATGACGATTGACATCGATAGGAAGAAAAATGTGCTTCTTGCATGTAAACGGGCGGTTTTCGCTTGTGAATGAGTAAGAGAGAAGGCATTCGCTTCACGATGAATCGCCAAGACACGTTTGAAAACAACGGATGCAAGCACATTTTGACAGTGCGTTGAAGACTTGCGAATGGAGAAAAATGGGAAATATTGAAACGGCACATGTCGAAGATGGCGTAGCAGAGAAAGATTCAAGATCTAAATAACCGCGGTTAACACAGCGCTGTGAGGAGACTGGGTCATAAGTAGAATGATAGAGGCGCACGCCCAATTGCAATGTACTGTTGTGCTCGTGGTGAGTGAGATGTTGTGACGGCGGCAGTTGTGCATATTGACGATATGATACCTCGTGCTGGGGCGGTTGGAGACCAAGTCATCACTGTTGTCTGCTCACACCAGACTTTGAGGCAAAATAATAGCAGTTATTATTTTCGGAAAATCTCATGTAATCAGTAAATAAACGTGATGTAGCGTGTCCTTTTTGTTTTCTGTGAATAATATACAACGTTATACTGACTTCACGTTAGCCGTCAGCGTTAACGTTTTCAAACGCTAAGTCTCATTCGAGGAGCTCACCTGCTGCTGCGCGCTCGCAATATGCCGTGGGCGCCCATCGTCTTATCTCACGATGATGGCAGACACGACACATTGCTGCGCACTCAAACGACTCTCTGCTCAAACACGATGGCAAGAGCCCTTGTTTGGTGCGCCTGTAGCCGTTGCTCTTTATCTGACCGTGGTCAACTCCAACAGTTAAGACTTACTCGCCAAAGGCATCTAGATGCTGACCGGCGCCAACACGAGCATCTGCGCATGCGGGAGACAGATGAGCAGCGGGGCTCCCCCATCCTCGCATCACCCAGGAACACACCATCCCCCGAATTAGCTGGATTGCACCCAGACCCAGCTATTAATGACTATGTGCAAGAACCTCAACATGATGTCGAGATCGGGTACCGGATGGAAGTAGAAGATCAATACGACGGCAACGATGACGACGACAACGATTGGGAAGGCGGCAATTATGAAAGGGAAGGTGACGTGCACGTCAGCTCGGATGATGAAGAAAACGCTTATCGGGTATACCTGCCCCAAGAAGATGCTGTCGAGGAGGAAGATGGTGACGAAGGACATTCTGATGAGGAGCGAGATCTCGATGAGGGTGCGGACATCGTCAACGACCCTGCGTTCAATGCGGGCAATGGTTTTGACGAGAACGAGGATCGCTTACAACAGGATGACGAAGAAGAACTATTGTTCGATGAAGCACCTGCCTTTAGCGAGCACTCCGCTATTAGGAATGCATACGTGCGTGCGTACATTGCATCTGCGTTCAAAGGTGCCTCGCACGATGTTTCACGCATCATTCTCGACGGGGTCGCGCGTAGTGTTGTGCGGGCCGGGCTTGGGCCTGTGGCCCAGGGCTGGGCCTGGGCTTGAGCGGGTATGGGCTTGCTAAAATTTTGGCCCAGCCCTGACAGCGGGCTTGGGCTTGGGCTGGGCTGGGCTTGGGCTGAAGCCCGGGCCTGAAATTGTAAAATAATTGAACATGTCCTACAGTACAATACTATCTTCACCAGAGTTCTCTGTACATCCATCAAGTAGCTCATCATCCTCATCTGCAGGATCTTCAGTCAATGACGAAGGTCCTGACTCGCGGAAAACCAGGTCATGACGAAGAAGGCATTTCATTACCTGTAGTGCCTCAACGACATCACCTTTGAGACGGTTGCGGCGCTTTGTAATCGTTAGCGCAGCTGAAGAAAATGCCCGCTCGCTGGATACCGACGAGGCCATGATTCCTAAGAAGTCACGAGCAATAGCTGTCCGGTTGGGCTTCTGTAGGGCCGGGCCATGTGGGCCTGCGGGCCTGAGCCCTGGCCCTGCACATCACTAGTCGCGCGTGCATTGTGCTACGCTCGCGATCACACACAGGATATCGAGTATGAAGGTCTGGAAGACATGGCGAGAACTTTGCCTACAGCTGAGAGGCGTCTGGGGGTCAATCTTGACTCTATCATTACTTACCTCTTCGTATGTCCGTCATGCTGGCAGGTCCACGATCCCCTCACGCTGTACGACGAAGAGCTTCCGCAACAGTGCCGTGAAGAAGATTGTGAAGGTATACTCTACACGACAAAGGTTCTCGCTAGCGGAAAATCAAAGCGCAAGCCGACGAAAGTTCTGCCATACGTCGCACCTCGTCAGGCAATACAACATTGGCTTCTCCGCCCAGGAAAATACGAAGAGTTGCAACAATGGAGACGAGAAGGTGATGAACCACGCCAAGTGCCAGCTACCCATGTGGGAGGTGACGATGCCTTTGCAGACCCTTCTAGTCCCATGCATGACATGCACAATGCCTGGGGCTGGCGTGCAATTCGAGCTGGTTTGCAACGCACGTATCATGACAATGGCCGATTTCGCGTTGTCGACGATGACGTGCACAATATCCAACAGCGCTTCGTTTCACTTCCGTGTGGATTAGTGTGGCAAATCAACCTTGATTGGTGCGTAAATCGCTGACTGGACATCGAAGTCTCTCATCGTGTTTATACACTAGGTTCCAATCAGTCAAGCGTGGCAACCACTCTACGGGAGCCTTATACATGACCTGCTGCAACAATCCTCGTGGCGTCCGCTATCTTACCGAAGAAACCTTTCTGATTATGGTCATCCCTGGACCAAATGAACCAACGCTCGTGCAACTTAACAAAATAATGGAAAAATTCGTGGTCGAAATGACCGAACTTTATGGTGGTGTGTATTCATTCATCTCACTATAGATATTCTGACTTTTTATTGAACAGGACAAGAGTTTCGTATATATGGACACGAAAACAAGTATCCCATTCATTCAGTTCTCAATAGCGAGGTCTCCGATCTTCCAGCGAGTCGCAAAATTGAAGGACTTGCCTCTTTCTCATCAAAGTTATTTATGTGTCCGCAATGCGACACACCTTCATATTATCTTGCAGATCCACGTGGTTTCAATCCGACGGGTAAGTCAGAATTAATGGTGCATTATTGGGTCGTTTCTAATGTGTCCGCAGACTTCAGACTACGTGATGCTTGGCGCTACGTCAAATATGCCTTTCGTTCATGTTCTCTTGACGACGATGATCAAAAGGAGATCTTCGAGCGTCGTGGAGTGCACTGGTCAGTGTTTAACCTCATCCCAGGTTGGTTGACAGCCGTCAACTCGGTAGTGGAGTTCATGCACTGTGTGTATCTCTGTGAGTAATCTCTGCTGTCGTATGAATGAATATTGATGAACCATCACAGGTATGGTTAGGCATGTGACGAAGGTCATAATCCTTCAGTCCGGGATGCTCAATCCCATTCCTCGAGAAGACTGGTATCCTCTGGAACGACTTGATGAATTCTTCTCTCGGATCATTTGGCCAGTATCAGTTGGTCGCTTACCCCCATCCGTACGTCTGCTATCACACCTCTCGTGATTCATCTGATCAATACTTTACATTTACAGGTCACTTCTTCCTCGTCAAAGGCAGACCAATGGCGACTCCATATTAGTGTGTTGTTTGTCGGGCTTTTCGTTGCATGGGAAATTGACGGCCTTATCCCCGATATCGATGCACCAAAATCAAGAGCCAACACCAAACATGCAGCTGCGCATGCGAAGAACGAGAAGGTCATGCGTCGGCGTCGTCTCGAAATACTGCTCTCCGAAACAGAAGCACAACCTACTGACGAGCAGCTTGATGAGAATGATGCCCTCACGATGGATCGTTCAATCAGACATCATTATGCAACCATTCTCGAGTTCTCTGCCGCTATCCGGATCTTGTCGTCACGTTCAATCAGCCCAGATGAGGTCGAACGGGGCTGTGCGGCACTCTCTAGAGCATGCCAGAATTGGGCGCGTATGGGGTGTCACCTAACCCCTTATTTTCATCTCGCTCAACATCTTCGACGTCAGTTTCTCCAGTTCAGGCCTTGCTATGCTACGTGGGTGTTTCCATACGAACGAAACAACGGCTTTCTCGGTAGGACGAACCATAATAATCACAAGGGTGGCGAACTCGAATGCACGATGATGCGCAAATGGTGGAAATGGGTTCTAGTCCATGATCTGGTAGGCTCTTTTTCTCTTCATGCTACGAGTCTGTCTAATTTTTGTTGCAGTTGAACGCTTTTCGAAGACTTCCGGAGACCGACGAAAATGACCGCGACTCAATCGAACTTCTCGAATCGTGTTTGAAAGGTGGAACTCGCCCACGTCGTGGAACATTGCAAGAGTATTTAGCATCTTTCGGAGAGGACGGGAATGCACGTAAGTCAAGTATTTTTTTGTACATCATGCAGTTCAACTGACAAAGGCAGGACGTGTAACATATCCCCGACATTCCAAGGATGTCAAGCTTCAGACATTCGACCCCATGCTATATGGTCTTGTCCTGCAGTTCCTGCAGGACAAGTGGGGCGAGTCGGGCTTTGTAATTCACGCTGACGTCGTTCTCGCAGATCATGGTGCCTGCTTTATGGGCCATGTAAAATCTTACTCCCATGTGTTTGTTGAAGCCCTCCGCTATGGAGCAGCAACACAAACCCGCGGGAAAACTGCTCGCTATGCTTATTTCAATGGTCGAGTCGCTGTCGAAATCCAATGGATCTTCAAAATCGACATGGAGTATGAAGATCAGGGTCAAATTACCAAGACAGTCGCAGTTGTTCGTCCTTTTGTCGCGGATGATGACATGCCAGCATTCCCGTGGGATCTATGGTCTGTCTCGTACCTCTCAACGCTAATCTAGAGACTTACTGTATTGTTACTAGGGCAATTGATCTTGGCGTGCAAGTCTGGTATGGAAATGCCCTCGGTGAAATGGAGGTCGTCGAGATTGAACTCGTGTCGGGACAACTCATACTCATCCCCATCACCATTTCTGGTGTCGAATATTGGGTGACTGTAGCCCATAATCATGTACGTCTGTTGTGATTTTCATCTCCAGTACTCACAACATCTCAGGATGGAACAGAAGTGGACATGGATGTTAATCTCGAGCTTGACGAAGAATAGTACAGCAGCCGAAATACAAATACATGGTCTGTTGTCCGAATTGCGAGCCTAATACTACAGGATTTCAAGTCCATTTCATCCGTCCACGCGAAGGGGAGGAACTCTGCATTCCATCAGGTGCGCGACCTTATTCCTCCAGATCTTCTTCATCACCCCCATCATACAGTGTGTCATTGCCGCTGACATATTCATCTCCGAGTCCACGACCGGCGTCAGGGTCGCAGGGTCGTGTTGGAGCATCAGCATCGACTCGGGATGGGACATCCATTTGTGAATTCTCCGCAAGCCAGGCAGGATCAATGAACTCCCGTCGGATCTTGAGTTTGTTGTTTGCGGGCTTTGGGAGATCTTTGTCACATTTTTCACCTACGACGATGGGAACAATGAAGTTTTTTCGATCTGCTCTTCTTTTATTGACAGCGTCGTTGATCAGGCTAACTTTCTCATTGACCTGCAAACATGATTAGGTCGGTTATGACAGTCACCAGCTCATTTCACCTGTTCGTCACGATAACACGGAGGACGAGAGGTCCATACTGTGTCCGCATTCTTGGACTTCGAAGATTTCTTGATTGGCGGTACTTGAGCGGTCTCGCTGTCTGATGCGAAGTCAACCACACGTTTACCATTGTGAGTACCACCACCGTCGGATTCGTCCGTTGATTGATAACCAACTTGGAAGAACCAATCCCACTCAGGTCCATCTGTTCCCGTCTCTTTTCGTATTTCAATTGCTGATCTCTCTATGTTTTTCTAGCGCGTGACTTCATTAAAAGGCACATAGAGTCCGTCAAAATACTCACGCGATTCTTCCGAGCAGTCTGTCGCTGCTTGCGATTTCTTGCCTCCAGTGCGTCTTGCCCCTTGCTTCCTTTTTTGATGGATCCCCTGGTGTTCTCGAACACCTCCTTCAGCTGTTTGATGATATCGGTATCCGTTTTTTGCGAGAGATGGTCAACGGGAAGCTGAGCAAAAACTTCACAGGCTTTTAGTCGGATGTAGCGGACCATATCATCCCGCCAATCCGCATTCTCTGACCACGATCCAGCAAAGTTCGGTCGCAGAAGATTCGCGTCTCGTGTCGGGCACTTGAACCAGAACGAACCGTCGTCAAGGACGCCCAATGACGTTGCCTGCTTGGAATCGGAAATCCCCATTGCGTGGAAGAAGGTGTGCCGTATTGCATTCTGGGACATGGTAAGTACATATATTGATGAATGTCGTGCATGAACTCACATTAAACACGTTGTCGCGAACTGCTTTTGTTGCTTTGTCAACCGACTTGACTGTTGGTGGTGTGGCTCCGGCAGACCTAAGTCCATTGATCAACGTGAGCAGTTCTTCCAGTGATGCACTCTGTGCATCAACAGTTGCTTCGAGTTCATGTATCGCAGCACGGTGGTCTTCGACAGTTGCTCGCAGCATATTGTTTTCTTGAGTGAGTTCTTCAATTCGAGGCTTGATTTCAGCTGATTCTCTACTTTGCAGCGTCAACCGATCGACTTTCTCAGAAAGCTGTGCGACAATGGTATCAAGGTTCGCAATTTTGTCCGTAAATGCAGCACTAGTGACTCGCGAGCTCGATAGTGATGTTGCAGCTGCACGCTGTGAAGGTTCGGTGCTAGTTGAGAAGCCTGCGCGACGAACAGGAGGTATGTCGGGAGTTCGAAACTGACTGGATGTTGCTGACGGTTTGAGAGGTGGTGCTCCTAGACGACGTGAGGTAGGTTCGAATGCACTGCCGGTAGTGCTTGGAGTCACCAAACGTGTTCGACTTGCAGTCACTGCATCGGGGGTAGGACCTCGTATAGAAGTTGAAACAGGTCGAGAAGGAGCTGAGGCTGGTGCACGTGAAGCAGATGCACTCCCGCGCCCTTGGGGATGCATATAGGCTGCATTTTGGATGGGACCGCTGTCTAGCGTAGGTACACGTTCGTGGCTGAGACGCTGTTCAGTCAAGGCTGATGTGGGCTCCATATCTCGAAGGCTGGGATCAATAGCTGCATTGATGTCTTCGGTCGCTTGCTCAATCTCGCTCATGGCCTCGCTCGAATCCTGATCCATCCGCTGGTGTAGCCTTCGGGTCAACTCTTCAGATTCACTAACACTCATGCCTGGGTCGAAGGGTTCAGGGAATGGATTGAGAAATACCCCCGGTCCTCCATCCCCTCCTGCCAGTGTAGGCCGTGGTCGTTTCAAGGCAGATGCACTCGCTGGGGTTTCCAACACCCTCTTCTTTCCCAGCGGACCCAGTTTACTAGTGGGCTTGAGGGGCACACTAGGGGGTTTGTCGGGCACATTTCGGTGTGGTCCTGCCATGTTCTGGGCTGCTGGGGGTTGGTACGGAGCACGGAAAAAGATTGGGAAGTGATAGAAGGTTGTAGAAGGCTAGAATTGATGCGATCATCGATATGTAGCGTATGGCAAATCTGTATCGCTTCGTATGCTAAGAATAAATGGCAGTGAATATTCTAGGAAAACTAAAGACTTTATTGAGAGAAAATGTATGGTAAACTGTGACTAAACATAGGATAATCGTACTGTCGTTATCGTATGTTTATCTCTTGTAAATCTCACTTTTATTTGGGATTTTCCCGACATAAATCTCTCCTTTTATTTTACTTCAAAGTGCGGTGTCAGTACTTGTACGTATAAATGAATCATTGAACTGGATGCGAATGCGAAAGACGGGGACAGCTGAAGATGACTAGAATGAAATTTGTCATCGACAGATATAATTCTATTATTATCCTGGGCTATACTTAGATGACGTTCAACTCAAACACCAAACGGGGGGCAGACATCAACGAGGGAGCGGTTTCGGTGACAAGCCACGGCTGTCATGCACTAGGTGAGCTGCGTCATATGGCTAGATTTTCATCTACATGCTACGATCTATCACTGCAATCTAGATGTTTTTGGTACTGTGCGTCGCGTGACGTACGGCCACTACCCACATCTCGTTTCTTGCTGGCACGCGCAATCAAGTAATAAATATGACAGTATGGCATCCAGCCCTGCAGTTCTGCTCAACGCAATGCTTTGTCCTCGCTTTGAACACCCGAATCTTCTTACCTGAAACTACTATGCTTTCGGTGGATCTCTGGGAAGAGTGACCAAACGCATTCTGCGAGTTACATCGAATACCGTAAGGAAAACTCACCATACCAGCCCTTTGTGAATACCACATCGGACGAAGAATCAGGAAACTATATTCCCTCGTCCAGATCCTTGTCTTCGTTCCTTGCGCCAGCTAGACTGTCAGAGAAGGTATGTACAGGGACACCCCCGAAAGGAACATTGTCATCATTTATGATCAGGGGTGTAAAACTTGAAGACCTCTAGCGGTGGGTGGACTCGTGTTCATTGTGCAACAAAATTCTCTTGGCGAGATCTGAATTAAAGCTCTGGCTATATGTATAGGACTCTAGCTTTTTTGGTTACAGGCGTTGTGGCGTGGCGGCTAATGTAATGACCTACGTCAGACTTACGCTGCTCAGCATTGGGAGGATTGGGACAGGTACCAATCGGTGCGTCTGCGACACAACAAATACCTTAATCGATCACCTTCCACGCACACCGATCTCTCGGGTCAGCACACGCTAGAGTGCCTTGGCCCACGCTTGCTGCCTGCTGATTTTCTTGTTCCTGGGCGAGGGATACGGGAAGCGAGCGACCGAGGGTGCTTGTAGCTGTTCCACTTTGCGAGCCCGTTGCGGAAGTCGACGATGAATGGTGGGGACGAGTACTAGGGTGGAATTTGTTTGCGGAAGGGAGTTCATCTAAAAAGGAGAGTTGGAGAAGAGGTTAGAGCGGAGGAGGGTGCATTGCTCCGGAACTTTGGTTTGAATCCAGAACATTAGTTATTTTGCTTGGAGTTGTGAAGTCAACACTTACCAAGGTTCAGCTGTGTCCTCGAAAATCTCCTGTATCCAATCACGATCGTTCTGGTGGCGAGTTCCATGCGCGATTTCAGTGCGTGATGCATCAACAAGGGATACGAGGTGCCACATCGAGAGTTCGAGATGATCGACGGAGGAAAGAGTGATCGAGATTTTCTTCCGCGAATGACTAAGTTCAACGGGCGACATGAGAAATAAAAGACGTTAGCGATGGACAGGCGGTTGCAAGGTGCAGGCCCGGAAGAGAGAGCTGCATCTGAAGTATATAGAGTAAGGAGAATAATGGGCGCCGGTTCACCATGATCCATGTGTTCGCCAGCCCAATCTCCATCATATAAGCTATCAGTGTTATCTCAGCTGTGATGGCCGGTGCGCTCCTCCCTGACATCAATCTTCTTGCATGGTCTCCTCCTCTTGATCTGCACCGTGATAGTCAGCAAGGAACTGGGGGGACGTATCGGAGTATTTGTTAGCGGCCGAACGAAGGGAATGGAGGACGGGCTAGAGATGATGGGGGCTGATCTTCGGCGATATCTGGAGATGGTCGAATGCGGTGAAGAGAGGGAATGAAGATAGAGAGCGGGATGATGGACTACGTGGGTGTGGAGTGTACGTGTGGAAGCCAATAGGAAGGGAAGGTAATCGCGGTGGACGAAAACGGCGGATGTAACCCCGCGAAAGACGCGATTCGAAGGTTGATGAGACAAGGCATCAGCCACATTCATCAATAACAGCAAGGAAACGACGCATACACTGTGAGGCACGCCTGGTGCACTGAGTTGGAAAGAGTTTTGCATCAGACCAGCGTTTCTGCGAGCGCCATGCATGCTCGTGTAGCAAATGAAGCAGTCCTCTAAGCCAAGCGCACAGCACTTTTGGGTGGTCAGAACTCTTCAGAGGGCAGCAACCTTGCCGATGGCGCGTGACACGAGTCTCGAACACTCTGGTTAATGACCTTGGGTGCCGCTCGGAGGCGAGAATCGTTCTGTAGGAGTGGGAGAATACAATGTTCAAGTATGGTACTGACTGTTGGTACCACGGGCCGAGCTTGAGGATTTCCAGGGAAATAGAAACGCGAGAAGATGTGTAAAATGAGTGGAAATGAATGTGAAGTGAGGTGAAATCGGCCTTACCATGTGCTTGCAGTGACTGTCCTTGCTGGTGCTGTCGCCAGTCACACGCCTAGATGGTAAAAAACTGTGTGATTAATAGAACTACCAGAGTTTATACGTACATACCCAAGTTCATGATGCACTCTGCAAGTGTTGATGTACAAGCATCCTCCACGCACAGCGAAAGGTGATACGGTCCGGTTCCTCAGTTTGCCATGCCATTCCTGGAGTTCTGGAGAGATTCTCGTGTTATGCAGAGGAGTTGAGAGTTGAGAGGATGGGACAGAGGATAGGTGATGGGTCGACGGCAGTGACGTCCAATGTCGTCTGCCAGCGACGGGAACCTACTTTGAGAGAGTAAATTCAATGGAGGAGAAAAAGAGAGACTTACGAGTGCGGGTAGTATAGAGCGCAGACGACGGGTGAGCATTTGAGACGAGGGTCAAGGAAAAGATCTGAGCACGTACTGTAGCTGACTAGGGGAGCTCAAAGTTGAACGCCCAACACCCAAGCCCAACACCCAACGCCCAACCTCGTGACTGAAATTAGGTATACCTAGAATAAATAGAAGTAAATATGGAGTAAAGCCACTGATGAGATAAGCTCCTTACCTAAACCTTGTCGCGCGAAGCGCCGAAACCTTCGCCAACTGTCTCCCCCTAATCCTCAGCATTTCTAAACCTTTTAAGCCTTTTCATCGTACCTAAACCTTTTTATACCTAGGAGACCTTGCTTTTTCATTCCTAATCCTGTTCAGTTATCCCTCATTAGACTTTTGCCACATGCTCGCACAATAAAATCTATGACATGGGTTATGATTAGGGTTAGGAATAGCATTTTTTAAGTATGGAAAGGTTAGGAATAGAATATGAAAAGGTTTAGGGTGTGAAAAGGTTTAGAAATGCTGAGGATTAGGGGGAGACAGTTGGCGAAGGTTTCGGCGCTTCGCGCGACAAGGTTTAGGTAAGGAGCTTATCTCATCAGTGGCTTTACTCCATATTTACTTCTATTTATTCTAGGTATACCTAATTTCAGTCACGAGGTTGGGCGTTGGGCGTTGGGCTTGGGTGTTGGGCGTTCAACTTTGAGCTCCCCTACTGTATGGAAGCAACTGTCACGCGTCACGCAGAGCTGGTTGCATTGCTAATTTGCCCCATGTCACACATCACGTAGGTCGAGTTGCTATAATTTCATATGTCACGCTGGTAGAAATTGGTACGAAAAATCACTACTAAGGCTCATTTTTCATTTTTCGCCCCATTCAGACTCATTTTGGCTCATTAATGCATTGACTACATCATATTTTCTAAGTACACGGCCAATCGTCAAATTCGCACGTTGTATATTTGACGAAAAACAATTTAAATGTGTACAATAGATATAGAACCTATACATATTCAGGGTCTGGTACATACTGGAAAAATTTATAATGTTTATATAGCTGCCGGATAACGGTGTGGTAACAGGATATAATTACATTACAATCACCGGTCCTGCATAGAATCAATGCCGCCAAAGCATAGGATCTATATATTGAGTTATCCCACGGCTTCCAAGGTCTTCATACCATGCATACAGCTTCACCAGCGGTAATCTTCACTAAGACAGACATATTTAATATATACAACAATGTAGCAAGCTTTAGAATAACAACATTACTACCTAGTAGCTGTTGTGTTGTGAGCAGATGGCCCTATATATAATAGCTGCTGCCAGTAATTCAACGAAATTTCTTCCAAGTCCGTGGTAGCTTGTTAAATATTATTACTTATGGTACATTCTAACAGTCTGATAGCTTAACGGTACTATCACTGGCGGGGTTTTTCAAAATGGGTATTGGGTTTCAAAATTCGCTGATCATCATATCGCGAGCTACACACTGCACAAAAATATTCTGTGATTTTAGCCAGTGTTCTCTAGTGTCTATAGAATACAGCTGTGAAGATCCCATAGAAAACATCGAGCAGTTGTGTTCACAATAAATCATCCATTGACACATGTCACACCACTGAGCGTTAATGATTGTAATGCTACAATCTGTATAATTTTTCAAACAGGAAAAAAACCAAGGGAAACCAATCTCTGTCCCTATACAAATGATACTTACCACTGCGATTTCTATATCGTGATTGAATGAGGGCAGAACCATGTTATCAGTGAAGTTATTGAAAGAGTGTATGCTGCACCGTGACTATAGTGCAGCATCAATTATAATCTCCGCTCAAAAACTGTACATGAACACTCGTTCAGATATCGAGATTCAAAATTCTACCGTTGCGGAGCTATAAAACTCCAGTGTGACATTGCTGTGACAAATTTTGAAACAGCTTAGCCAGTCCCTGCCAAACTGACATTGTACAACCGGATTCCTTCCGACACTCAAACATCATCGCAAAAAAATCAGATTTCACCTGGGTGTGATAGAGCACGAAATTTCCCACAGGTCTGTCAAGAAGCGGTGTAGGAGACGCCCTGGCTGCAGCCCCGTACGGCACCATTTTCCCTTACTGGACGAAGTCATGCCTACCTTCCACAGGCCGTTGCGGACCATCACACGAGGTTGCGGAATCCACGCACTCTACGCATCGCATCGCAATGTACCGTCCGTCCATATCCTGTCCGTATCTGTCAGTTCCCACTGGTGCGTTCTTATCTCTTATTACTGGATCCTGATCATTCGCAGAACTATGCGCATACTGTTCCCATGCATGAGGTCGCATAGCGCTACTTACATATTATCCCCTCCGACTTCGCGTACATATGCGCTCGCTTATACAGTTCCGGTTTCTTATGGACTATGATATATACTACGTTGCAGACTCGTATCCAGGACTTTCCTACATTCCCTCTCTCTGGTTGTGTGTTGCGGAGTCACTAGCTTAGTCTTACCTTGTCTTTCCTTGCTTGAGCAATCACTTGTTTGCCTTCTCATCCCGCGCGAACGCTCGCATCGCCATTGACAGTTGACTATTGCTAGTCCTAGTTGAGTTCCTTTGCAAGGCGGTTTCTGCACGTCTTCGCATATACCTGGTACCTAGTTTGCCCTACCCGATTACCTGTTCTGATACCTGGTACCCTACCCGTTCCGTACACCTGGTACCCTATCCGTTCGCATACCTGGTACCCTCTAGACATTCACTCGTTTCTCCGCATCCGCATACCTCGCATCTCCGCATCTGCATACCTCGCATCTCCGCGCATTCTCGCATCTCCGCATCTCCTCACATACCTAGCTGTTCTGTCTTCAGCGCATCACTTCCTTCTTCACTGTTCCCCTCGCTCATACTTGAGGAACTGCTCTCAGAGCTATCCCCTTGGGTCGACTACTATTCTCGCACCCAGCAGGATCGGTACGCTATCACTATAGCGGACTTCTACGATTTCTCCCACAGCGGGAAAAAAAACCTATTGACGAGTGTGCTACGCATCAAACATTGAAAACCTTTGAAAAACCCCACCAGTGATAGTATGTACGCTGTTGCATGAATGATGTGTGAGAAAGTCAATGGTGAGCTCGAGAGTTCGAATCCCCTTGATTTATTATCTATTTTCTTGCATATACCTTTTTCATGCTTTTTACCATGCTTCGCGCCACAGTTTCAGACATAGCTCATATACCGAGAAAATGTATAGCGTACGTATAGGACGAAAATTATAGTACCGGCATTGTGTACGTATAGTTGCTATGCTCCCAAAACAAAACATAGATTCTATGCTTATTTCGATTGGCCGTGTAGAGTGCAACTCCATGTGGGTGCCAGGATGTTGATAGTTGCTAATTTTTGGCCTGTCACAATGGTGAACTGCCTGGTTGCTTACCTGTCGAACTTGGGAACCTGTCACGCTCAACCCCCAGTTGCCTCCATACAGTCAGCTACAGTATAGAGGAAGTGAATTTTAACTTGACGAAGATCAATAAGACGCGCTGCACGTGACCGCGTTCAGACTTGTCATTTGAAATTTCATATTTCCGTTCATCAAGTGCGTTTATCGCTGTAATAGAGACTACCATTGCATGTATTTGAAGATACTTTGCTCCTGATAGACGTCTGCCATCATACATAGCATTCATTGAAATTCAGATACATGACTTTCTCAACGGCTTTGTAAAATGATGAGCCTACACATTAAGTACTTCGTCCCCGTGGTCGCTAGGATGGTCAACCTAGTGGATTAACAAGACATTTACAGACTGTCACATAGCACAAGAAACATGGTGCATTGCATATACTGATTTCATGTCCCCAGCATAAGCAAGTCAAACACTGCGTACACGGAAAGCATCACGCATACCACAATGAAGACATTCCATGTCGGATCCGAGTCGTTCGATGCAATATACAAGAAGTTGAGCGGGACCTGGATCTTTGAATGACTTGGTGGGGAGGGCATCTTTTGCAAAGTAAGCCGTGCCGACTTGTAGATTCGTGGTTAGATTCGTGGTTGGATCCTGAACTTCTGCAAACATGTAGTTGAATGTAGGGGGAATAATATTGGCAGCGGTATCAACTTGGATAAACTGCATGTGCCGGAAGGGAGAAATCTGCTGGGAATCGAGGCATTGTAGTTCCCGGTGGCAGCAACCAGAGGCATGGAGCTGTTGAATGACACACCAGGTACTCGAGGGATGGTGATTGCAAGTATAGTGCCAATCCTACAGAAGCTTTCAAAATATTTTTGCTCGGGAGGTCGAGTGTGACTTACATGGCGCACAACCCAAATAGGAAGAAGGCCAGGAACTTTTTGGTGAACACATTCCGTACAAACCCGTCTCGCCGCGATGCTAGGTTTTCACTTCTCCTGCCGCTTCTTGCCCATCATCGCTTGATTGTATGCCGTACCATATCGATAAAGTATGTGCAGAATCTCGCATGTATATGGGCCAACCAACATGTGGAGTTGCGCGTGCGCATTCGAACCTGTGCATAAAAATCTGTAGGCGAAATCAACTTGTAGTAGTGAGAAGAGGCAATATAACTCAGCATACTGAGTCCAGCCTCTGAAAGATCAAATGATGCCTGCAGGAACGAAACACTGGTTCTCCCCAGGCAAGCAACACCAATTTACTTGGTCACCTATTAGTACAAGATCTATGCGACAAGATATCTTTTGTCAACTGATGTGGCCGAGAGGTTGTACTAATCAGCCACGACAACTTGAAGAACAGTGAGCGCCTACTAGCAGAAAACAGCAGAAAGAAGCGCTGAACATGGAATCTGTATGTGGGACACCACGTGTCTACAACAAGGCCGGCATTTGGATTCAGCAATAGTATGCTGTCGAAGATGCAACTTAGCAACCACTCACCATAGCGCATGTAGGTGACTACTCCCTCCCCGATGCTCTTGCTGACTGACTCATTGGACAAGATCCAATGGCGGCTACCACTCATAGAGCATTGTCAACTCGAAGGGAACCACCTCAGGTCGAAATGATGCTCAAGGGCCATGAAGCATGGGTGAGCGGCATAGCTTTCATCCCTGGTACACGTCTCCTCGTCACTTGCTCTTGGGACAAAAGTCTTCGGGTGTGGAATTTGGACACGGGGAAACAGGTGGGGGAGGCCTTGTTGGGTCACGATCATGAAGTCTTCACGGTTGCAGCATCCTCCGATGGGTGTTGGATTGTGAGTGGAGCAGTGAACGGAAGCATCCTGGTCTGGGAAGTTGAGACAAAGTTGAAAAACAAGCTTAAGAGAGTGCCAGTCTCGTTCAAGGGGCATAAGAGGCGTGTTTGGGGCGTCGTATTTGCACCGGACAACGAGACATTTGCAACTGCGTCAGAGGACAGAACAGTATGCGTGTGGAAGAGGAAGAGGGGCAAAATAGTCCTTGGGCCACTCCGAGTGGGCAGTGCGGCAAACTCGGTGGCATACTCCCCCGATGGTAGCAAACTAGCAGCGGGCACGGACGAACACATCATCGTTTGGAATTCAGAAAATGGAGAAGAACTACTCAAAATAGAACAGCGGGCTTGGCGAGTCGCTTTCACTCCAGATGGTCTCCGTCTTGTCAGTGGAAATCACAACGACATCCGAATCTCAGATGCTGCCACAGGAGACATCATCAAAAAATTTGACGCGCACGTCAAAATGTTTGAGTCACTAGCCATTGCTCCCAAAGGCACCAAATTCGGCACCACATCCGATGACAAAACGACGCGGTTCTTTGACCTGACCACATTCGAACCCATCGGCGAGCCACTCGAGCACCCTAAAGTCGTCTCGAGTGTAGCCTTTTCCGAGGACAGCCAAGTCATCGCGACTGGCTGTTACAACGAGCTCGTTCGCATATGGACGGTTCCTCAGAGTGACTCTGAGCAGGCGAGAAAATTCTTTCGTCGTGTCTTGCTTCAAGCTGACTTCACTGCGTGTTGTCCAAAAATTCCGACGGCTTGGAATTGGCTGAGAATCTGGGGGGTACATTAGGTTTCAGCCACGTCGGAGCCATCAAATATCAGCCGACTTCTATGATGTCGGAAATCTGACCCTTTAAATTATCACCGGCGTCAACGATGGCTCGAACTTAGAGGTACCCTCACCTACGTCTTATCTACCTTACAGTGGCTTCTACGTGAGGTATGTTTTGTGCATTGTACACATATACATACATATATATATATAACAAATGTATAATATGGCAGGTGCTATACCCATTTCTATGGTTACACAGTATTCTCCATATGTACACCTGTTCTTGCATGCCGCACGCCGCATGCGCTGCCACCAACCAACCATACCAACCCTACCATACCATACATTTCCCAACAACTCAACAAGACTGTGGACGGACGGGTTACAGCCTATCGCTTGGCCGTTTGATGTCTACTAATCAACAAAGCAAGGTACGAGCTTATAGTTGAGTCTTAATGCATAGTTGACTCTCGTATACCTGCAGCGGTGTATATGTCTGTGCTCAGTGTGCCAGCTATCAGGTCTTTTTCAGACCGGTCAAACTTTTAAAAAATCACCTCAAGAAGCATGGTCGTGCACGCAGGCAGCATCTTGGCAGTGGTGAACCTCCACAGGCTCAGCTGATCAATGGGACCGCTTCGGACGGAGATATCACAAGTCAGGACGAATTTTTGCTGGATGATGACCTGATACTCCCTGATTATGGGACACCGTCCCAAGAGCTTGAACTGCTCGACATTTTGCCAGACAATGCACCTTCTGTATCTGATATAGATCACCCGGGCGGTTCGAGTTCCCCTCCGCTATATTTCCCTTCCTCAGACGACGATGACACAGAGTTTGATCAACAGTACACGCCTCCACCAAGCAGTTCTCCCCTGCCATATCTCCACTCGTCATATGACCATAATGTGTCTCTTAGTGACGATGATTGTACTAGTGTCCTATCACTTACCTTTAACTCGGCTACTCGCAATCACACTGCTGATGAAGAATCACGTATTAATGCCTCCGACGAGGAGCTATCGTACACTGAACATCTCGACGATGAAGATCACTGGGTTCCTGAGAATGATCTGCAGTTCCTTCCCAACGATGCACTATTTGATGAAAATACTTTTGTCGACTCAGACGAACCTCATAGTGTTGTACCGCCCGCGTTATCGGAACATCGAGCACTGCTAAATGGCTATGTGCACGTGTTTGCCAATGCTGCATGCAGATGTGCAACACATGCAGATGCAGAAGAGACACTCACCTTGCTCCATTCGACGATCACAAGCTGCTATCCCAGCGGAATTTCTCCTGAGCTTCAGAGTGACTTAGCCAGCATGGCACGAACTCTTCGCACTGTCGAGAAACGTCTGGGTGTCGATACAGAGAAGATTGTTACTACGTACATTCTTTGCCCATCTTGCTGGCAAATGTACCATCCTTCCGAGCTACCAACAATGCAGTCTCAACTGTGCACAGCACCTGGATGCTCCGCAGCGCTATTTCGCCTGAAACGAATGAGTTCAAACGCGCAAAAACGCATCCCATACAAAGTGATGCCTGTGGCGTCCTTTACAGCTGCTCTTGCACATCTCCTTATGCGTCCTGGTAAATGGGAGGAACTTCAACATTGGCAGAAGGATGGCGACCATGAACCAGCACCACCTATCACACGAGAGGAGTGGTACACCGAGAAGGATGTAAATGAGCCACTCACAGACATATACGACGGGTGGATGTGGAGATCACTCCGTACGGGCATAGTGCGCCAGTGGGACTCGAAGAATCTCAAAGTAAATGACATTGACGTACAAAAACTCAACCAACGGTTCGTGTCCTTGAAATGTGGCCTCGTTGTGCATATTAACATCGATTGGTATGTTTTAAACAAGTCTTAGTTGTCATTTCCTGACATTGCCATTGACGGAACAGGTTCCGTTCACTCAAACGTGCTAATTATTCCACTGGCACAGTTTGGCTGACTATTGACAACCTACCGCGATTGATACGATTTTTGCGGGAGAACACATTTTTACTCTTCGTAATTCCAGGGCCAACGGAACCGAATACAGAGCAGCTCAACGGACTACTTGAACCTTTTGTTCGAGAGATTGAGCAGCTCGCACAAGGTAAATAAATACTCTTCATCAGCAAACCACTAGGTTCTGTACAGCTCTGTACAGAGCTGCACAGCATCCAAGCCAGACAGCTTGGTCCCTATTAGACAGTTGACTACAGTACTACTTCTTATTGTGAATTTCCGTACAGTAGCTCATAGATACCTAGAGGAAGGGACCTTGTACAGACATTGCCAATAACATGTCATTTGTGGTGCTTGCTCGCTGAAGGCGCTTACTGCTCAACTGTGGCACACTGGCAAAAACAATCACAATGATCACAATACTATGCATTCAATCACAGTGCCAGCAGAAAACACGATACATAGTAAATGATACTCGAGAACATGCAGCGCAAATAACCCTAGTAGTAGTAATACCTCAATCAAGAACGAACTGTAGATGATGATGCTTTGTTTCATTGCCGCCGTCAACCTTGGAGGACTCCGCCCTGTGTGAAAAAAAAAGTTGAGTATTCAAAACATCGTAGAAAAAAAATGCTCTTGCCATCCGGCTTCAGCCCACAAACAAAGCTGTCGGACCAGCTTGGCTCCGTGATAAGGATCCAACATGGTATCTTGCAGTAGCTTGAGCAACTTGCGATACATAGAGGCGTACTCCTTGGCGGAGAACTTCGGGAATGTCTTTCTGTTACCATTCTTGACTAAACTGTCAAAGACGCAGTTAAACTAGAAAAAAAAGATGTTAGTGCGTCGTCAAGTACATAGAAGCATCGAAAAATACCGCGGTACAGACCAAAGCCAAGCACTCCAATGGTAACTGCTCGCGGAAAACCTCGGGTCTCTTGCGAGCGACACGGTAAGGCCCGGTGTAATAGAATGAAATGGCGGCCTCGCGGAGCGCAGGGTGAGCAGTGTTTCGAGTTTTCCCGAGTTCATCCACACCATCACGCAGAAACACAGATGCATTTAGTAATTCTTGAGTGGCTCCCTCAACCCACTCAGAATGTTGTTGGGAAGGAATATGAGGAGGTGGGATTAGGTTGTACATAGAGGGTGTAATGTTGATAGCGGTTTTCTTCAGGTCCGAGCGCCAAGTTGATAGATCTTCAAACAGCTGGAATAACAGCGCGTCAGATATCAGAAGCGTGACAACAGATACACGCACCAATTTGGCCATATCGGACTTGTGATCAGGCCACACAGCTGGTAATTGCCATGAGTAAGCTGTCTCGGGGGAGCATAAATGTGTACCGGCTTCGACTTGATTACCAGATTCAAGCCATTGCACGAGTGAAGATGTGAGGACCTCAGTGATGGAAACCGGCATGTCTTCAACTAAAGTTGGGAACAGATTCTCTATCGCGTACTGTGCATGGCACTCTCCCTTCGCTTCCTCAAGGAACCTCCTCCAATGGGGACCATACCAACTGAGCTGTGTAGCCTTTGGTCCTTTGTCCGTTTCCTTGGATTTTGATGACTTGGCGGCTTTGGTCTTCGACTTGGAAGCTTTGGTCTTTGAGTTGGGAGCTTTTCTCGGTCTGACGCAAAAGATCGAGGATCGCAGGATCGGGCAGGCGGGGATGACCGTTTCGCTTGTGGTGAAGTTGTAGTACATCATCTGTGGGCTTCAGGAAAAAAAATGTTAGCAGACTCCATAGAAGCAAATAATATATACCTTAATAGTAGAATCATTGTCGCTTGACCCCTCAGCTGCTAAAAGCTTGTCCGCCATGTTATCTTCTTCATCACGCGAGTGCTGAAACTCGAAATTGGTCGGAAGAGCGATGGCGACACGAGGTTGAGAAGGCATGACTTCCTGTGAAAAACCTGTCTCACAATCAGCAAAATTACAACGGCGAAAGTGAATTACTTACCGGGATGTGCGGTAAGGCGCCCATGGGCTGCTCCCCAGCCGATTTCCGAGCCCTGGTCTTCAAGATCCTCTTCATTATCGTTGTCTTCACTACTTCCATTGTTATCCTCATTGGACATCTCTGAACTTTCAGATACGGTGTCTTGCGATCTCAAATGTGCGTCACCAGCTGGCAGCAGAGCAGGGTCCAAGTTCTTGTAGAATTCAGCATCGGATCGATGCATGACCGACGTGGACTGCGAAGGCGGTATCGCTTGCGCTAAAGTGTCATTTCTCGGGGTAGCGATAGCAGCTGGAAGATGTTCAGGGAGATCCAAGGAGGCTGACAGAGCACGATGGTCCTTGGCAGCAGCTACAATGGGATTATAGAGTGCTTGTGAGTCACGCTCTATGCCGGGGGGGACAACGGATTGCGCAAAGCCAAAGCGAGCACCAGCTTCACGGTGAGAAAGGCTGGGTTGGATGTTCCATACCTCCGAGCTGGGGGTAGGAGCGAGAGCGGTTTTTGTCACCTTACCTTTCTTCACTGGTGGTTTAGAAGTCGCAGGATCTTCAAGTGGTTCAGAGGCACTATACGGTGGAGGCGGCTTCTGCATGATATATTCAACCTTAGTACTGTCTATACTAAAGTGAAACAGACCTACCTTTGAGCGAATCTTGCGACCCTTATGGGGCAGTTCTGGAGCGAGAGGATTGGGAGGTATATTCGTGTCAAGGGAGGTAGAGCCCTTGGGTTGGGTAGCCCGCACCGGGGCATCCAAGAGAGCACTGATTTTCTCTAGTTGAGCGGCCCTACCTCCTGTGCCTGCACCTTGACGTCCAGAACGTCGAACGGGGAGGGAGTCGTCCACAGCAATTGACTGCTGCGACGCCACGGGTGCCTCGACCCTAGCTCGTGATTTCTTTGCTGAAACTGTGTGCACGTCAGAGTCCACAGCTTTGCGCTTGGATCTCTTCTTCTTAGGGCTGGCGCGAGGTTGAGTAGACGGCATGACTAGCCCAGGCTTAGAGCAGAAGCACTAGAGTAGCGATTAGCACAAAAAAAACTACTGCGAAACACATACCATCTTTAAAGGCTCGTAAAGTTCATCTCAGTATCGGATATCGCAAACACATGTTGAGAATATGACTCCAGCGTGGGTCCCATCTGCAGATGATGGTGTGGAAATCTCGGCAAGTCGGATATGGTGTCTTTTGGGGAATGAGTCGAGCGCTGCCTCAGGCTGCAGATATAGTATAGTTGTCGGCAAGTCGGATATGGTGTCTGTTGGGGATTATGAGTCGAGCGCTGCCTGCAGATATAGTATAGTCATAAAAAGTCGGATATGGTGTCCTTTGGGGAATATGAGTCGAGCACTGCCTGCAGATATAGTATAGTCGTAAAAAATTCGCCAGTCCAACATCGAGGTAATGATGAGGCTGCATATGTAAGATGGGGATATCATGTGACTCATACGGTATGCGGGTATTGATATGTACAGGAACACGTAATTTGAAGTACCAATGCTAAACTCTATCCAGTCTTGCTCCTCTTCGGCTGAGGTACAATTTCCATCGTCCATCGGTGATCAACCACTCGCTTCTTTCATGTCTCACCTACAGATTGTGACCCTTCCTCGTCATTGGTGGTAAATGAACTCGCCGCTGAGAGAATCACCCATTTGGAGACTAGGAGCTCAGGGGATGGCTCCTGCGGAAGTGTGCTGATGTGTCTCTCCAGCATCGCGATTACATCATCAAAACGTAATCATTTGGGTTCCTGGACTAATTCGTACCACTCTAACGCAAGGGGAAGGAGCGGTTCAAAGTAGGGATCAAATTGCTTCATGATTTCCGCCCGGTAGTGTTCGGATTGGTGAAAGAAACGTGTTTTGCTGTCCCCGCACTGTTGGTACGTTGACGCAGACCATTCAGTGGTTATCCATTTAACGGGGAGCTGAGAATGCTGTGGGAGAGTGGTCGGAAGAACACGCTTCATGCCGAGAGGGCCCCTGAATTCAATACAAATCCAGAAGAAAACATAAAACATCGACTCGAGGTCGTCCTTGTAGTCATGTTTGACCAAGGGGGCTGGGTATGGTATTGATCCTGAGGCTCGCGTGCCCATGTGCTCATCTGATGGATCCGGTGTGCTGAGGTAAAGCTGGAAGAGCAGTTTTCGTGACATGAAAGGTATCATACCCTGATACCGTCAATCAATACTAATTTCTTAAAGATAGGGAAACACTTACCGTGCCACCGACACTGTATTTGTCGTTTTCCAGAATCTCGACCGCAAACTCCCAATTGATTAGCGTTCCGTGGGAACCATTTCCATCGTCCTCGATCATTGCATTGTTCAAACTGCAGTCACGGTGAATAACTTTGCGTGTTTCTACTGCGTACTTCTGAACTAAAAATTGAGTCAGTCAGCGGAACATTCAGGTGATGTGACATCACTTACTTTTCACGATATCCCGTATCGCGGTCAATAACTCCGCATGTGAGCGAAATTGATGCAATGGTCGCGCACGAGGCTTCAAGACCAGGTGAACATGAGTACGCGAGGTGCCTTTTATGCTGCGCGGAGTCTTGAAATGATACCTCCTTGTTTCATCGACCTCGTCAGGCTCACTCTCCATGAGCCAGTATTCGACAAGGCGAGGAACGCCACGGACCCCCTCCATCTTCTTCAGCATAGAAATCTCGTTCAGGACCTGGGTTTTTCCCCCAAGAACCCAGTGATCCTTTATGATGTACTCCTCCCCGTCCTTCCTGGCTAGATAGCATACCGTGCCACGACCAACGAGGCCCTGGTTAGAGAATATAATCTCTAATATATCATACGTGTTTTCATTGACGCGAATCTTGCCAATCGGCTCTGGAAGGGGTTGACGGAGAGGATCTTTAGGTACTTCTTCTACCGGGGGGACGATACTTGAATAGACGTTGGCTGCGGGTGTGGGCACCGTGTCCTCATCAGCGTTGTGGGGGGTGGGGGTGTTCTCCTCAGTTAGTAGGGCATCGTCCATCGTGTACGGGGGTGTACTTTCGGTGTCTTCGACCTGGGCACTCTCGATCTCCTTGGTCTGGCCGCTCTCGATCTCCTCGATCTGGCCGCTCTCGATCTCTTCAAATTGCGCGCTCTCGATTTCTTCAAATTGTGCGCTCTCGATCTCATGATTCTCACCAGGCCGTGCGCTCTTGATCACCTTGGCCTTGTGCGAAGTCAAGTCTATGGGGCGGGAAGAGGGTCGAAGGGTATGTTTCAAGATATGGATTGTCGGGTCAAACCCAATACAACTGAGATTTCCGAAGACGATGCACGAAAAAATTTGGAGGTACTTGTCCAGCTCATCATCGATATTCGTGCAAGGACTCACAACACCGCCCGAGTGGTCGTATAGGTGTACACGAAGTTCGCGATAGCCATTGGAAATGGAGACAAGTAACGTGAAGCGTCTCCACGGTTGGTGCTTGAAAAGAAGGTAGGCTTTGCTGTCCAGAGTTTTTCCAAGGGTCGATGAAGGTGCATAGGGAGTCGATGTGAGTTCGCATATGGCCTTGATCGTATCCCACCGAGCCTCTAGATCATCTAGTAAGGTGAGGTTGGGTTTGTGAGCGATTTTTTCACCACGCATTGGTCGTGAGGAGTTTGACGTGCTCCAGACACGGTATAAGATATGCTTCTGAGCAAGTAGAGGCTGCTGCTTGACGAGGGCAAAGGTAAGGATGTTAAGGAACGACGCGAAAACTTGTTCCGTTGTCCATCGCTTTGGCTGACGATCTGAGACGTTATCGGTCTCTGAGGGGTCCTGCATCGGCTCGTCTGAGTCCTTGGGCGGGCTGACGGCCTCCGAATCAGAGGCCAACTTGCCATCTGTCCTGCCAGTTCCATCGACAAAAACCCAATCTCTCGGCTTCTCCTCCTTCCCCGGGTCTCCTTCCTGCTCGTTCTCATCCATAATATCCGTCTCTCCTCCCCACTCACCACTTTTCAGAGGAAGCTTGTCATTATGAGATGCTGGAAGTGGCCAATTCCACTGTTGGCTATCCACGTCATAGAGCGGTACAAGTGTTGTTTCGTTCTGGATGTGCTGAAAGGTGCCGATTCTGACATCGCGGTGGATTTTCTTCAGCGGAACAGCAAGATCCTTTGCTCTGGGCACTTTAGTCGTGCAAGACTTGAAGATGATTGATAGAAGATGGCCGAGCTGACTGCTAATGGTAGGTTGCTGTTCATGCAATATCAGGCGAGTAAGCTCCGAGTTGGTGAGTTTATTCATTGTCGGTACGTCGTGGACCTCTGGAGTCGATGCGAAGGACGCCAGCTTCATCCCGACGTCAACTGAACGAAAATGCTTGCCAAGTGGCATGTTGCTGCACTGGTACTAGGGAAATTGTCCCACAACATGTACATAAATCCTAATCTAACTGCCTTTGATCGCTCCTTCATAGTACACGAAAATGGCCTTATCTCGCATCAAATATTAGGCTGATAGGGCAAAGAAGATGTTTTTGTCCCAAAATTCGTTCAACCACAACTCCGCGGTGTCATGCATGGTATGCAGTCCATACCATGACATGTGTGCTATACAAAAGATAAGGAAGGTATAATGAACTGTACTCTACCATATCACCAAGTGATTCTATCATTTTTCATTGATTCATCAGTCTGTTTTTCTGAAGCCTCGTTTCTCGTGTTTCATTTCTCGTATTATACACGGGGATTTCTATGTATTTCTATTTTGTTCTGTGACCTTCCATTTCTTTCTATTTTTCTTGGCTTATTCATCAGACTTTCTCCCTAGCTGACTGATCATGTTTGTAATCAGGTCATGTGACTGGGAAATAAGGTGATTTGTAAGGATTCAGCCTGACTCATCGTGGTTTGTCACTGATTCGTCATGGTTTGTAAGACTTGCAACTGTATTTATAATCTTCTTAGTAAACAGGATGACTCAGCTCACCAAAAGGCTTGGTTTGTAAGCACAACCTTACCAATCCATGAGATGACTCATGCCTTTGATTTATCATGCTTTGTAAGATACATGTATTATTAGTAAAACAAGCTGACTCAGCACACCAAATGGTAGGATTTGTAAGCACATTCTTACCAATCCATGTGATGAATCATGCTTAGTAATCTGGCCTCCAAAAAGGTATAAAAGGAGCCCATTTTACACCCATGCAAATAGAACTTCCCACTTTAAACCTAATATCACTAATCTGAGAGTGATCAGGCAAGACATAGTCAAAGTGCAGGCAAACCAAGTGCCTTGAAGTAAGACTAAGACAAACTTACACTTTAAACCTATCCCACTAATCTGAGAGTGAGATCAAGGCAAGACATAGTGAGAGTGCAAGTACTATCATTTCAACAAAGTAACTTCAGGTTAAAGAGCCCACAGGTAGGCTGTCCAGATAACTAAGTTACTCATCACTACTTTACTGAGCCAAGCTCTACGTACACTTAACGAAGACCTCTCTCTTTTACAGGAAGAGAGATACGAAACAGGAGAACACGACAAAGTTGAGACAAACTTTCATAGGTTGAAACACGACCTACTAGGGTGAAACATACCTATCATTTTTCCAGACACAACAAATCCACAGACACAGTTTATATAGTTTCTTCAAACAAGGAGGTAACTTGTTTACTCTTTGACCACCCACGAACAACACGTTATCAACCGAGAAGTAGAAAATCCGTTGACCGTGAACTTGAGGAGCTGGCAACTTCTAGTCTTATCAAAGTGTAGTTGTGATTGTCACTACATTTTACACAGATTTTATATAAGACCCTCAAGTAAGAAGACAGCGGCATGCTCCATGCTGTTGTAGGCGGTGAGACGCGTATCTGCAGTAACGCCAAAGCGAGGGATGAGATGGACAGGTGCCCTCAATTGAGATACTGGGATGACATCGCCCATCCGGCTTCCATTTGAGCACTTTGCTCGCTTGAGCAAGTGAAGCTGCGTAGTTGGATCACGATCCTTCGAGATGTCGAAACGTTGAACATAGGTGAGGAAACGGTCCTTCCATGACCATGGTATACCACTCTTGCCAATGGGTCGCATGATAAGTCTAATCTGCGCGACCGCGTGACCTGTAAAAGGTAATGTAAGTTAAGGAGTATCGAAACACAAGACAAAGAGCGCGCCTGAAAGATTACTGCTAGGCCATGAATGGCTTGCATTGGTCTCAATGATAACCGCATCATAGCGACCTAAAGTCCAGAGGTCACTGGGTGGAGCACAATTGAGCATCTGACTCGGTCTAACGGTGCGATTGTTGTGCGAGTCTGTTTCTTGCAAGCGGATTTTGAACCAGACTTGAAGTTTGTCAAATGGAAGGACAGCGGTAGGCCCAGCTCTTCTAGGACCACCAATTGCATGAACATGCTTATGTCCATAAGTTGCCTCACGCTGGAGGAAATCAGCGATAGCGGGTCGTAGATCTGGTAGACCAAATTTGACGGCGACTTCGTCAACAGTGATGTTTTGAATGGAGGGCTTGTATGCAAGATGAAAGGCAGAGCACTTGACAATGAACAAGCGAAGAGATACGGGCACTGAACCCACCTCTCGGCGCTGGAGTGCATTAGCAATCGCAAAGTAGTTCGTGATTTGACGTGGGTCTTGTGTCACGTTGATGGGAATATGTTGCGCGTCAACATCGGCATCACCATCTTCATCGTCCGAATCCAAGTCCTCCAGCTCCTGAGTACCCCGCTCGTGATCTAAAAGGCTAGTGGCGAGCTCAAAACGACGGCATTTTTCGGCACGGTCAAGGTGTCGACAAATCTGTGTGTCGTAGTTAATGTTGTTGCTCATTCTTGCGGGGTCTTTTATCTCGGTGATGTGAGCGTGTTCAGTGATGTCGGCAGACCACTGTCCTACGGCGCCAGAGTTGCGAATGCTGGGAGCAATGCTTTGCATTAGCTCAAGCTTGGGGATGTACCAGTTGGTAATGGGTTTATTGCCCTTCCCCCGGCGAGCCCCAGCAGTAATGATCGCATCCTTTTTTGCGTGAAACTCATCCAATGAACGTAAAATTCGCCCGAGATCTTCTTCATCAACACGCGGCAACTGTACAAGATATCGGAACTGCATCAATGCGCGTACAGCGGCGATAACACCAGCAGGTGCTGCATCCGCGCTGACGGCAATAATGTACCTTTGGACGTCTCGTTGACAGCGACCGGTGACTTGCTTTAACTTGGAGATGCCACTGTGAAATTGCCGATAACCGGTGATGGGTTGTAAGACTGAGAAATGGAAATCTATCTCAGAGTCTCCAACAGCGGAAATGAGCCATTTGGCGTCGTGATCCCAGAACTGCTTATGGATATGGTGGAGTAATTCCGGTGTAAAAAAATGAGAGGGCTCCGATAGTGCCCAGTCCCGCCACAATGGTAGGTCGACGCCGTTCAGTCGGAATTTCTGTGCTTCACGGAAAAATGTCACGATATCGTCGGGATCAGCGCGCGCATGCACAACAGCAAGCTGCGCGAGAGTGGTCGATTTCGTGCGGGGTTCATGACGGAAGGCATCCCCGAACTGCTTGTACATTGCCATGGTCACTGGCGATGTTTTTCCGCCGACGCCTGCGAACATCATGGCTTCTGGGGTGTCCGCAATATAGCTGACGAGAGGGGTGAAGCAGTAATGATTGTTTCCCATAGGATCTGATAACATGATGCCATGTTGAGTAGCCTGCTTCAATGGTTCGAGAACAACGTCAAGGCATTGATGTATAAGACGGTCCTCCAATACACCCTTCATTCGCTTGTTCTTGTGAACAAACTTCGGAACTGGTAGTAGGGCGGTGAGGACGAAAGAATTAGTCGATGATTTTAGACGTGTGTTCGTATGAATATTGGCGAGGCTAATGAGGAGCGGATGGGCCACACGATCCCCCGTTAACGCAGTTATGTTCGTCTTGTCAGAGGAGAGAATGGTGCCGAGGAGAGTCGCGCCCTTGGGTATTGCTGACTTTAAGGATACATGAGCCCCAGACATAAAGATTTAACTATTTACGCACCTGCATGTCCCAAGCATCGTTTCCTGTCATCCACTCAGTATATACGCGACACAGCTTCTCGGCAGTGGTGTACACCTTGCGAGGCGTGAGGTCAATATGACCGTGAAATAATGGATGATTGAATATGCTGGCAATGCATTCGATAGGGTCGCGCCAGTACAGAATTACGGGTGACTTTGTAGGATGTAATGTAGGAATGACTTGAGACTTCCAGTGTGGACCGCTGGGTAGCGTCTCGGCCCGACCCCGTAATTCTTTCGCAGAGCGAAATGACAATGGTAAGTCCTTAATCTAAAAAATTCAGGAAGGGATACCAGTGAGCTTGACGTCCAGACACTCACCATTTCAAGCGATAGAAAAGAATCAATCTTTGCCATGCTCAGGCCTGAGCGTAACAGCCATGCAGCAACTTTCCAATCTCTCCGACAGCTAAACAGATAGTATAGGTTCGTTTTCCGATGCACGCTATTCTGGTCCGAGTCGAACAGGCCCAAAAATGTGTAGCTGTCCTGATAGGCCAGAGGAGGGTCTGGAAAGTAGTCAGTTACTTCCCCGCTTCCCCCGTGTACTCTCGCAATATCCTCTTCTTCACCCCCAAAATTACCGAAGTCGTAGAAATTTTCCTCCAAGTCGTTTCTAAATCCTGCTTCGCTGGCATGGTGAGGTTCAACGTCTGAGTCCGAGTTCAAGTCGTCCACTGAGCCCATTTCATGATCTTCGCTGGGTGTGGTAAAATTGATCAGATCGTCTAACCAGGTATTGCACCCAGAGCGAGGCTGGCTGATATGACGAGCGACAGATGTATGATTTTCGAAAACTTTCCCGCACGAGGGGCAACGTGAATTTGAATGAGGCATAAAGTCCTGGGATATTAATATGTCAGTTTGATTGCGGCATTTTCCGACAACTGACTCTAACCCACGCGTCGACAATGACTATCACTGCTACTAGTCTACGCACTCTATCAGCAAAAGCATCAGGCTTATCAGATGAACTCCTCGATCCACATCGTCGACATCGTGATCCACAATCTGGGATGCGTGGATCGGACCTACATGAAGTTCTCGAAGCCATCAGTTCCATGGTAAAGTCCAATGCATTCCCTATTTTCTTGAAGGCGCCTGAAATTCCATTAGTCCATGCAGGATACAACTAACTCAGAAGCAAACCTTATAATGGACCTTGTACGAGCTAAGCGCGAAGTTTTTCGCGCACAGAAGGCACTAGCAGAGTGTATACTACAGGAAAACGAAGTGTTGTCCAGCTTGCTCAGATTTCAAGTAGAAACTGCGGAGACGACGCTAGACGACGCAGACATGGGCCTGGGGTGCATGAGACTCATTTTCAAAAAGCACGGCTGGTCCCATTGTCACAGAAATCATCTACCCGCCGGTAAGTTCGCAATCAGTTCGAGACGATGTGTTGTCCTGATGAGGTGCAGGAAATTCATCATCTGCTACTAGTACTACAGTTGAAGCCACTGGGGGGCGCCTCCTCACGGTCCAGCTTGATTGACTGGCCGATTTATCTCTGAGTTGCTTCACGTTTTCCATACTACCCATGTTATTATGATGTGTCTCGCGCCTGGCAGTACTACTATGCTTACATGAATTCTCTGGTACATACTAGTATACTACATGTAGATGCTCATATGTTCGAATACTTATGTTCGATGTTATCTGTATCACGAACTTCTGAATGTTTGAGCTGAAGTGCATTAAATTAACACTAGTACTACTAGTAATAAGTACTACTACTTTACTATGACTTTCAAATGCAACTTTGAGGCCTGTGAACCATGGAGAACTGTGGGTGATTGTAGTGAATGTATACCTTGCAGCCGCTGTTTGCTGTGATCCTGGCGGAACTGTGAGTGAATGTAGCGAATGTATATCTTGCAGCCACTGTTTGCTGTGATCCTGGCGGAACTGTGAGGTCTGTGGCTGGCTGTCGTGAGAACATAAATTTCACGCTTTCTGTGGAGAAAGTTGTGGTTTGCAGATGTTGTCTGCTACATAACTCGACTCTGAATACATTTGTCAAGGGGTGCTTTGCAAGGTTTTCGGGCATGACACGATGGAAATGGTGCACGTCGCACTCCCCTTTGGTCCAATGGATACTCCAGCAAGACTCAAGACAGCTGGCTTTGTATCTCAGAACTCTGAGGACCATATGTGCCCATGCTGCGACGCTCCGTTTTGCTCGTTGGTTGATCCTACATGCTTCGATCGTACACGTATGATTTTCTGATGTTTCATGGTGGCATACTGATTTAAAGTTTCTAGAATTCCACTATCGAGACTCCGCAAAGCAACTTAAGTGGAAATTCATTCATGGGCTCCAATGATCCCGAAGTTCAAGCAAGCATTGCAGAAACCAAGGGTGTCCGCATGTCAATTCTGGATCGCCTTCCAACATGGAACGGGTCATCTAGCATTCCGACGGAGATCATGCATTTGTTCTGGGGTCCGGGTGAGTTGTTCATTCAAGGTATTATCTCATAATTCACTCATTGTACTAGGCACGTCTGGTCAAATACACCGAGTCGTTGTACCAAACATTCTTTCTCTGGCCTCACAATTGATGTTTTACTTACTTTATGTTGGTACTCTTACTGCTGACATAATCCAATGAAGTTTTGACCTAGTACCAGTATCAGTCTGAAAGTCCTCTGTCCTTTTGTCTTGTTTCCTTGTCTGTTTCTCTCTCCTTGAGCACTGAGCCTAGAGCAGAGACCCTTTAGGGTTGAACTAGCCTAGGCCAGCAAGACCCAACATTTCCCTGCAGCTCAGCAGGATTGTTGTTCGCACATCGTTTTGATAGAAGGATCAATGTTCACCAGGACAGGGAAACGATCCGATGTCACACCAATGGATCGACTTACAGAATTTCTCGAGTCCATATGGTGGCCGAATAACTCAGGACGTTTTCAGATTAAGGTAATATTGTTTTGAACCTTGAAAAGGGGAGTACTGATCTGTACATAAGATTGCGAGCGGGGGCGAACGTCCTAAAGCAGACGAGTGGCGAAATTTCATGCGAGTATACCCTGTCGCAATTTCAGTTGCGTGGCAAATGTGGTCTCGCCATGCTGACGATGAGGCCCCCCCGCCAAAGAAACGCAGCAAGATCCAACAGGCCATTGTGAAATCAAGGAAGCTCTTACACAAACGTTGAATCAAGAATGTTTCTCGCGACGAAGATGCTGAGGCAGAAGATTATTTGGCGCTCGAAGACATTGAGTCACACCTCAGGAGGCCACTCGAGCTGATATCGGAGGCTTTTCAGTCATGGGCACAACTGAATTGTCATCTCACACCAAATTTTCACTTCGCCAGTCATCTAGTCGAGTACATTCATACCTATGGCCCTGCATATGCCTGGTGGGTATTTCCCTACGAGCGCGCGATTGGTGTGTTAGGAAAGGCCAACCACAACGGCCACGGCAGCGGCGAAGTGGAAGGGACCTACATGCGAGCATGGTGGAAGACCATGCTGATTCAAGAACTCATGGGTTACAGTATTCATCTGCCATTGTTCTCACTGTTTGCTGACTCGAAACCCAGTTGACACATCTGCAGGAACGACGTGATCAAACCGAGCAGGACCAGCTAGCCATTTGTGCGCTACTCAAGGCTGTCAAAGGTGGTGCTGAAGCCGATCGGCAAAGAGGGACCCTTATGAATTATATCGCGCTCCTGTCCAACCCACACAATTCCAGTACATTTTTATCACCTTGTCCATTACTAGCGATAATTGACCTGACAACAGCGAGGATTGTATTTCCGAAACAATTCAAGTTAATCAGCTTGCGGCCACTGGGTGTCTATGCCATTGTTTTGCAATTCCTACGTCTTCATTTTCCAGAATTCAACTTAACATCAGACGCAGGTGAAGCATCCAATGGTATTCCATTTGACTCACAAGGTGTCCAGTCATATGCGAATGTGACCATCGGCGCTGCAAAGTATGGCTCATTCCATCATCATCGTGGAAAGGGGTTTTGCTATGGCTATACCAAGGGATGACACACTGCGCGTATCGAGTATATATTGTCAGTCAACATCCCTCGACAAGACCCTCCAATATCTGTCAATGTTTCTCTCATCCGATGCTTTGAACATCACCCACAGGACGCCAACCACCCATGGTCTCTATGGTAAGCCTATCCTTTGTTACCATGTGAACTACAATGACTCAACCACAATATCAGGGCGACCGACCTCGGGATTGCAACCTGGAAGTATAATGTCCTCGGGAGCCTCGAGGCATGTCATCTTGATGATCTTAGTGGTCAATTTGCATTTTCACCAGTTCATGCACCGAGAATTGGTCGCTTATGGGTGACTTTCTCGTTAGACACTGTAAGTGTTTTTTATGTTCTGATTGTACTATTATGTTAACGAGAGCATTTCAGACCTCCCAAGAACCAGATAACAGCAACCCTTAGAGTCCCTCTCGTACCATTAAAGTGCTGCTGTAGTATACATTCCATACCTATGCTATTGTACAAGTGGGATCTATTTACACTGAATCATAACTAATTTCTTCTTGCTCCAAGTCGTCGATGTTGGGATCTGTGGAACTCTCGCTATCACCAATGACATGGTCCTCAGTCATTAGAGCCTCTTGCTCGTTACGCTCCTCTAGAGAAAGGGAGTGAAGCCACTTTGTGGAGACGGCCCATCGTGGGGTCTTCATCGAATCATGAACCGGCAATGATTTTGCCATCCTTGGTGGGCCTTGCACTCGAGGAATCCGTTTTTTCATCCAGTGCTTCTTCTGAGCTTCTTTTTTTTCGATGTCTTGGTCTACCACACCTCTTATCTCTTTAATGGCCCTCCGGAGCTGTTAAAACACAAATAAGACACGGCGCAAGATCACAGAAGGGTAAACTCACGTCCTTCGACCGCCATACAGGTGGGCATGTCATTAAGATCGTCGTCTTCTTCTTCTTCTTGTATGCTTTTTGGTGCGGATTGAGGAGCGAGACAGCTTCGTCATCACTTGAATTGATGTCGTCGGAGGCATCTGAGCCGCTGTAATCGGTTGATTGCCACTTCGCTGCAAAAATGAAGTCGTATTCCTCGCCTGCCAGTGGTGGGAAGTCAGGACGGACAGCAGATGCTAATGCTGCTTTCTGTATGATGGTTAATATTAAATAGTACATTTGTCAAAAATACACACATCTAATTGTCGTTTCTCACGTCTGGCACTTTGGACATTGAGCGACTGAACACTGATTGGCTTTTCCGCCTCCTTATACTTCTGCTTCATGTTCTTGAACACCTTGCCCGTCAGAGACTTGAGAGTCTTGCTAGGAAGTTTGTCAACAGTATCTTGAGACAGTGTAGGCTCGTATGTGCACGCATCACGACGAAAGCGTTCAACATAAGCTCCGTGCCACTTCACATTCGCTGTCCACGACAATTCCCACTTCGGTCATAAAACTTTAGTTGACAAGATCTCGTTGTCGATGGTGAGTTCATCAATGTCGGCCCAAAATTCATTCGCATTATCAACTGGTGCTGGCAGGGCTTCATTGGTCTCGATACCCATCATTTTCTGCAATACCTGTCGGATAGCACTCTACAGATGATAATTTAGACTTTGATCAAACAAACAGCAACAAAATACAAACATTCATTGAATTGTCAGTGCGAGACGGTGCAGATTGCGGGTCTTGAACCTTGAGAGCCTCGAGATGGCGGATGATAGCCTCGACTTGCATATCAATTCGATTTGTAACCACGCTATGATCTTGGGAAATTCGAGACTGTTCTTTGCGGAGCTGGAGTATTTCGCCTTGCATGTTCTGAAGCATGCTATGCTGTCGGCCGGATTCCAACTGGGAGCGAGAGTGAGCTGATACTTTATCTTTGCTGCTTCCTCCAATGGACTTGTGTGTTAGGAGTCCAGAGTCAAGTTGTGCATTGTCGCTATCATCTTGTGGGATGGGAGGGATGTTTCTTGCTTGTGGCAACTTGGAGTGACTTGATAATGCGATTGTGTTCTTTGAGAACGCGAGTGGCTGCATGGCGTTGCCGACTGGTTTTGGTTTTGGATGTGGCCGGTTAACATTGGGCTTATGGACAAGAAACGAGCGAGTGGGAGTCAAAGAAGCTTGGGGCTCAAGAACGACCTGTTTCTTAGATGTGATGGTACTGCGAGAGGGCTGTGGATTAGGTTGAGGAGGATGCATTGACCGTGGTACTGCAGTCGAGGGACGTTCTGGAAGATTGGATCATGGAGGTACAGTTGGACGAATTGACAATGGTGCAGTTGGACGGATTGACAATGGTGCAGAGGAACGAATTGATGATGGTGCAGAGGAACGAATTGATGATGGTGCAGTAGAACAGATTGACGACGGTACAGAGGGACAAACTAATGGCGGCGTAGCAATTTCAGCAGGGACTTTTAATTTTGAGGGAATTGGAATCCTCAAAAATCCGATCAGATTTAGTAAAAAATTGACGCTGTAACCAAGGTCGCACATACTTTGAAGTCTTTTGATTCAATGGACAAATCTTCTTGGATGCTGGAAGGAATGGGGACTGAAAACGTCGAGTTGGAGGGTGCCCCGCACGTCCATGAGTACCCGTCAATGTGGGCATGTTCACATCATGGTCCTCCTGCTCAGAGTGAAGTGAATCAAGCTTGCGCTTCTTCGACGTAGGATCATGAGCATCGTCAAGGAGTGTAGGATCTATGGCGAAGTACGGAAGCTGCGAAGTCTCATGTTCGGGAGTGTATTCCGTTGGTGGTGTACTGCAGCCACCTTCAGCAGCAGATGACGATGCCTCTGCAGACGTGGTATACGCAGACTCAGCACCTGTTGCACCGAAAACAAACTGTGAATCCTCGTAGTAAGGCACTGGGTTAAATTGTCGCACTTATAAATGATACGTTGCATTAGCTAGCATATACATTGATCGAGAATATGACTTACTGATCAAGCGCTGGTATGATTAACTAGCGGCACACATGTACACGCGCAAGTCAGCTGGTGGCCGGGGGTGGCCTACGTCCAGCACACCGAATAATCACGTATAACATTAACTACAAGATTTGATCAGCTTCCGATAGTTTCAGTAGAATTACTTACCTTTGAGCTTGGATGTATGCAGTTGTACTACGTGCGAATGGTGGAACACGCCTTGAAGGGCGATGAGCTGTGGGCACACCAGATCTCACACAGATCTGACGGCCGAGTGCGAAGATCTCAAACAGATCTCAATTCACATCACAGCTCAAGCGCTCGTCCTCAAGGACTTGAAATGATGAAGACGGTTGCACTTGAGGCTGTGTCACAAGGTAAGTTGTTCAGAGCAAGGTGCGCGGAGTTTCAATTCACCTTGTTCCTTACCCCTTCGACAACAATCTCAACGACGGCGAACCGTCCCGAACCCCAAACCGATAATGATATTTTCAACAGGTATGTACCTAGTTTTCATGCTAGCGGGGGTTAATGCTAGCACTACAGGAGGATTTTGGGTTGCGCAGTGGGCATGTGTATTAGCTAGGGGTGCGTCTAGGACTATAGCAACTCATTAATGTTGTGCTGTGTATGTACACCTGCGCTGACACACTATGATCTTGCTTCCTCCTGGATGCTCCTGCAGCGCCTCCCAGTACCCTCTGGATAACACACGATCATCCACAACATCGTGTCCCGCCTCCTTGAACATCCGCGTAGGTACATGGTGCGCCTGCGAGATGCAGACCCTCTGCACTGTGACTAATAGCATCACTCTGTATGTCCTAAAACTGCACGTGCGATCATGTGTGTCGTTCATTTGCTGATTCACTCGCAAGGTCAACTTCTACAGTCCACCCTTGTTTGCATGTTTGTGTGTGTGTTCATCCTGCACTCATTCACATTCATTTGGTGCAGTCTAGGTGCGCCTTTTTCGTTTATATATGTATGTACATCACTGACAAGGATCTTCACTCATTTCTGTTTGCTTGTGCGTGCACATCAATGCTTGTCTTGACGTGTCTGCGTCTGGCGTCTTGAACGATAGGTACCGCTTTTCACGTTTATTTAGGCTATAACTGATCATTTGTTTATGCTTCCCGCTTGTCTGCTAATGTTTGTGCTTGCCTGCACTGGTCTGCACCCCGCCTCTGCACTTGTCTCTGCTTGTCTTTGGGCTTTTACTCGCATTTGGTTGTTTCCGCATGCCACCACTCGTCTGTGCTCGCTCGCACACATCTGCACCTGCTGCTTCTCGCTGCCCTCTTCCTCCAAGGCTCGTGGTTTCATTGCTACCTTGTCTGTTAGCAACTCAAGTACTCCTCACGCCTCGACTCTGCGCCTCGAGAATCAGACAAACACGGCTATTTCACTCCAGTGGCACAGCACTTCAGGAAGCCTCGCATGCTGCTATAGAGACAAAAGACGATGAGGACGATTTGCAGGATGCCCTTCGGCGGAAACGAAAGACGGAGTGGAAGCGAAGACAAGGGGTAAGCTACACTTCTAGGTATACGCGTACTACCTGGTAATAACATCGCGCAGGGTCAAACCTTCCTCGACAATCCCACAATCAACGTTCGAGGAGGTGTGTACTTGTCTGAAATTCACTCAAGCATACTTAATACCATGCAGGCAATGGAGGTGACGGATGTGTTGCTTTCCACCGAGAAAAATGGAAACCCATGGGGCCTCCTTCAGGTGGTAGTGGTGGACGTGGAGGCGGCGTCTACATTCTCCCTACACCTAACCTCACATCTCTTTCCTCTACCCAAAACGTGTACGGGGCGGCGCAGGCGGAAATGGCCAAGGGACATGGCAGAATGGCAAAAACGCACCACCGACGATCATAAAAGTCCCTCTGGGCACAGTGATACGTGAGCTTCTTCCAGGTGATTCACGACGTGCCAAGGACGAATGGGAAGCAGAGGAGGAGTCGTTGCAGGGACTCAATCCAGAGGAACGATGCACCGCTACCTGCAACCCCATCCGAGTCTGGCATCCCCTATCACCTTCTAAGCCCATGTTTAGTGTCCATCGCCTGCTATTGCCGCTTCACTTATTGTCAAGCGCTTCTGGAGTTCAGTATATATGAATATGGGCTACGTAGCAGCATGTATTATAATGTCTGCTATAGCTGATAATGCGCGGCTGTATTCGCTGCAATATATATAACGAATTTTGCTCATTAATTGTCTGGTCCGGAATATCATATAATATAATATATTTATATATATATAATGGATATAGGTGGTTTATTATGTATATACAGTATCATTCTGGACCCATGGTAGTAGCTGGCTTTGAGCTGACTGGAACTTGATGGCCAAACCATGTCTTCGATGTGGATCCGATGTGATAAATCTAGTGGTGGCCGAGTCCAGTTCAGAACCGTGGTTCGAACTCGAACCGTTATGGACTTGACCGAAGTCCAGTCCAAGGTTCGGGCAATGAGAGGAACCGAACCGTCGGTCCAGTTCCCGGTTCGATGGCCTGTAGGAATTGCTGAACCTGTTCAAACCTGTTCGAACCTGTTCGAACCACGGAGATATATCAGACCGGAAGAGCAGATCTGAAAGCAGTATGTTGTAGTCTAATATTAGTATTAGTTGTATCCTTGACGACACGATGTTTCAGAATTCATCACTCCATCAAGTTATGTTCGATTTGCTTGACACTCTGTCGACCGCGGTAACAAGATCAACTTATTTTGCTCGTCAGGCTTTACTAGTATCGATCAGCGGCACGCATCCTTGACGACACAATGTTTCAGATTCACTCCATCAAGTTCGTATGTTCGATTCTCAGTTGGCGACTCATGTAATTTGTTGCAATTATACAGACATTTCCTGACCTATCATTGAATGATATCTTGAACCCATCGCCTCCATTTCCATATTCAACGAGATACAAGGTATATTAGCTGGCAAAGTGACTTCTCATTGACTGAACACATCTCATGATGTCTGACAGCGCTGTTGGCCCAAACGGCAAGCTGAAGGATGCGTCCGAAATCGTATGGTACAACGATGCGGATGACGATCAGCCTATCCCCTCCTCATCTACGATCAAGTCTCCACTGCACCCATTCTTCGCTGGTGCTGCTCCCCCTGCAGCTGTCATAGCTGGTGCCCGTCGTTCTAATCGAGCACCTCGCCCTTCAATGAGGATACTTGATCCCGACAACGTTGCATCATCCAGTACTGCCCAAGGTAAACGAAAAGCTGCCGACGATCTTACCAGACGACGGGTCGCACGGATGATTATTGCAAGCCCTACCACCTCCAGTCATGATGGAGAATCCGACGGTGATGTAGATATTGGTGGTACTGATCTCGATGCAGTAGGTGGTGACACCGAAGCCGAGGATGACGTGGAGTGTGCATATGCATCGACAAAATCGATGGGAGATGCAGACCGTAAGGTGAGTCACTAGCATTACTTCATTCACATTTTTCTCATGTACAAACTAGGGTTTGACTTGCCGTCCTAAGGCTGAACGAACCGCAGATGTTCGTACCATTTTCATCAAGAAAGATGATTATGTAGACCCACATACTGGGCTTGTCGAGTCAGGACACGTGTGCACAGTCTGCCAGTAGGCCTCCAATTTTATTTGAAATATGCTAAAACTAAAACTGCGTTCGCTAGAAAGAATGGTGTTGCCACTAGACAATGCTTCTTCAAGGGTAGCATGTCAACCCTCCGTACTCATATCTCAAGGCAAGTTTTCCGCATCAGTGATTGATGTGTTCACGCTGACGACAGAATACAGGCATCCCGACCATATCAAGGTTTATCAAGAACATTGCAAGAAATTAGACATTCCCTTGAACGAAAGGGCGTGTCCAAAGTCTGATACGACTGAAACCCTCGACAGGTATATTTGATACCGTACTGACATTTGACTTCATTAACTTACATTTCAGTCAACGAAGTCTTGATGGGATTGTAATTCATCAGCCACGCGCACCTGCATTTACAACCAGCGGCCTTCTCGACTATGTCGTGGAGTTGATTGTGTGCGAGGACAAGGCATTCCAACTCGTGGAAAAAGGCCCATTCCGTCGCCTGCTAACTTACCTCCGACCATCTTTGTCCGACAACGACATTCCGCATCGTAAGGCCGTTCGCCAGGAAATCATGAAGAAAGCAGCGGCTACTGAAGCACGTCTGCAGGACATTCTCAAGGTGGGTGTTTTTCTTCTCTCTTTGTGATATCTACCATCTTAAAGTGTACTCGCTGCAGGACATACCTGGAAAAGTTTCATTCACATTCGACGCTTGGACATCCGACCCCGGTGATCCATTTTTGTCTGTTACCGGCCATTACATCCATGCGCAACCAGATAAACCTAACAACTGGAAACTTCGAACTGAGCAGCTGGCCTTTTCACCCATCAAAGGACGTCATACTGGAGCAAACATGGCTACTTTACTTGTGCGCACAGTGGACCGGTACGGTCTTCGTCCAAAAGTAAGTTTTCATTCGTTTTTGATCTATGTAATACTAAATAACAACCAGGTTGGTTGGTTTACCTGTGATAATGCATCGAGCAACGACATGTGCCTTGCCACCTTTGCAGATATTATCAATGCTGATAAGGGTGCTGGTGCGAAGATGTGGGATCCTGTTCAAGGTCATGTCAGGTATGATCACCGTTTTCGCATCTATATGCTTGCACATCTCACTGTTCGAACAGATGTATGGAACATACCATTAACCTTGCTGCCGGATGTTTCGTCACCACTGTCTCACCGACATCAGCTCGCAAGCTTCTCAAAAAGATAAAGGCAGCATTCAAACACGCTCAGCTAGACGGTAAAGATGTCGATCTCGATGCTTTAGAGGCCGACTTGGAGGACGACTTGGAGGATGTTGATGTCGAGGGTGACCAGGAGGAGGATGACGACGATGACGAGGAATTTGGAGTTGGGGACACAATCGGAAAGGCGCTAGCGCTGGTGAAGCAGGTATGCTATCTTGCAGCCCTCGTTTCTACTGACTAACACATATTACAGATTCGTGCATCACCGCAGGCTCGCGCTTTTTTCGCTCAATCGTGTAAGCAGGCAGATGTTCCTACCCTCGAGCTGATGCAGTGGGTGCGGACACGCTGGGCTTCAATGCATAGCTTCATCTCACGCATGCTGTTGCTTCAGAAGGTACGTCTCTCTCATATACTATGTTTTAAAACTTAAAGCTAATTGTGGCATCTCGCTAGGGCGTTAATCTGTTTGTTGAGCTTGCTGACGACAGCGAAGATGTTCTGAACCTCAAAGGGAAGTCCTATGCAGATTTTCGACTCGACAGAAAGGACTGGGAAAAGCTAAGGTTAATGAACGAGGTTCTACAGGTTTGTCATTACGACTAGCTACATTTTTTTATATATTCTTCATACACTGACAACAATGGTAGGAACCAGCAGGTGCTACACAAACGTTTTCTAGCTCACGCGACCCTTCCGTTTGGCGGACGATTCCTGTCCTCGAATTTTTACAAAAGTCATGGGAAAACATGGCGAAGCTCCCGCGATTTTCCAAAGTCAGTGATGCCATTCAAAAGGCTTTGGAAAATGTTGCAAAGTGGTATGACAAAACGAAGGATACTGACGTATATTTTATTTGCCTTGGTATGTTCTTACTTCTTCACTTATGATGATACTGATGAGTTACCGGCTTTGAAGCACTCGACCCCAATGTCAAAATTGCATATGCCGAACATCAGTGGGACAAGGAGTCATTCGATGTTGGCCTCGATAGGCTCAAACAAGTGGTAATTTTTTTTCCTCGTGTGGTCGTCACAGGCTGATTAGTGTATCCACAGTTCGATGAGTACTACGTGGCCCCGATCTCTGTTGCTGTAGAGGCCAACAACGAACAAGGGACATCTGACTCGCATGGTCAGTATGGCCGTTCATGGGTGCTTGCAGCTGTGCAAGCACGTCTCGCATCGGATCGCACGAAGCTGAACCCTCGCGCTGAACTTACGGCTTATCTTGGAAGTCCTCTCGAGCAGACTGATGATGTTGTAGGTTGGTGGGGGGTGAGTTTTTATGCTATCACAAGCATACAAGTTGACTAACGAAGATTTGTACAGCACCACCAGTCGCAGTACCCGACTCTTTCACGCATGGCCAGGGACTACTTGCCCATACAAGGCTCTTCTACACCCTCGGAACGTGCCTTTTCGAGTGGCGGATTGACGGGAACCAAGCGACGGAACCGTCTCAAATCAGACGTTTTTGAGAGCTTGCAGTTGTTGAAGAGTGCGTACCGAAATGGTCACATCTCCGCTGCCAGTGATGCCGCACAGGTTCGTGTCATATTTATGCATTACTTGCTCTAATTGTAGAGCATCTGTGATGCATTCATCCTACAGCTGTAGTGCCCCCGCATAGTAGCAATACTTGTATACCTGATGCATTACTCCTCCCACTCATCCCTAATGCATCACTTGTCTCCCTATAACGCTGATGCATTATCTGAAGCTGATGCACGCTCCCGCCGTTGTTCTGATGCATCCCTCGGTGTTCTCTGATGCATGACTCCTCCCAGCTGATGCACGCTCCCGCTGTTGTTTTGATGCATGACTCCTCCCAGCTGATGCACGCTCCCACTGTTGTTTTGATGCATCCCCCGATATTTTCTGATGCATGACTCCTCGTCGCTGATGCTCCCCCGCCGTTCCCGCTGTTTATTTGATGCATCCCTTTGATGCATCCCCCGACGTTCCCGCTGTTTGCTCCCGCTGTTTGTTTGATGCATCCCCCGCCATTCCCGCTGCTTGTTTGATGCACGATATATATTGGTAGATGTACTACTAGCTACTGGCTATATAATACATTCTTCGGACCCATCCTG